GGACGGGACAAGCAAGGGGGAGGCGAAGGGGGGGGGTGCCATCTTGCTCGCGCAGTCGTATTGTCCACCAGCTAAACAACGGAAATGAGCTTTGAGATTAGCAACAAGTCGCTTCTCAAGGTTGAAAAGAGGGAAAAAAAAAAGAGTGAGCGAGAGAGAGAAAGAGCAACTGCCGTGTAAAGTGGACACAAACTAGTTTCCCATTTTACGGTGCACAAGGTGAGTATTTGCAGGGTGGCATTTTTTTACCCCAACTTTTACAGGCTGTTGACCGTGAATTGGGGGGGTGCTAATAAGCCTGCTTTGCATCCCAAGAGCCCGAAAAAAAACAGAGGAAAACTGACAGGTCGTTCAAGGCACTTTTGCGGGCACTCGCAGACTCGCAACGGCCAGCCAGCCACACAGGGGGGGCGCGGAGGAATGCCGTCTGGTGGAAGGAAAATGGGCATTTTCCAATGCGATGCAGCGGCTACGACGGCCAGCATCCGGGTTCCCTCGTCGGCGTCCTTGTCGCAAAATCTCAGCTTGATGCAAAGTGATGCTTGCCGGCTCGGGGAGCACAAGATAAGAAAGAAGAGAAAAACCACAGAAAAAACGTGTTGCTTCACCGATTCAGCGGCCCGAGGTGGTACAAGGACGCACAAAAGAAAAGTTGCGATACCCGTTGATGAGAGCGGGAGGGGGGGGAAGGGCATGGGCCGGCGTGGGCCGGCGGTTTGCATCAATACACCCCCATGCAAATACACCCCCCACCCCGGAATCGGCGAGCAAAAATGATAACGACAAAGGAAAAAAAGGAAAAAGAAATATGCCACATACCGGAAACTCACCGCGCGGCCTACTACGCACACGTATGTACCCGAATAACAGGAAGACATGGGGATCGTCGATGAGAAAGAAGAGGTTCAAGACGCTTGCTAATACAGTTACAGACTAACACAAAACGGTGGTGGGTGGTGGTGGCGCTGATGGCGCTGATGGCGCTGATGGATGCGCTTGAGCGGCTCAGCCGCTCGAACGTTTAATTTTTCCAAACGTCCAATTGGTCTCCACTGATGAATCAAAGAAACTAATAATCATCATTTTCGTTGGTCTTGGCGCGCCAGAGGTGATTATTGGTCATTGCCCCCGAAAAGCAATCGTGTTGCCATTTGCCCTGTCAACCCCTTGCTTCTTTTTTCCTCTCGTTATTATTCTCTTCTCCATCCCGTCTCCGTTCGAACAAGGGCCGTTGTCAAGAGTCTACTTGATGTGCTTGGTAAATTGTACCTGTATTGCCGAATACAGCCTAGTCGTCCCCCGTCCAAACCCGCAACTGTCTTGAAATGCAGCGCGAGGGCCGGACCTGGTCCTTTAATTGAATTTAGACGAGGTGAGACGTCAAGGTGAGACGTCGAGGTCAAGGTGGCTTGCATGATTGCTGCGACCTTTTTGGCTGCTGAGTTGATGAGCTCCCCAACCTTTTTTCCGCCCCGGAACGCCCTACGGGGTAGCTACTCGTTCAAAAAAGACCATCTAGCGCCATCACGAAGGAACCGGTGGTGGCAGAGCGCAGGGAACCCTGTCAGCTGTGCATCGATTTACCCGACGGTGAGGGAAGGGGGGAGGGGGGGGGGACCTTTGGTCATGGACATTGAAATGGGCTTGTCGTGGCTGGGAAAGCTGGCTTGTCCTGATGAACGCGTGATCGGTTTGAATTGGGAATTGCTGTCACTTTCTCGGTCCTTGCCAGCCAAGCATGCCGTCCGCCTAGTCATGCATGAGTCTGATGGCGTCGAGTATTATGAAGCTGAGCTACGATGGCACGTTGAGCCCAGTGGCGTTGGCGAGTCATGAAAATCTGAGAGACAGAGAGGGGGGGCTACATGGATCTGTTTTGCATACGGACCGATACGCTGGACTACAGCATCATGGGCTGCCAAGTTTTGCATCGACATGAAAATCCTCCGAACGTATATTTCTTTTCGTTGATTTTTGCCAAGAAAAAAAAGAAGAATCTGGCGCGGGTAGCCATATGCTGAGTACTCCCGTATGCTACTGCAAGTACACCAACGCGCGAATCCCCTCGGCCGAGGCTTCTGAGGCTTTGATACAAAGATGAAGTCTGAGACTTTTCATTCAGCGAGAAAAGCCATTATTGATACAATGGAGGATTTGCAAAGAGCCTTGTTGTCGAGCTCTATTCTATTGCAGAATTGGCGAATAAAGAGCCGCTGCGCATACTAGAAGGCTGGGCGTTTGCGCGGCACGCAAGACAAACGTCATAACGATGCTCATCGTTTGCTCCGGTGCGAAGAAGTTGTCTGAAGAATTAAGCTCGGACCCTGCAGCAATAGGCGAAGATGTTGAAACTCGTTCAGGGGAGGGGCGGCAAGGCTTGCTGGCATGTTACTGGGAAAGCGGTGCTTGTCATTGTCTGCCTGGCTGCCCCCCCCCCCCCCCCCCCCCCCTTTCCAACAACGAACGACATGACATGGCTTGCCGCAAGAGTTGAGCAAAGTGTCCTGTTTGGGAAAGTAAAGCCGATAAGAAATGAATGACAATTGAAATGAGAGATGCGAGGGACTCAAATCTCTTCCTGTCCAGCATTGACGTGAATATGACACGTCACGTAGTGGTGATGAAGGCGTGCGTTGAGGACCTTGAGGTAGAAGAAAAAGTGTCCCTCGGCCCCAGTCTCTCTGTCTGACAAGGGTTGCGGATCCGCTCAAACGTGTTATTGAAGAAGAAGAAAGATTTGATTTCGGAGCCTTGCCCAAATTGTGTAACAGTGCAGCAAATGGAAAAAAAAAAAATAATAATAAGACGCAGATGACGTGCTAAAACTTCGGCTTAGACAAAAAAAACCGAGAGGTACTCTGAACGGGTAGGTATTACAAGAGGCCGCGGTGAACGGAATCACGCGATTTTGCTGCTCCCCTCCCCCCTTGGCGGCAACGAGGATCGGACATGTACATGTCTTAAAGTTTGTCGTGAAAAAGCTTTTCAAAAAGGACGGCAGAAAGCTGAAGCGCCACTCGTAGGTTGATGCGCATGCGGCGACTTTTCACGAGTCGCGAGCGAAAACATTAATAACGGTTCCTGTGCGGATGGTGGGAGGGACCCCGGGGGGCGCGTAGGTACGTTGTGGGTAGGATCCAGGGCGACATGATGCAACGACGAGGTCAAAAGCCCGTCGTCTGTGTCGGATCGGTAGAATGGTGCATAGTTATTATCAATCAATGATGAAAATAGCATACACACAGTATATAAAATTCGACTTGTCAGGTTGCACAGAGCGTTTTTGTTTCGTGTTCCGATTTGGCAACACGCGCAGGGCATTGAGTGGCGTCGCGACCCTGTCAAACCCGTTATCTGCCCCCCCCCCCCCAAAAAAAAGGCTGACAAGTAACTAATCCGTATGTATTTACAAGGTTAAGGACCCCCCTTCGACGCGCAGTTTTACCAGCATCATGAATCGAGTTTCTTGTCGTGTTACCAGTAGACTGTAGTTACTCTCAGCGTTGCTCGCGAAACCCAATCGATCATTGTCCAACAAACCCTACCCAATTCTATTCATATCCAACGTCACATTAGCCCAACTCAACCCAAAGCCCCAGAAACATGTCCTTGTTACCATCATGGTCGCCCACCTCGTCTTTGTCGGCAATCGAACAACTGGACCAGCGGGGAGTGAAACAATAACAAAAAAAAGCAAATAATTAAGCGCTTTCTAGTTTAGCTTTACGTTGACTGACCATCACGTGCTGTCCAGTAACATGACCGGCATAATCTGGCAGATCTCGCCAAGAACCTCTTTCTTTTTTTTTTTTTCCCCTGTCTTGTCTGTCTGTGCGAGAATGTTGAGACTTGTTTGATCAATTACTCCACGGAACATGTCGCGTAACGTCTCTTTCTTGTACATGCTCGAATTGCGTGATACCTCAGACAAGAAAAAAAAAACACAAGGCACAAAAAGAAACCCGAGTCGTGTCCATGTTCGTCATCGCGGCGCTCAATTGCTGATAACCGTTAAATTGTTTCAGGGTGTGTAAGCGACCGCGACAGACCGAACGTCACATTACGGCACACATCCGATCCAATGATGCTACGGCCACCCTGAGAAAAGCTACCTAGCCTCTCATTCGCAAATATTCAATTTCAAGTCTCATGCACAGGCCAAACAAACAACTCTTTTTTTGCAGGCTGCTGCTGCAAGCAAGGTTGCGTCCGAAATCCTGCAACATCCTGCCACACCTGCAGCCGGTTGACGACTTCCAGATGAATTGGTTGGTCAAATATGGCTGCACCTGCAGGCAAGCCACCTTGAGTAGCGTGTCCAGAGACTCGGGCCGCCATAATAAGAAACGTGCGTTCTTTTTTTTCCCTCCCCTCTCCCTCCCTTTTTGGTTATGCATGCAGGACGTTTTTATTTCCTATTTCCCTTGGCCAATCAGTTGCCCGGCTGCCGTGATGCAGGGGACTCTCGTTGTATTGTGATCAGTAACCTTCTTTTTCAGGGTCTTTGCCGATCATGCCAAGTTTTCCTCACGTGCTTAAGCCTGTATCACAATGGTGTAACACGGTAGGTATGCGTACTCGACAAGCCTGGATCGAGTCATCATCTGCAGCCAACCTTCTCGGCATCACCCGCCTTGCCGCCTTGTATTCACGCCCCCTCCTTCGGGTACGGCCTTGGGGAGGCTTGCTGCTGTGTGGCTTTTGTCTCTTGTGTAAGCATGACAGCGCCCGTCTGCACAGGGACATCATACATCGGCCCATATTGTTGACGTGTTGAAAAAAAAAATTTGTCCGGCGAGATGTGCGTGATGTGATATCATCTGCACCATGGTCCGTCATCGGCCCGGTTACAAGGATTCGTCTTCCCCGGCGAAGCGTCGACATTTCATCATGCATATATAATGTGCAATATTCAGAGAAACATCTATGAACTGAGACTTTTTCCCGGTGCAATTGGAGTTTGTGCATCATTCATTGTACCGGCTTCATCCATTTCCGCTTCAAGCCCAGAAGCCGGGAAACAAGTACTCGACATTCTTCTTCCCTTGCTCACTGCGACCGTCGGGCTTCGTCATAAACTTGATGGCGCCCTCTACGGATCCTGCCCAGTGAGCAGCAGTGGCGACCTCCTTGTGCTCGGCCTTTGACAGCTCGTCCAGGACCGCCCCGACAAGATGCCTGGCATTCTTGCTATTCGCCTGCATATACTTGATGACCATTTCCACATTTACATCCTCGGTCGAGCGCCAGCAGTCGTAGTCGGTCGCCATGCATATCACCTGGTAAGAGAGCTCAGCCTCGCGGGCAAGCTTGGCTTCGGGCAGCGTCGACATGTTGATAACGGAGCCGCCCCAAGAACGGTACATGTGCGACTCGGCACGAGTAGAAAATTGAGGTCCCTCTGCAATCCATGTCAGTCAGACATTGATTGATGAAAGCAGACACGCTGCTCGAAGAAAAAAGAGAGTCAAATGACCGCGCATTTTTCACATACCCATGCAAATCAAAGTGCCCTTGTCGTGTAGGACCACGCCGTCGCCCTTCATGGACGCGGCGCAAGTCTTGACCACATCGGCGAGCTTCTTGTCAAAAGGATCAGCAAAGCCTACGTGGCCAACGACACCGCCCTCGTAAAAGGTAAAAGGCCGGATGCCCTTTGTGCGGTCAATGACCTGATCGGGGAGCACAAAATCCATGGGCTTAATCTCCTCTTGCAGGGAGCCAACAGCGGAGAAAGCCACGACGCTGCGAACGCCAATACTGCGAAGAGCGGCAATATTTGCGCGGTTGGGCACCTCGTGCGGCGCAAACTGGTGATGCAGGCCGTGGCGAGCGAGGAAAGCCACGTTGATGTCGCCGTGCGAGAGGATGTGGATGGGCGACGCGGGTTTGCCCCATGGCGTGTCGGGATTGAGGGCTGCGATCGGCGTATAGCCCTCGAGCTGGCTTAGGCCAGTGCCGCCAATGACGGCGATGTGAACGGGCTCTAACGAGAAATATATGCGTGCTTAGCGGGCAAGACGACAGAAGAGGCCGGCCATGGTCGCATGAAGGTCGCCGATGGACTCACTGTCAAAGGTGGTGGGTAGGCTTGCCATTGTGAGGACGGTGGCTCGTATGTCTTGGGAAGCAAATCTTCAAAGTTCAGGCCGCACTTTCGTCTCGTAAAGTCTGTACCTGGTGAGTGAAGATGTACATGTAAGCTCTGAAGCGCGACTTTCGTCCAGCAGCAAGCTCGAAAAATATTGACCCCACCAAGGCTGTGGAGGGGCAGGCCCGCGGCACAAGATAAGGCGGTACCGGGCAGCACGTCATCCCAGGAACAGTAATGGTGCACTCGTGACCAAATGATTGGAGGCTGGCGTCTGGCCATTTTCATTATTTATTCGTATCATCTCCTGCTGGACCCCTCTAGAGTAACAAAACCACAGATTGTGGCTTCTCCCCTGTGTAGATCTACCTAGATCCGGCTAGCAAATGCTCCGTCCAGGTACTACGTAAAGCTTGTGGCTTCAGCATGTGCAAGCGTCGGTACTGTGCAGTTTGAATCGCAAAATGGATTCCGGCGCTTTTAGAAACCGTCACACCTGCTGTTTCTGAATGCCATTGCTTGGCAGCAATTTGTGACAATGTCCATCGCTGCTGTCCTACCCGGCCAGAGTCGCTTACAAACCACCGGCCAACGGTACCTGCTCTTTTTGCGGGGTCCTTCAAAAACTTCAGGCGACGCTGCAAACACACCGACCACACCTGGAAGCCCCTCTCTATTGTTTGCCGACTGCTGTGCGCTCCCGAATGCTGCTTTGGCGACAAGATGGCGAGCGAAAATGAAAGTATAGAGCTGCCGTCTGACACTGGCGTCGAGGGCAGTACCGAGACTATCGAAGAACGCTGCTTCTCGGCGGCGCTGATATGTCTCGAAGGCCACTTTACACAGTCGCCACCCATGGGCCCCAAGACGGCGGCCAGGGTCAATAGCATGATTTCAAAGACGTTGGAAAAGACGCACATACTCAGGAAAGTAAGGTAAGTGAATCAGCAACCACTCACAGTAAATGAGCGCTGCTGACGTTTTGCTCAGAGAGACGCTGTCCAACAATGTGGAGATCTGGGTCTGGCTCACGAGGATCCTCGCCGCCTCTGTTCCAACTCTGACAGCGCGCTCCGTCGGTCCCTTGTCTAGCCTCAATGACCCCGAAAAGGGCGTCAGTCCGCATGAGAGTACCGGCTTGATTGTCATGAATTACGACAATATCAAGAATGATCTCTCAATTCTCACCAAACTCATGCACATCTCGAGGAATCTGCTCGTTAACGCTGAGCCCCAAGTCCCTCAAGACATATGTGCTGCTGTGCACTTTGACCAAATGGTCTATCAGACAATCATTCTTTGTGTCAATGTCACCAGCAAAGGCTATGATAGCGAGATACTGGACGAGGCTGATAGAATAAAGCTGGCCGAAATTACCGAGCTATGTCAGTACATCATGCGCGCTCTTTTCCCAAACTAGATGACTAACTCTTGGGCCTTCTGTAGATAAGAAATTGCTTGTGACATCATTGCAGCAAGCTCACAATTGGATCGCAAAGCATGATCGCAACAAAATGTCATTTTGGTTCGACGTGCTATTCGACGATGATGGGGTTGTGCCTGGGCACGACGACTCAGTTACCGACTGCTCCGGCTTTCGCCCCGAAGTAGCAAAGCAAGAGGTGCAGCATTGGCTGGAACGCAACTCTAGAATGTGTGACAAGGCGCGCCAGTTGTTGCGCGTTTATGCCAAAAATTTCGCTGACAAAATCCCGGGCAATTTAGCCCCCATCCGACCTCTTGCCTGGAACTGGCTTCCAGAGGCTTCTTCGCATGCTTCTCCCGATGAGGCTAGCGACAAACCGATACAGTTTACGTGGAAGTTGGATGAACCCGATAAGTTCGAGCAGGATCGCCATTATGGAAGAGTTTCTAGAGAGATCGATACTTGGTGGTTGAAATCCCGAGATCCCAACTACGACGGATGGGTTGTTGGCATGCCTTCTGTCGAATCAGCGCAGGCAAGGCTGGAGCACTGCAAGACAAACTTGGTTCACAGATACTCTCATTCCTACCGCGATGACAACTCACTGCCACCGGATGGAGCCGACGATGAAATGTCAGAGCACGATCATTGCCCCAACTGTCATCAATGTCACCATGACGACTATGAGTCGGACGAGCATGAGCACGATCACGAGCACGATCACGAGCACGATCATGAACATACACATGAGCATGAACACGATCACGACCACGAGCATGATCATGACTGCTATCACGGGCATGATCACGACCACGACCACGACCATGCGCATGACCATGACCATGACCATGAATATGAGCATGAGTGCGAGCACCATCGGCACTGTCACCATCATGATCATGATTACGCTCACGACTACGTAGACGACATACTGGACGACGACGAGGCAGACGACGAATCGTATGGAGACGGGCCATTGACTGGCTTGCTCACCGAGGTACCCAACATTCTGGATCCCAAGCAGATTGAGGCGCTTCACATGATTATTAAATCATGCATATATGACAAGTCTGGATCGGGCACTACGCCCGCCGGCGAAAACTTGCAAAGGACTCGATGCAGAATGTTCTTGGCACTAGATTGTGGCAAGAGTCTGTTGCGCGAGCTTTTGGTCTTCATTGCTGTCTGGGATAAGGAAGAAGATAGCTTGATCTACCAAGTCACCATGCAGATTGTTGAGGCTATCCATTGCAGTGCGCTCATTCCTTACGCCTGGAACTCGCTCCGCATTTCCAAAGATATCGTCTCGCCCGCGCAGACGGTACTTCTGCGTCTCGTCGGTGACATGCTGGCCGGGCGCACCGTCGGCGGCTCCATGCCCAAAGATGGGCCTGCCGGAGAGGGCAAAGAAAAGGACGAGCGCGATTTGAAGCTGGTGCACTTCTTCTACAGCTCGTTTCGCAGCCGCATCGTGCCCGAGTGCGCAGCGCTCATGCACCTCCAGGCGCAGATCCGCGCAGGCAAATCCGACGCCTCTGAATTTCCTGTGGACACGTGGGACATGGAGCGTGCCAGGGATGGTTTGGCTCAGTATCTCGACTTCTTGAAGACGGTGGCCGAAATGCCTGACATGCGACTCAAGCTGGTTGAGTGGGAGGCCGTATACGACCTCGTCACCATCTTGAGCGGCGTCGAAGCCGCCGTGGCCAAGAAGCCACTCGTCCATGTGCCCCAGCGAAACGCCTCCGCCGCTGACACTGACCCTATGGTGGAGCGGCCGTATGCCAAGGGCGCTGATACGCTCGCCGCTGGCGCCCCGTCGCCCCTTCTTCAAGAGCCCGCGCACAAGTTCGCCTGGTCTGGCATCAAGAGCCAAATATTCGTCATCATTGCGACGCTACTGCAGCCGCCGCCGGACAGGCACAGCCCAGGTAACCCCGAGGTGCAGATGCAAATGGTGCGGCACAATGGCATTGCCCCGTTGCTCAGCAGCACCGTCTACGACGATCACAACCCATACGCCAAGGAGCGCGTTACCATCTGCCTTAAGTGGCTGCTCGATGGGTGCGACGCGGCAAGCGATTTTATCCGGCAGCTCAACCGCGCCGAGCCCGCGCCGAATCTTCAACAGCCGGCCGCCGGGTCCGCGACAGCCACGCAGACGCTACGCGTCGACGGCGTCGGCGGTGACGTCGACGTCAAGGTTAGGGTCCGGCGCCGCCAGCCGCGCTTGGTGGGGGGGATCTCTCCGCTTCCTGACGACGAGCAGCAGGCGCAGGTGGAGGAGACGACCGAGGCGCTGAGCGGTGCCAGCATCGAAGACGATTCTATGGCATAGGTGATGTGTTTGGGGGGAGGACTACAACGGCGCGTTTGGACAGACTGACATGATGTACTGGACAGACGAAGAACGGTCATGGAGCTGCATGTACAGTATTGGATGAATGGGGTCAAAAGCAGTAGGGATATTGCAAAAACTTGCACTCAAGCACAGCATTAGCGACGGCGTATTCTTAGAGTGGACATGATGTGTTTCATGAATAGGTTAGGCCTGTAAAGATACAATAACCAAGGCATTTGTCAGATCAGTAATTCATCGAGGTGCGTGTGAACCAATTCCCATTTCTTTCCGTACATGGCAATGCTTATAAACAATATATGAAGAGTAATTTTGTGGGTTTTGCTTTTTTTTTTTTTGTTCTTCTTTGCGATTGTATGTGAGAGTCGCTTCCTCTATCCGTAATATGTAACCGCATGTCTACCGTAGCCTTTGTGTGATCCAGTCCACTGAGCATTGAGCTCAGGTTGAACCGTTGCTGGGCAGCTTGCCCTCGGTCTTTTCGACGTGAGTTATAAGGTCGGCAATGGTGCAGACCTTGATGTTCCACTTGCGGGCGAAGCGGATACAGCCTTCGCCCGTCATCATCTTGGCGCCGGGCAGAATGGCCTGGCCGGGCACTTCCTCGGTATCATCAACGATTTCGCAAATGGCAGCGACGGGCTCTTTGCCGGCAAGACGGCAGAATTCCGTAGCGGCCTCGGTGTGGCCGTTGCGGGCGCGGACGCCGCCGGAGACGGAGCGCAGCGGGAGGACGTGGCCCGGACGGCGCAGGTTGGCGGGTGTGGACTTTGGGTCGGCGAGGGTGCGGCAGGAGAGGGCGCGATCGTGTGCGCTGATGCCGGTGGTGGTGAGGGGGTGTTCGGCGTCGACGGAGACGGTGTAGGCGGTACCGCGAGGGTCCTGGGTGTTGGCGACCATGGGCGGAAGGTCGAGGGCAGCGGCGCGGTCGGAGGGCATGGGCACGCAGATGTAGCCAGAGGAATGACGGATCATCCAACCCATCTGTTCGGTAGTGACGTCCTGAGCGGCGATAATCAGGTCGCCCTCGTTTTCGCGGCCAGGGTCGTCGAGGACGAGGAGGAATTCGCCATTGCCTGCGCCGCGGGTAAAGTCAGTACGGAAGTGGGATGAGGGGTATCACATGTCTGCGGAGAGTGTTTAAACGTACGGAAAGCCTCGATGCACGAGGGAATGCTGTCGAATTGGTCAGAGGGGATATTCGGAGACGGCATGATGGGTGACGGCTTTAGTCTAGACGACGGTTTTTTTGGCAGATGGTGGAGGAGAGGAGCAGCGAGATGTTGGTCGGCCCGTGGAGAAGATGTGGTCGGCGATTTGGGGTAGTAAAGCGTAGGGTAATAACTAGTGGTCAGACCCCGTTTTTGAAAGTCGGACGTTTTGGGTCGTGGTTTGCGTGGATTATGCGATTTGGCCGTGTTTTTTTCCTCTTATTCTCTCGTCTTCCCCCACTTTCGTAAAGTAAGAATATTTGGAGAGGTTGGAAAAAAAAGGTGTAAGCGGTGCTCGCGCGGGTTGTGTGTTGGGCAACGGGATGGTAGAGACGAAAAGTCAAGGAAGGGTATCGAGAGTCGAAGAGAGAGGTTGAGGAAATCAAAGACAAGTGTAAAAGCGAACGGAGTCGCAAAGGCTTATAGGTTGGCCGGATCGGAGCAAGTGAGGACCCTTGAGGCAAGACGTGGCGCTCGGCTTTGTCAATGACTCGGCCCCTCCGGCGACGGCGACGGCCTGGTACCGAAAGCTGTTTTTGGTCTTTTTTTCTGGCCTGCGCGGCGTGCGCTAGAAGCCAATCGAAGTTTGGCACATGCCAGGCCAACATTTTGAGGGTGTGTCGAGGTGTTTGATGGCCGTGCTAGTTTGTTTGATAGATACCAGGAGATGGGAACTGGGACAATACATTATGATGTCGCATGCACGACCATGTTTTTTCCTGACGGGCCGGCTGTGTTGGTCAAGCCAGGTAGGCACAGTCACTGTGTAACTACATATGTTGTACCCCAAGGTACGCACATGCAACAAGTCCACGAATTTGAGCAATAAACAGGCAACAGGCAATTTACATTTTGCTTCCAATCTTTCAGCATTCATAATGGAAGGGTTTGAATATAGTTATGCATTTGCACCATTGTTGACACAGCATTGCAAATGCCCAGGGCTTGGTAATACAATGTCAGCAGACAGCTTCGCATGTACGGATACCTCCGTGGTAACTAAGTAATACAGTGGGGCCAAGGTATCTCAGAACAAAACACCACCAAATGCCCATGTTGCTGGCTCAGAATTAGCCTAGGTACCTACTAATACCTAATAGAGGCAATGCAACACCAACCGCCGGCTCCCAACTGTCCCAGCCAGTCCAGCCGAGACGGACCCAGTCCAAAAAAGTTGCCGCGGCCCGCGCCTTGGACCAGTGTCAATCATCTCATCATGCCTTTCCTACCTACCTGCTCGGCCGTCCGACCTCGCTCCTCGATGCTATCAATTCGATCTGATTTGCTGGCCTTTTCCTGCGCTTCCTTGCTGAATCGTATGTTTTCATGCGAGGAAACAGCCAATTCAGTAGCAGCTGCCCCAGTTGTTGATGAACTCGCCAGTTCGACGGAGTCGCCGGCAATTGGCACTGGTCGGCTTTAATATAAGCAAAAGAGACTCTGTAAATATTGGCATCAATTTCCCATCCAAACAAGACTAAAAGTTACTTGAACAGTGTATCGCCGTATCGCCATCTACCCTTCATGGCACCCGGCCCGGCCACCTATTGAGCCATGCGGAGCTCTCCCGCTATTGTGGAGACAGCCCAATCAAACAAAGCTGGTCCGATTCGCCATGCTTTTACCACAACCATCAGCCTTGCACATCCACGACCTACGCGCTTCTCTCCATCACCGATTTCTCTTGCTCACTTGATTGTGTGAAGCTCACAGCGCCATGACGCGCGCACCTCTACGTCGGCCGGCCGCGTGCCTCGGACGATGCTTAAGCACGACCACCCGATCACGGCTCCAAAACGCCTCGATACAACTGCCATCAACCGCAGCCTCACAACGCCTCGCCGTCGCACCCATGCAGCAGCGACGATGCCACAGCGACTTTTCCTCAGTCAATCCTAGCGAGGTGGAGCACTTTACCGCTCTCGCCGCTGACTGGTGGTCGCCGCACGGCTCCTCGCGGCTGCTGCACCTGATGAACCCGCTCCGTCACGACTTTATCCGCGCCTGCCTGGCCAGCACCGACGAGCTGCCGCCCACCAAGCTGCGATACCTCGACATTGGCTGCGGCGGCGGCATCTTTGCAGAGAGCGCCGCCCGCCTGCCCACAACGGCGCACGTCACGGCCATTGACCCGACACCGTCGGTCCTGGCCGTTGCCAAGGCCCACGCCAAGCGCGATCCGGCTCTGCGCGGCAAGCTCGACTATCAGCTGACATCGATTGAGAATCTCGCCGTTCCTGAGCAGCCGTATGATATCGTGTCGCTGTTTGAGGTGATTGAGCACATTGATGATCCCGGCGCGTTCCTCGACCGCGTGCGGCCGTTTGTACGGCCGGGGGGCTGGCTGGTCATGAGCACCATTGCACGGACATGGATGAGCTGGTTTACGACAAATCTCGTTGCCGAGGATCTTCTGCGCATCGTGCCCCGGGGTACGCACGACTGGAACAAATACATCAACGACGACGAGCTGCGTGGCTTCTTTGCGGGCAAAGGCTGGAACAGCCCCAAGATCCTGGGCGTGGTCTACATGCCTGGCTTGGGGTGGAAAGAGGTGCGAGGCAGCGAAAAGGTGGGCAATTACTTTTTCGCCGTGAGGCGAGACGAGTAATGGGGATTGCGGCTGGCGAATACGGCTGCCCAAGAGGATGCAGGATGACACACAACCTGATAAGTAGGTGTCTCTCCTGTACATATCAACCGGACATATGTACAATATGTATCAACAGTGCGGACAAGAAACATGGCGCGCTACTAAAAACCTTCTTCGCATTCCACTTAATTATTCGCTGCAATTGGCGTTGGACGCTCGGCTGGACAAGTATCAATGCCGATCCCCCTTTCCCCTCTTTTGAGTTCTGGGGAAAAATTTAACACGTCAATGGCTGGCACGACTGCGGACACACAAGGCCAATTTTTATCGCAAGAGCCCGAAGCTTTGGCTACATGCCATTTGTGGCGTTAATAGAGTTGTCCATGGAGGAGTTAACGGAGACAACATGGCGAGGCTGAGCGCATTGTGTGCGCGTGGTGCAGGGGGTACTTGGCAAGCCGGCTCGTGCATGAAACTCAGACAAGAGGATCAGTGAGTTGGTGAGGTGATCACTGCCGTGCTCGGGTAGGCTTCAGACAAGTGGCAGCTGAGACGGGTCGCGCTTCGCACAAGGGTGTGACCGAGAATCTGGAGAAAATACTTCTGGATTCTCCGAGGTTGACGGACTAGAGGATAAGGAGGAATATGATGCGCAAATGAGGGCGAGCAGGCAATAAAGCGCCATTTATATATTTTCACCTGCGTCTACTGAGTTGCGTACCTGGACAATACCACGGTATCTGATGAACGGATATGCTGCGGATCGATGGGACCTACCGGAGCCGCTAAAAAATAGTCTCACACTCCCCCGCGGTGTCAGCATGTGCCGGGCCGCCAGCGCCATTTGCACGAGTCACCAGCAAGGGGGGCAGCAAAAAAGAAAGAAAAAGGCCGACTCTTTAGATGAGAGTAGTAAGAATTCTAATAAATGGATAAGACGAATCACGAGCATGCAAGACAAAATGATGGTCAGAATTAGTGTAGCGGGCATCTGTTTTTGTCAGCCAATTCATTGATCACAGCAGTGTCGGTTGGCGAAGGAAACAACAGGCAGGCACAGCAAGCCACACACGACACAAAGCTCTGCCACCACCACCCACCTGCATCCCAGAGGCTTCGTCAGCTCCCAGCAACCCTGCCTCTTCCATTTTTCCTCCCCTTCATTTGCAGCACCGATACATTCGCTTTCCTCGCTTCAATTCATCCACAAATTGACCTCATTTCTTCCTTGTCGGGCCAAAGTTTTCTTGTGCTCTTCTGTCGCTTCTGTTCGCCAGCGATGACGCTCGCTTGATCAATCATTTCACCTGTGGCCGCGCTGGGCTTTGGCTAGCTTCGACGCAATCACGCGTGGCAACTTGCCTGCCGCCCGTACCGGCAACACAGTTCTCCTCTTGGGCAGCATTGTCAAGCTACTTGCTGAACCCAATCGACTTTTTGCTTATCCACGCTCGCTTTGCCTGCCATGTTAGCCCTGCTCTCGAGGCTGTTGCTTCTTGCCGCCGCCGCTAGCGCCCAGTTTGTCGACCAAGAGTATCACAGCCGCAACTTCACCATTGTCAAGTCACCCGGCAGCAGCAACGTCACCGTCGCATACAAGGAGCCAAATGGCGCTTGCAAGACGGCCTTTTCCTCTCAGCAACAGTACACGGGCTGGGTCAGCGTCCCCGGCGACTACCCCACCAACCTCTTCTTTTGGTTTGTCGAGGCCCGTCAAAAGACGGACAAGCTCACCATATGGCTCAATGGAGGTCCAGGATCCAGCTCCATGTACGGCTTCTTCACAGGCAATGGGCCATGTGCTATTGTCGAAAAGGGTCTCAACACATACGAGACTGTTGCCAGGGACTGGGGCTGGGACCGCGGCTCCAACATGATCTTCATCGACCAGCCCAACCAAGTTGGCTTCTCTTACGATGTTCCCTCTGATGGCACAATGCTGTTTCCTAATAACACTGTAAACATTCCGCCAAACGCTACTTCAAGTACCAAAAACCCCTGGGCCGTTGCCAACGGCACATTTGCCTCGATGAACTCACAATACACGGCCAACACGACTGAGAAGGCTGCTTTTGCGGTTTGGCACATGCTCCAGGGATTCCTTGGCACTTTTCCCCAATACTTGCCACCAGCACCTCAACCTGTGTCCATTAACCTGTTTGCGGAAAGCTATGGTGGTCGCTACGGCCCCATATTTGCCGATATCTGGGAACAGCAGAACCAACTTCGCCGGGTTACGCCTGCAAGAACAAATTCAACGCGCCAGGTACAGCTCACCTCTCTTGGCATCGTCAACGGCTGCGTTGATCAAGAGATCCAGCAAGCTCTTTCTCCCAAATTCGCTACCACCAACACATATGGCTTCAAGGCCTACAGCGATGAGGAGGCCAAGTTTTACACGGACAAGTTCACCGCCGCTGGCGGATGCGCCGAGAGGCTCAGACGATGCGCCAACCTTGTCGAAACTTTTGACGCCAACGGCACCGGCACTACGAATGGTGTCAATCAGGCTTGCCAAAGAGCCAATAGTGTATGCACCGACGTCGACAGGCCATATTTCGCTGCTGGAAGAAGTCCTTATGACCTCTCTGCGCCAATCACAGACCCTTTTCCGCCATATAGCTTCGTCGATTACCTGAACCAAGACTCTGTGCTTTCCGCCATTGGCTCGCCGGTCAACTATAGCATGAATAGCAACGCAGTCTGGTTTGCTTTTGACGCAACTGGCGACCTCTCTAGAGGCCAGATTATACCGCGACTAGCTAAGCTTCTCAACCAAGGCGTCCGTATCGGCTTCATATATGGCGACAGAGACTACATCTGCCACTGGTTTGGTGGCGAGGCCATCTCGCTGCAAGTCGCCAAAGAAGCTGGCGGTCAATACCTCACCCAATTTCCGGCAGCAGGCTACTCGCCCATTATTGTCAACAGTGAGTATATTGGCGGCGATGTGCGCCAATTCGGCAACCTATCGTTTAGTCGTGTCTTCCAATCCGGACACTCTGTGGCGTCATATCAACCTGAGACGGCGTTTCAAATCTTTTCTCGCCTCACGACTGGCACCTCAGTCTCAACTGGGCAGTCCATCGACCTGAGCACGTATAGCACGTCTGGCTCAGCCAACTCAACTGCCACAGGCAAGCTGCCCAAAATGAAGGATACTGTCTGCTATATACGCGCATTTCGAGAAACATGCGACGAGGACGCGCAACAGTTGGCTGCCAGCGGTGACGGAGTCGTCATCAATGGTGTCCTTTATAGTTCTTCTGCAGATTGGTCACTCATGACCAAGACGTCAACCCCGACCAAGGTTGTCACCACGAAGACATCGAGCGCGACCCTAACCGGTGCGTACACGGCGACGGATACGCCAAGGAATGCGGCTGCAAGAGCAAGGCCATCATCAGCATTTAATATTGCTGCGCTACTCGGCGCGGCATTGTTGCCAGTGATGGACTGGATCTAAAATGGGAAATATCTGCACAGGTTGATTTTTGGTGGCGGACTAATCTAATTCTATACGCGGAGAAACTTACCCCAACTTTTGTGTAGACCTTGTACATACATGCATTCATCTGATTGGAAGGATGGGCCGGGACACAAGACGGCTAGCTACAGGGCATAGATATGTGCACATGTAGCAATGATGATAGAAATAAATGTTGTTCTCTTTATCGATGGTGTGTTCCTGGTGACAGTATTGCTAAGTCGGGGCCAACTTGCTGATACCACTTTACTTTTGTCAAACGTTGTGCTTTGACATGGTCTGGTTGTGCCAGCGCAACGTCGTGGTAGACGCTCGGATGACGTTGAACCAGCTCCCCAAATGGTACAGATTACTAGATACCAGTAACTAACCAGCGTGGGAGCCCAGGTTGTGTAGCGTTGGTACGGGAAGCAGGTGCCGACGCTGACAGGCCACGTGATCTGGGGTAGAGCTGGTCTGGAAGATGCAACTAGAATATGCAAGAATCGCGTGGTTTTGGCTTCTTTTTCCTTTCTTCCCTTTTCCATGGCTGCATCATTTCATTCACTTTGCATGTTTTGTAATACAATATGCAAGTTCAATCCTACGCACAAATCTCGCACATGGATCAGCCACCGGCTCCACATACCCGTTCGTATGGTGCATAATGGGGGCTTCCTTTTTTTAGGGTGCTTGGCTCCTTTTTTACATAAGATGGTTGGATGGCTTGCAGTGCTTGCTTATTATACGGATAACTGCTAGTTCAACTTATAATACGTGTCACCACACACACACCACCCCACATGTTGCTGCCCGAACTCGGGAACGCGCCCACAGAAATCTCGCACTTTGCCAAAAGGACTAGATCGGACCAGTTGCCTCTGCCACCCAGATCTACCAAGATGATGCATGTACCGGCCTCGATGTTGCGGTGCAACAAAAGCTGCCCGCCACGACCCAGGAACGAATTGTAGAATATGCTTAAACGCCACAAATTATGCATTTAATTTTATTATATACATTAAATAATGCATTTCTCTCCGACATGTCGCCGCCGCCCGCCTGCAGAAAGGGCTCGGTGCCCAAGGTACTTTGAGATATTTGTGCGGGTTTTAGCGCCGGTTTTTTTTTGTCATCGACCGCCATATTAACGCACCCAAGCATTTACCACCTACTAAAGTCTACAAGTCAATTGCTAATTAATATAAAGCTCTGACATGGCAGCTACGTCCCACGGTCTCTAGTATCATTGTTCGACCTTCATACCGTGTCTCCTTCCAAACAAACTGCCAGGCTGCTCATCACCCCTTGACAACGGCGGCGCCCCCACGGTAACCAAGTTCTCGAAAAATCTCTTGTTTACACGTTACATTCCAACAAGTGGCAGCAACAAGACATCGCTAGTTTAGCCCGTACGATCCCAAACGGCCTCTGTGCCTCACCCCCCTGGCAAACACTTGCACACCCGGTAGCAAACGCGGAGCACCAGTTCAAACATGACGCCCAACGTGACGCCGTCCCAGACGGCCTTGACGTCTTACCTGCTGGGCAACCTGCATTGCCCGTCGTGCGTCGCCGCGATCCGCAGCCTGCTGGCCGACACCTATGGCGATAAGATTAAATGGGTGTCGCCGAACCTCGTCACCTCGGTCGTAACGGTCGAGCACCTGGCCACCATACCCGGCATGGTGCAGAGCATGGCCAAGACCCTGGAAGACGGCGGCTTCGAAGTCTGCGCCGTCGACTCGTCCGTCGATAGCACCGAGGACAGCGTCACCATTGTTGATCACGGCGACGGTAAACTCATCGCCCCTCAGCAAGACAGCGCGCTTAATGTCTTTTCATGGCTCTGGAAGTCCCGGTCCTCCCCATCGGTAGAGGCGGCCCGCGCCGCCCATCTCAAGAATTGCGAGGTCTGCCGGCGCGGCGAAGACCACGACGATGCTCCTTCAAGACGGACGTCGATATCACCCCGCACGGCGGTGACTCCCGCTTTGCCGGCTGCCCTCGCCGGCGTTGTCGTCGCCGGCTCGGACGGCGCGGAGTCGTCGGCCGGACCATGGCGTGCGACCCTTTCCATCGGCGGCATGACGTGCGCCGTCTGCACAAACACAATCACTAGCGAGATGGAGAAGCGGCCGTGGGTGTCGAGGGTCGTTGTCAACCTCGTGGGAAACAGCGCCGTCGTCGATTTTCTCGAGCCGGACCGCGAGCAGGACATTGTCGAGGGCATCCAGGACCTGGGCTACGACGCCACGCTCGACAAGGTGCAGGATCTCGGTCGGGAAGGCAGCGCAGCGACGGACGGCGCGCGCGAGGTCGAGATCAAGATTGACGGCATCTTTTGCCCCCGCTGCCCTGACAGAGTCTACGCGACGATGAAGAGCTTCGGCACCAAGCACGTCGACGTTCTTAAGAAGCCGACCATTAACCGTCCATTCCTCAAAGTCCGCTACACACCAGCGTCTCCTACCTTTACCATTCGCCATATTCTCAAGGCCATCGAGGCGACCGACCCGTCGCTGCAAGCCTCCATCTATCACCCCCCTACACTGGAGGAGCGGTCCAGGGCTATTCGTGCAAAGCACCAGCGCGCTCTGCTTTGGCGCTTGATTCTGGCTCTCGTTCTTGCCGTGCCGACCCTCGTCTTTGGCATCATCTACATGAGTCTCGTGCCCGACTCAAATCCGACCAAGCACTTCCTGATGAAGCCGTGGGTCTCGGGCCTCAGCCGTCTGGAAATCATACTCTTTGCGCTCTCGACGCCCGTCTACTTTTTCGGCGCCGACATTTTCCACACGCGCGCCATGAAAGAAGTCTGGACCATGTGGCGGAGCGGTAGCCGCACGCCGCTCGCGCAGCGTTTCTACAAGTTTGGCAGCATGAACTTACTCATCTCGCTCGGCACCACGATTGCCTACTTTTCCTCGATTGCGCAGATGATTGCGGCGGCCGTCAATCATGACGTCGACGTGCCCGCGGACCGCTTCTACTTTGACTCGGTCGTCTTTTTGACGCTGTTTCTGCTCGCGGGCCGGCTGATTGAGGCGTACAGCAAGTCAAAGACGGGCAGCGCGGTCGAAGCCCTGGCGAAGCTGCGTCCCTCGACGGCGCTACTCGTCGAGGAGAGGGCGGGCGGCGCCACGATGACGACGACGATTCCCCTGGACCAGCTGGAGCATGGCGACATCATTCGAGTCCCGCACGGCGCTTCACCTGCCGCCGATGGCATCATTCTGACTGGCGAGAGCAACTTTGACGAGTCTAGTCTTACTGGTGAATCACGCCCGATCAAAAAGAACAAAGGTGACGAGGTCTATGCCGGCACTGTGAACAAGGGGGCCGCGGTTACAATTCGTGCCACAGGCACGTCCGGGAAGTCGATGCTGGACCAGATTGTCGATGTCGTACGTGAAGGTCAGACGAAGCGCGCGCCCGTCGAGCAAATCGCCGACCTCATGACATCGTACTTTGTGCCCGTTGTCACGCTCATTGCCGTCGTAACCTGGGCCGTCTGGATGATTCTGGTGCAGACTGGCAAGGTCTCGGGCGAGGAGACGAATACGCCGAGCGGACGTATTGCGTTTGCGTTTCAGTTTGCTATCGCCGTCTTTGTCGTGGCCTGCCCTTGTGGCCTGGGTCTCGCCGCGCCCACGGCGATTTTCGTCGGTGGCGGCATCGCCGCTAACCACGGCATCCTCGTCAAGGGCGGCGGCGAAGCGTTTGAAAAGGCGAGCCGGATCGACTGCGTCGTCTTTGACAAGACGGGCACGCTGACGGTCGGTGGCGAGCCCCAGATTACCGACTCGGCGATGCTGCCCGACGGCGCGGTCGACGTGCCCGAGTCCACCATCCTCTCGGGCCTCAAGGCCATTGAGCAGAACAGCACGCACCCCATTGCGAAAGCCATTGTGGCGTTTTGCGGCGCCGAGCGATCCGCCGCAAACCTCGATGACGTGGAGGAGGTCCCCGGAAAGGGCATGAAGGCGGCGTTTCGGGATGAGTCGCTCAGCATCGCCGTCGGCAACGAGGCTCTCATACGCGACCTCGACGTGGCCGTGTCGGACCGCACCCGCGCCACGCTCAACACATGGAAGACGGAGGCCAAGTCGGTCGCGCTCGTCGCCGTCCAAAAGGAAGACACGGCGGCGTGGCGCCTCGCCGCGATCCTCGCCGTGTCGGACCCCATCCGCGCCGAGACGGTGCCAGTCGTCCGGGCCCTGCAACAGCGTGGCACCCAGGTCTGGATGCTCTCTGGCGACAATTTGACCACGGCGCGCGCCGTCGCCCACCTCATCGGCATCCCCGCCGACCGCGTCCTCGCCGAAGTGCTACCGTCGGAAAAGGCGGACCGCGTGCGCTATCTCCAAGCCACGGCCGGGGGAGGGTCAAGCGGCAGCGGCCGGGCTATGGTGGCCATGGTCGGAGACGGCATCAATGACTCGCCCGCGCTGACGACGGCCGACATTGGCATCGCCATTGGCTCCGGCAGCGACGTGGCGATCTCCAGCGCCGACTTTGTGCTCGCGAGCTCGCAGCTCACCGCCGTCCTTGTCCTCTTGGACCTCTCCAGGGTCGTCTTTCGCCGCATCAAGATGAATTTTGGCTGGGCGCTCGTCTACAACATGGTGGCGCTGCCGATTGCGGCGGGCTGTCTGTATGCGGTCAAGACGAGCAGCGGCGCGCACGTCAAGCTGGATCCCGTCTGGGCGAGCCTGGCCATGGCGCTGTCGAGTTTGTCGGTCGTGCTGAGCAGTTTGAGCCTCCGCAGCGGAATCCCGTTTGTGGGGTTTCGCGCAAAGAGGGTGGTTGTTGAGTAAGGTAGTCAAAGGAGGAGGGGAGTTTGTTTGCTGTTGTTGGTGGGTTGTACAAGAACGGAAATAGAATTTGTTGGGATAAGACATGATGGGAATGGTCATGAGAGAATTGGTTCAAGCACAAGTAGCGCTGCATAGCTATGCATTTATGAGTTATGAATTTGATTTTTTTCCAGCCGAGTTATTTAATATGTAGCTACGTGTGAACAAGCCCGAGGTTTTCGTTGTATATATACATGGCGTACGAAGACTGAGCATCATATCGCAAGCTACAAAGTACAACTACAAGATTTGTCCCACCTCTGATAAAACTGTAGTAATAAACAATATTCCGAAGCCGGATACAATCTCATACCCAGTCGGAGCTCTAAATGCTCAGCTTGCACGCCAAAAAAAATCGTGACATGTACACGCTGCGACAAGGTACCCAGCCAGACCCGGGGGAAAACCCCCCACCCCCACCCCCCTGCTTCTTCCTGCCCATCGCTAGCTCCACGCCCCCCACCCCCACCCTTCTTTCCTTTCGACGATGGTATTATATACAAGTAGTTGGTTGCAATGTAAGTAAAAGAGTTAGACAAAGGGGAGGGGGGGGGGGGATGCAAAGCAGAAGCTTGTTTGCCAGTTGACGTAGGCGCAAGAAAAAAAAAAAGGCATGTGGACAAACGCTTTGTGCTAGGTGTCTTTTTTCCCTGCTAACCTTACCCAAAAAACTTTCCGAATAGCAGGCATCAGCTGGGCCCTTTTACTCGCTAGCCTGCGTCGCACGTGCTCGACCTCCTGGCCATGGTGTGCAGCACGCGCCAACCCATCTTTGTAACTGCCTCTCTTCTTCGCAGGCGAGCTATATGGCTTCTTTGGACCTTATCTACCCTCTTTTGCCGTACAAAAAAAAAAAAAAAAAAAAAAAAACAAGGAAGCTACAAGTTTAGTTATATTTTGTTACCGCGGCAGCAGAAAGCTTCATATGGTGGCCGTTTATCATGTTTTTTGAACTGGGTCGTCGTATCGCACTTTGTTAGTAAATGTGTAAAGAAGTTCGCCTTTTTCATGTGCATAAAGAAGAAAAGAAAGCAAAAAGTCCTTGTGGGCTACTTTATTTTTCAATGAGAAACGTGTGATTCGATTCCCATTCTCCCATCTTTTCAACAATTCACATGTCTTTCTTTTACTCTTTTACTGGACACAGTGCAACGTTGAATCAAGTAATTGTTTCCCCCCACACACGGCTCACCACCCACCCAACTTACACAGCCCGTATCGTGGGGGCGGGCGATGTGACCGTGTCTTGCGCACACCCGTTGCTTACGACGTGAGTAGACCTCTTGATCATTTCTATTGCATGTGTAAAGTTGCTTAGCACAATGTGCTTCCAGTGGAGGGGTAAAATGACAGAAGCGGGGGATGTGACCGTTGCATGCCGCAGTCAGTGCTACGCTCATTCGCCTGCTTCGTACGGTTCAGCGCAATTAATGAGACGGCAAGGTGAAGATCAGTCACCCAAAAGATACGAATCATGTGAGGGAAAAGTAGCGCGAGGCCATTATTGAGAGAATCTCATGATAGAGATGAAGAGAACTATGAAATCAACCCGAATCCCTCCTCCCAAAAGGTTGTTTCCTGTCCCCAAGACATAGGAAAAGTATTTGTGCTTGCCATACATTTCCGCCAACATGTGCCATCGAGGCCGTAAGTCGTCAGATGCCGCGGCAAGGGCGGCGCCAATGCAAATTTAGATAATGCTATAAAATTCGCCAAACTCCAGTCTGAAATTCCCTTTCCAAAAGATGTTGATGAAATCCAACCACGTGTTGATTTCGTATGCTTGTAAAACAAAATAGGAGATGCGCAAAACAAAGTCCGGGATGTTCTTGTTCTTGTCAAGGGTGTAATTATGCACGAGTGGATATATGAGATATGCAGACGCCTGTGCACGGGCGCATTAAGTGAATCGAAGAAAGAAGCTCTCGGCAAAGGTTGAGTCGTCGATGGGGTCAAGGAACAAGTAAAAGCAATGAGAACCAGTCTTAAAGCTCGCTGAAAAAAAAAAAAGAAAATCCGAAAAGAAAACGCCTTGTTTGTTGCGTGATCGGCAAGTGTGGCTGTCGCCCATGGGCCGGAAGCTGCCACGTCTTATTTGCTCATCGCACGGCCACTGTGCCACCAAGCAAACGGCTCCACATGCCGCGGCGAAGACGCTTCTTGCCGGCGCCGTCTTGAATCTGCTGATAATGGTCATTGGTCATGTCGTGAAGATGCAGTCGGCTGGGTGTCGGCTTGAGAGTGCGGGTCGAAGCGGTAATGGCGTCCTTGTCCATGGACAACTCGACCGGGGAGTCGTACAGGCTGTCGTGGAGAGGTGCCTGGTATACAAAGGGATCCGTCTCAGACTCAAGAGGTGTGGTGGAGCGCGAGTGTTGTCTGCTCGAAGCAGAGGCGACCGACGAGGCATAGGAGCTTGCGGAGCTGCTGTATGTGAGGCCGGGAGGCGTGATGGAACCAGCACGGGCAGCGGCCAGACGGCTGTCAGGGCTAGCATGGCGGGATCGAGACTGGCCACGGGATGAATGCGGGCTGGGGTAGCGAGCGGCGGCAGAGGCGGCGGCGGCGGCGGCGGCGGCATAGAGTTCCTGTTGGCGACGCTTCTCTTCACGGTGGCGCATGCGCTTGGCGTGGGCGTGGGCAATCTTATGGCGGTAAGGCTCGAGGAAGAAGTCGAGCTCTCGGTAAAGGTCATGCTCGACAATACGAAGATCCCACTCAAGAAGGAAAAGAAGCTGTTTTTCCATCAGGTTGACCTCGTGGCTGTTGAAGCCAAAAACATAAGCGTGGTTCTTAATGCGGGTGTAGTTGGCCCAGTGCTTATTCTTGGGAGACGAGTCGTTGAGATACTTGGCGGCGAGAATGAGCGCAGCGAGAAAGATGCGGTGGGTGGTGCATCGAAGGCCGCGAGCCATGGGCTGGAGCTTGGACTTTAGGCGGGTGAGATAGACGAGCGTGGACATGAGAGTCGGAACCTGGACGTTGGAGGACGTTACGAGTTGGGTGATAAACTCCTCGACAGTGGGAAGGCCGCCATCGGCAGGCTGAATAGAAACAGACTCGGGGCTTTCGGGCGGAGTGGGATGACCATAATGCTGCGCGCTGGTGTCTTGTTGCGTAGGCATGCGTGTAGAGTCGCAGGAGATGACGTTGTGGGCGGCGTGGGCGAGGTACGAGACCATTTCGCGGCTGACTGGTTGGTAGATGAATTGCTCGAGAGCATGCTTGTTGAGCTCATCGACGGTGAGCATTCTTGGTGATGAAGAGGCCATGATGTGTGGTTGTGAGAAAGGTGGTTGAGTGTGCATATAGAAAACAGAAACCAATGGCTGGGGTCACCCTTGTGAGTGGTGGTTAAAGAGAGTGAATGAGGTGACGACCAGGCAACCTATTGGATGTACAAGGATAGGTTGACGGCGAAATCTGGAGAGAGCGGCCTCAAAGGTTGATATAAGTAATACGGCTTGTAAGAACAAGGAACGTATCAAGTATATGAAGCAGGGAAGGAGACCTGAAGAAGGGAGAGGGTTGATAGGCGGATCGAAAGGGAAGAAGGAGATGACACTCTGGGGGAGAGGTGAATTAAAAGTCAGAAAAGAGGTGAAGAGCCGGATAGAGGTAAAAAAGGGAGAACGATATGGGGTCCGAAAGCAAGACAAGAATGAAGCGGGAACGAGTTTAGAGGAGGAGCATGTGGACAGGGACTCGAGACCAGAAAGCAGAGAGGGCGAGACAATGGAGCAGGGCTGTTTCCGTCTTTGGAGCTCTGTTCTTGTTGCAGGATGGTTTGGATTTGGTTTGGCGGGCGCAGCAGTGCAAGGAGTGTGATGGTAGCCTGTAAATACCTAGGCTATAGGTAGCGGTGGCCCGGTGGATTGGCGGTGGGATGGCGGTGGGATAGTGAGTGGGCTAGCGGACGGTTTTAGCGATCAAAGTGCCTGAAAAGGCTGGACAGGTGGTGGGTTCCAGGGGGTGGGGTTGTCCTGACAAGGGACGCTGATGCAACGCCGAGGGAGGGGGCGTGGCTGTTCTCAAGGGTGGCGTCAGCGGGTGACGTTCTTGGCAAAAAAGAAAAAGGACCCAGGTACAGATCCACGAGGTCACTCGCCCTTGCAGTGTGCCTGATTCGGGCTTCGTTCAAGAGGTACACGCAAGTTGACCTAGTCTTGCACACAATGCGCAAGTCGCATCCGAGTTCTGCGGGGACGATGAGCCTACCGGGCTGGCCGACAAGGATTCGGACGGACAAGGTGGCGTTGAGCCCAAGTTAAGGTTTGCAGTAGCAAAGCGCCAATCAATGACTTGGCCGGATGTGCCAACAAGTATCGTTGCTGAATCGTCGACTGAAGATGCTTGGTTGCAACGGAGAATAGAATCCGCAAGGCAGAGCAGTCAATTGTAATGAACAAGGTCGAGAATAGATTCGCAGAACAGAATCGTCCGTTTGAATATCGCAATGCAGTCGAATCCGCAAAAGCAAGTCGATCCACCCTCAGGCGAGAATGGTGGTGTACCGTATCGGTGGTGTTGGCGGTGATGGTGTTGTGCTAGTGGTGCAAGGGCGAAAAAGCAAAGGTTTGAGCGATCCGAGGGTACTGTGGCTGCAGTCTCCTTTTCTTGCGCAATTGGCGAGGTGAAGAATCAAGAAATTGATTAACTTTTGTCAGAGTTCTCGATTGGTTTCTTTGTTGGCAAAATATCAAAGAAGTTAATGCAAAGAGCAGCAGCCAAAAGACAGCGTCTTGTTCTCGAGATCGGTTTGAAGTGAATCAAGTATCGGGATCGTCTTTCAAGCCTGTGGGGAAGCGTTGGCTCGCCAAGTATCCGTAGTCAGGGTCGGCTTGCGTAATTGCTTTTCTTATCCTTTCAGCTTTCCTTTTCTTCCGTAGGAACGACTCGGAGGACGGCAACTAAAGAAGACCAAGAAACAGTCAAGAGGTCCAAGCAACAAACCGGCGCCGTCTGCTTTTTGGCCAAAGATGGAGGTTCGAAAGATTGACAAAAAGAATGTCAAGTATTTTGCTTCCTTTTTCCGTTGGAAAAGGAGATGATGAAAAACGAAAAGAGACGAATGGTTCACGTTGTGATATATATAACAGCCGTGAAGCTGCAATGTCAAACGACAGACCACGACCAATAATGCAAACGCTCGACGAGGGAGGTTGGGTGGACTGATTGATGGGCAAAAGCCGTCAGCTGGCGCGGAGGAGAATATTGGGCGATAGTGGCTGTAAAGCCTGTAGCGCTAAGCTTTTTGGCGGATATAACAGTAGAAGGAGATGCCCTGTAATTTGCCGATTTGTCCTGTGCCTTGTCTGCAGAGATGCCCTGTATTGTCTCAAAGAATTAGCGGCCGAGCGCTGGAATGTGGCTGCCAATGACGGGCTGGGCCACTTTTGCTGGAATGCTGTCAAAATTGGGGGCGCCGCACTCACACGCTTCTTTCTATCTATTTCTTGAACAATGCAGACTTGTAAAACAAAAAGGTCGGGACCCTTGCCAGCAAGGGAAAATACCAGATATGCAGGATGGAAATTGGAAATTGGAAATTGGCCAGCAATTTGCGGTTCGTCTGTATCTCAAATACAGAATGGCAATGTATCAGATCAAGTCGTTTCCGCACAGCAGTTTTTGTCTGTAAACAAAGCTATCGCAGCTTATTCTTGTTCTTTCTCTTCTTTCCTGACGGTTTAGGAAAAGAAAAAAGAAGGGAAAGACGAGGAATTTCGACAAGAAAATCGTCAAGCCGCAAGGGAGTGGAAAAATTGCTACCAGGCAACTCGAACCGGATTTTTCCACACAAGGGAGAAATAAGGCGACACTGAAGCAAAAAAGGGAGCGCGTATTAAACAGTAAATGAACCAAAGCGAATATCGACAACAAAGAAAAAGGGCAGAAACAATAGTGAAGAAGAAGAAGAAGAAGAAAGGTATATCATTCAAGGGAGATGGGCAGAACAAGAATCAATCTATCGAAAGTGGACTTGGGCTCCCCCATATATTCAGCAGTCTTGCCCACGACGCTGCTTGCGTGCAGGGGACCAAAATAGAAATTAATTTACGTCCATCAAAAGGTTGTTTACGCCTGATGATAGACTGGACGACCACGCAGGGGCAATACAAGAGATTCACGACAGCCAGCCAGTCCCAGCTCGGCGCGTAAATCTCGTGCCACCCCCGTGTGGTAAGTATCGGCGGATACCACGCCACCAGTGCAAGGCGCATCCTGAATCAACAGAGCTGTACCAAGTACGTACGGAGGTAAATGTTTTTTTACTAATCCGTACCCTGGGCCATGCATCGTCAGTAAACGCTTTCCTGGCCAGTCAAACGGCCTGCGGCGCACTGTCGTCCATACCGTGGCCCCCCTTCTCTGCAGCCCTTCCCAGATGGCGGGCTCCGTATTGAGGTATTGTAGATGCCTGTAGTTTGGTCATGGTTCAACTCCCGCCACTTGTTACAGATTTCAAAGGTGGTGTTCTTGATTTTGAATCAAGACGCTAGCATCGTCGGGTTGAAGAGGCAGGGCAGATTCCCGTGCTAAAAACTGGCGAGATGGCCTCTGCCAAACAAACCGCTTCAGTCGCCCGTCGTATGAATGAATACAAGCCGAAAAACCCAATGGGTGGTCAGGCAGGCCGGCCGGGGGCCGGTTCCATGCGCGGCCCAAAGAAATCTTGTATGTACCGAGGCGCTCTGCGGTGGAACCGGGGTTGGGGCTCTGCATTCCTGTCTCGCCTCCGCCAACGATGCCTCGAGTATTACAGTTGTCTTGAGAACAGATATTGAGATGGACAGGCTGCATTTCTTCTCTTCCTCGGTAGTTGTTACCTATTCATTGCTTCTGCATTGTCGCAATGCTATTCTCGCCTCCAGAAAAACAGCCCGCAAGCCCGAATCTCAGACTCGCATCGCCGCCCGCTCTCGAGATCACCCTCCCCCCCCCCCCTCCCCGGTCAGGCCGTTGCACTAGCACGCTCTCAGGAAGCGGCAGTAGCTTCATCTTGACTGGTTCTCGAGTGCTCTCCCCTGTTAGCTTCGATCCGAACTCCCGGCTGTTCCAGCCTCGCGATTGGTCCAGTCGCAGTGTTCATCCCTGCTTCCCGCACATAACGCCAGGCATCTTGAAACATGCACCTCGGCGGGCCAAACGGGGGGGCGGACCACAGGCTCTGCTGCTGCGCTGCTGCTCTAAATAAATGATTAAAGCAACTCGCTTCTATTTCCCCAACCACACACATTGTAGTGAACTTGTATTTTTTTTCGATTCCGTCTGAGCTATTTACTGGTGCTACTGTCCCGTCCAGTGGATGCGCAGGCTGTCTCGCTCGCTCGCTCAGGAGGCATCAACAATACGAAACACACAGCACTGCAATCTAAAAGGAACGTTTTGCATGTTGCAGGCCTAGGCCAAGCAAGGCTCTTCTGCTTCAGTAAGCGCCGTGACACACACACACACACATACATGTTCTGCAAAAGATTACTCTAGATTCCCGAGTGGGCTCTTTGATGCCCAAGCACATTTTGCACGCTCGTTACACTCACAGATGATGACTGATTAGCTCACATGACAGTCATTGTGCACCCGTGATCTTTGGTTCAGGCGTTGTTGTGCTTTGCTTGACTGCCAAAAGAATGAGAATGTTTTTTTTTTTGATCGTCAGACTAATCCCATCACAGTATCACATCAGAGTAAATTCGTGCAGCGTTGGATCTAAGCCTCCTTTTGCTGTTTTGCTTTTTTTTCGATGCATGAACCTGACACGAGCGCATTCATCATGATTTTTTTTTTAGCTTTGCGTGAATGATGATCAATCTGATTCTTGTTAGCGTGCTCAATGGCATTTCACCAACTCGAACTCTTGTAAATTAACAATGATAATGCATCAATAATACATGATTAACATCAGCCAAGACGGTCCGCTCCCTGTACAACGGTACGCTAGCGCCCGTGTCTGTGCCAAATCATTTGACACGGCAACCGCATCTATTTAGTGGACAATCATTCATTCGTCCGAGTTCATCTTGTCTTCTTTTAGGTGAATGGTGATGCTCGGGCCTTTTTTTTTCCTCTTGCAATGTTGTCTAGTTGTCTAGTCAATGGAGCAGGAATGAGTCTGCTCCCACCTGTATTTGTCGCTGTCAGGACACCGTCAAGAACCCCATCCATTAGTTAGTACTATTTATTACCAGGCCGACCGATATCCACGACTAGCGATTCGCCCAAAGTTTGAAACTTGCTTCAAACGGTTCACTATAGCATAAAGGAGGGGGTAAAGTAGTAGTTGCGCAGCCTAGGAAATGATTTTTTTTTTTTTTGCAAAGGCTCTCAAAGCTCTCTGACCAGATTCCATCACCTCTATCCGACAACAGTCCTTGTAATTTTGCCCATGGGTGTTGCAAAAGAGGCCGCCGCACCAGTCAGTAACTTGAGGTGAGCTCATGTCGCCGCATTTGGCCGCGTCAAGGACCCTCCCTCGTGATAATGCAAGGTTCATTGTCATGCAGATACCTTGACCAAGCAGTTTACTGAGTATACGTAGGCGTGTTTCCCTTTTCCAATAAGAACAACGCATCATCATAAGAACCTGTTTGTTTAAAACCAAAAAGAAACACCTGGCTGTCATTGCCTTTTCAATGCACATTGCGCACCCAATCATCTGGTCCAGACTAGCTTTAACCTTCTACAAGCCGGCTCCCCGTCGATCCCGCCACCTATCCCCTGTTCCTACGCCCCTGGGCAAGTTTGACTGGCTTGCGCCGTTTTGTTTAAGCATTCAGCGCCCACGGGCAGTGTTACAGAGCGCATCCAGAAGCCTTCTTTTGGCTCTGACTTGAAACCACCCCCTATTTAGTTTAATCCGTACCAGGCAGACAAAGTCGTCCCTTTTGGGGAATCGTCTCCCCCCCCCCTCTTTGCGCTTGGCCAAGAAGAGTTACTCGACATCACTGTGTTGCTTGCTTGTTGTGTCGCCCGCCTAAATAGTGATGCATCAACCAACAACGGCGCCTGCAATATCCCACGCGTCTTTTCCCGACACCGCTGTAGTAGGGCGTCGCCAATGTTCCCAACTAAGTAGTCCGACTTTTATCCATGCTCCCGCTCGCAGGCTGGCGCCGCAGCTCCGTTGGGGAACCACACTTGAACTCGTCTGCGCTGCGGGCTGGAATGCCGCCACGCTGGCGTCCCAGCCACAATGGACCGCGCAAGCTTTCTTTAGACTTTTTCGCAACTAACTGGAACCCCTGAATAAAGACATAATTCTCCGCATTCCAACACCATTACGCTACTTGCCAGTTATTCAATCAGCCCGGTGAACTGGACGCAACTCAAACCTGTGATTCGTTCGCTTGGGCTCCCTAGTTCATTTTCCTTGAACCAGTCGAAATGAAATTGTCGGGACATGCCACTTTACGCGGACCTCTCCACGGTGGCAACGCGCTGGTTGCTGGTAAAAGCGCATTCCAAACAACTCTTTGCAGCATTGACCCATGATTTTAATCTGCAAGAACGATCCATGCTCTCTCGGCTCTCCTTTTCTACGCACGCCCCCCCTCCCTTGTTGAACAAAGGCTGGTACTTTGAAAAGATGTATCTTGTTTGTCCTCTTGTGAACTGCATTTTTCCCCGCCTTACTTGTTCGCCTTACTTATTCATTGCTATGCGCAAACTTCGCCTTGCCGCAGACTTCAGCTTTCAGAACGGGTGTTCATGCCTTTGCCCACTGCAGATCCCCATATCCTGCAATTTATTACATTACGAATGCGCAGGTCCGAATGCAGGACATGTTTGGACGATATCTGCCTTATTATTATTATTATTATTAAGGGATCATGGCAAGGCAACGATGCAGGAACCGCCCGAGTCAATCAATTGCCTGCTTAGCCATCAATTTTGGACGATATCTGCTCTATTAGTAATAAGGATCATAGCAAGGCAGCGATGCAGGAACCGCCCGAGTCAATCAATGCCTGCTTAGCCATCAATGCGTGGTAGATCCCGCACTTGCATTGTTGCGACGAAACAAGTTGCATTGAGCCTGTACAAGAAAAGAAGAAAAGACGAAATAGGCAGCTGCTTTTTTAAGCATGCTTAATCTTGGCATGATACGAGCCTTTTGACTCGTACTTGATCATTTTTTTATGCCTTGATGGCTCGATATCGACAGTACTGGGCTATTATCATGATATCATATTCTCATGAGCCCCGTCGCGAATCTGTCCTCGTCAGCCTTGACATGGCCTTTGTCCTCTCGGCGGAACTGCTCCCTTGCAATCCGCTTCCGTCGGAGAATGGCCCGGCCTGTCGGCACCCGGTGCAGCTTCTCGTCACTCTTGTCTCTTCTCTGGTCAAGTTGATTGCCTTTACTCTAATCAAGTCGATTCACTGATCAAACAGGTCCCTTTGCGGCCTGCCCACTGCCCTGCAACCCAATTCTCGTATTGCACCTCTATTATTATAGATCTGCGCTCCATTCAATAGCTGCGTGGCCTGCTTGCACTGTGCGCCGTGCGCCGTGCGGTAAACCTGGCACTGTCATACATAGCCAACCAGTGTCTTTTGTTTTTCACCCGAGCATGGGCCAAGCCGCCCGATGTTTGCTCTGACCTCATCAGCGCCATTTCGTGCGTCCATCCCCGCAGATGCAATCTCGCGCAATCAATAAATCTAACGCCGAGAAGCGAGCGGCATCTTAGATTAAAGTCTCGTTATTTTGCACCAATATTCACGGCGATATGCCCCCATCGAGGGAGAAGTTTGATGAGTTTGATTGCCCTGTTGCCCTATCCGGTAACCAAGTAGGTTCGGCGCCTCGAGAGCCTCCCTTTTGTCGCTACCACCCGGCAACAAGAAGACTAATGAGAAAAAATGGCTCCATCGAGAATTTAAAATTTTTGATAAGACTCCTTCTTTCTTTTTGATGTAGAAACAAAGACAGAGTTCATGAAACAAAGACTTGGGATGCTCCTCTGTCGCCCCTTCAACATGGCCTCCCTTGGAATGCCTGTCTCAGCTCCCAATGCTACCGACTTTGACCATTTCGCCATCTGGTCAGTCCAGTCCAATAGATGATACAGCCCATCCACTCTGACTATACGCTTCAACAACTTGTCAACTTTAGATACTCCATATTAAATCACGCAAGGATTTTGTACCGAGGCCATTTGCCCTGCAGGATGCGGTCTGATAAAGCCATCTGGCACTGCCTGCACCATCTCGCTGCTCAACGTTGGTTCCTAACACGTCCTAAAGCAAATATACATGCCACTGATATCATATGACTCAGCACCCTGACAAGAATGGCCATGAATATCAGTCGTCATGAGACCTGTAACATGGTATTATCGCCCAACTTGGCAATGACAGCGCCGCAGCGTAAGCTGCCAAGTTGTTGATATCGCCGGCAAACCCAGAGCAGACAGGCACACAGACCACACAGGTTATCATCTGCTCCATGTACCAGTCCCCAGCTCGTCTTTTAGCTAGAGTGCTCATACTTCCTGTCGACAGGCAATTGGATATGCAGGTTTCCGCGCCAATGCTTCACATATGCGTCAGTTCCTTGCCCACCACTCCCCTTTGCGGCTCCCTTCCCGGATGAATCAAACGTCGTCTTGCGGCGTTCATGGCTCTGTTGACGCCATAGTAACCAAGACTTCCTAATTTGTTGGAAAAATAGAGTCGTAGTAGTCACATGGTTGAGTAGAGCGAGAATCAAGGACTGGTGAGCTACGCTTTGCTTTTCATACATCGTGCCGGCATGTTGCTAAAGGGACATTGTATATTCAGATTCCCCAGTCATAACTCAAATTCAATTTACAATTTGAAACGTTCTTGATAAGGCCGAATTCTGTTACCCGAGGCATCTTGGCAGAAGAAGGGAAGGTGAGAGCATTGGTCCAGACACCCACTGAAATCTTTTTTGGTTAAGTTTCAATACTATTTCTTTGTATAAAACCAAAAGGTTACTCACTTGCTACTGCTGACCGACGAAATGGCGTGTAGGCCAATGCCGTTGGCATCAATGTCAAAGTAGATCCAATTAACGAAGAATGCTTGCAACAGACCTAGAATGGCCTTGCCCAGAAATGCATCAAGATTGTAGCCACCATTACTCTATTGTGCCAAGTTGTCCTGGCTTACCCGGTACCTGATGGACCAAAACCGCCGCCACGCACCCAGTTCTGCGTTTCCGGCCGGGAAAACTTGCAGACAGGCTAAACAGAGCACGGGCTACCTGCTGGACACTTCAAAAACATTGCCTCAAACTGGTCTTGCCGTTCTGGAACAAGATGCCCACCACAGAGTAGCCCAGCATCAGGGACACAAATGCATTGGTGCGCTCCACGCAGTGCTAAGGAAAAGGCGCGACGAGCTGGACGTTATATGTTGTGTGCGGCGTCTTCGTTGAAGCTACTAATATCAGGTTGGTAGTGAAGCTGGCAAGGGGTGTGTCAGAACTTGTGCGGGCAGAGTGTTTGCGGATTGGACTATAGGAGAACCATTTTACCCGACAAGACATGCGAGGTTGAAGAGGACTTTGAGTTTGGTCAAGACGTCGTTGGACTCGAACCAGCTAAGGGTAAAGGTGACTTTGGTCCAAATCTTCCACGACATGATGAACGTAATGGCGAACCGCAACAGCTCACGACCGGTAGGCTCTTGAGCCATATGCTCACCATTCAAGTGAATAATGCCGACTATTGAAATGGCCCTCCAACCAGCGTGGCCTTCATGGGCTACGTCATTGCCACATCCCGCCTTGTCCCCGAACTTGTCCTTTCGTCCGACATGCTCAACACGCATGCGGGAGCAGCTAACAGAAAACTACCGCGCGCTTGCCAAGGAAGAAATTCAGCACCGGCGTACGCTACTTTTAACTGCCAACGGCTTGGCGATTGCGCTGCTGTCCATGATGGCCATTGCCATCAGCCACAAGCTCCGGGCGTGTCGTTGAAAGGCCATTCCTTTGTCAGCGAGACGCACCATGTACGCAAACAACTCGGCGCAAAGAAGGAAGAATAAAATGAAAATATGCCATGTGATTAATTATCGGGTGGTTTTGCACCGTCTCATTTAAAACGTAGTGCTGTAGGTCGAGGCTTACACATGTATTTGGGACGATTTGAGTCACAGCACCGTAGGTGCTTCTTTCAAAAAGACATTTTCAAGACTATTTGGATCGTAAGATCAACTTGGATTTACTTGACTTTATAATTTGTACATTTCGAGACCTATCTAAACCCCAGGCTTCCCAATCATCAGTGAAAAGCGGGCCGGATTCGCAACGCTATAAACGAATCATCTCGAGCGCAATGTCCATGGCGGGCAGCAGTAGCAGCAGCAGCAGCAGCAGCAGCAGCAGCAGGACGAAGAGGAGGACGAGGATGAGAACAGATTTGGCGACGACAAGAAGCTGACGTAAACAACGGATGATCACCGCGTCGACAGCCCTGGATAGCGCCGGGCAGCTAAACGCCAAGTCAAACGAGCGGTGAGCCGTACGGCTGGTGAGTACATGTGGTGTCAGCAAGGAGCAGAAAAGAGCAAGCCATGTACACAACCAATCGACGGCATTGACAAAGAATGGATATTGCCATTTTGCATTTTAGTGAGCCGTATCAGTTGCTTCATTTCTATTACCCTGGTGCCGAAAACGTAAAGAAGAAGAAAAGAAAAGTTGAACAATAACGACAAAAGAGTAAATCCAGTCAAGAAGAAAAGCCAATCGTTGCCCCAGTCTACACTGTACATGAAAGAGACATGGGGAGCGCGCTCCAATCCCGACTCTGGACTGTTTGTACTCGTCCCTCTCCGCGCTCCCCCCCCCCCCCCGATGTAATGCAAAATAACCAAACGCAGCACGAGACGTCGTTTCTGTTTCGGTCCCCACGCCGAGACACCTTCAACTCACCATGCTCTCCGGAGCACGGTACCTGTTTTGCTCATGTAATATCCTAGAGCTGGTGGGGGAGTTGTTCCAATCTCAACGCCCCGTGAAGAAGCACCTCGAGAGTTGACTGCGTTTTCTTTCGTAAATATATACTTTGCTGCGTCCGTGTTAAGAAAGGGCTCTTTTCACCTACCGCCCCTGTGGAAGGGTACTCGGACCGGCCACTTCATACTTCTAGTTGTAGTAGCCGGTGCCGCGACCCGCAGGCATCGGCTCATCGTCGTCCTCAAAGTATGGGTGGTTGACGGCGGCCTTGGCGGAGAGGCGGCCGGCGGGATCGTATACGAGCATGGCCTCGAGCAGATCAAGGCCGTGTTCACCGAGATTATGGCAGAGGGCGGAGGAAAAGTCTCGCTTCCACTTGGGAAAGGACGACTTGAAATCGGGGTACGAGGTGACGCCCGGCCAGACGTCTTCTGTGGGTGTTCCGAGGGCACTATCAATTTCGCGTGGCCATTGGTTAGATATACGGGAGATGGTGGTGGGTGTAGAAAACAAGTACGCGAGGGCAGTTCAATTCATACCGGAAAATCTTGAAGATTTCGTCAATTTCCGAGTCGCCGGGAAAGAGCGGCTTGCGGGTGCACATTTCGGCAAAGATGCAGCCGACGGACCACATGTCGACGCCGGTCGAGTACTGGCGGCCGCCGAGCAGAATCTCGGGCGCGCGGTACCAGAGGGTAACTACCTCGTGGGTGTAGGTGCGGAGGGGCACGCCAAAGGCGCGGGCGAGGCCGAAATCGGCGAGCTTGAGGTTGCCGTCGCGGTCGATGAGGAGATTCTGGGGCTTGAGGTCGCGGTGCAGGACGCGGTGGGAGTGGCAGTAGCGGATGCCCTCGCAGAGCTGGCGCATGAAGCGCTTGATGACGGCGTCGCCCATGCCGAGGCGGGACAGGTGCGCCGAGGAGCCCTCTGGGAGGGCCTTGCCGCGGCCGCCTTCGGAGGTGGGCAGCGACTCCATGTACTTTTTGAGGTCGAGGTCGAGAAACTCAAAGACGAGGTAGAGCTTGTGGCCGTCGGCGTGCACAATGTTGAAGAGGCGCACAATGTTGGGGTCCTTCATCTCCTTGAGCAGCGAAATCTCGCGGATCGCGGTGCTCGGCACGCCCTCGTCCTCGGCCTCGAGACGAATCTTCTTGAGCGCGACGATGCGGCCGTTATTCGCAAGGTCGCGCGCCTTGTATACGACGCCATAGGTACCTGGATTTTTTTTTTCCCCGGCGACGGAGGGGGAAACACGTTAGCTGGGGCTGGCTGGGGCGACGGTCTTCGTTGTGTCATGTGTGTTCTGCCGTCGTATTATTGCGAGGCGCGCGGAGCTGCTGGTACTCACCCTCGCCGACCTTTTCTAGTTTTTGGTAGTTTTCCATGGTCCTCTGTGTGCGGTCTGCGTGTGTGTTATCGTCCTGTCTTGTCGTCCGGAAAGAAACAGGCCCGCCCGTTGGATGACTCGTTTGGAAGAGAACAACAACAACAACAACAAAAAATAAACGAATGAGAGTGACAACAATAGCCAGACAGGGAGAGAGAGAGAGAGAGGAAAAAAGATTAGACAGAAGAAAGCGTCGAGAGGCTACCCGTACGAAAAGTGCTTAGGTGGGGTGCGAGGCGGGCGAGGTTTATGAGGGTCAAGTTCTCAAGGGCGAGCAGAGATTATGAATGGTCCGTCAACAAGAGGTCCGACCAGGGCCTTTGCTCACAGTCACACCACCAAAAAGGGGCGTCTTGTTCAATCGGCACGCTGCAAGCTCATGTCGTTTTTCTGTTGGAGTAATCTCGTGTCGTACCGTTTCGATGTTCTACATGAAATTGGTTCACAGCTGTTGGCTTCTAGATTGTTTTGGTGCTTGTCAGGGCCTCGTTCGTCCCTCTTGTTTGTGTGTGTTGCCGTGTTTACTTGTGATGGGGGTAGCGGAGCGACGCAACGGCGTTTGTTTTGGGGGGGCTAGCTTATCGAAGCATGGGCAAATATCGAAAGTCTCAAACAGAGCCAAAACGGCATATTTCCCAGCTAAAAAAAATAACGGGGGAATCTCTGTTGCTGTGCATTTATCCTTGCAACATGCCCGTCCGCGTCATAATCCCGCCTTTTGCTCACCCCGCGCGTCGACGCGTTGTGGCGGGGCCTATCGATAACAGCTCGTTGTTGCATCACCAACCCAGCTGTGGCTGTTCTTTCTTCCTTTCTTTCTAGGGATACTTCAGGCTTAACAGCCCGATGGTGCATATGATATACTGTCGAAAGTCACAAACTCGTGTCGTTTCGGTCATTCTCAGCCCACGTTACGCTTCAGGTCCAGTATTTTGCTCAGCTTCAGCTCGCCCCGAGCTCCCCAGCCAGACGGCCCCGACTGCACATCCGGCCGCACAGCCACGTACCAGTTCCACGCTCTCTTGTCCAGCTCATTCTTGCTCAGCGCGCCCGCCCAGCTCTCCACGACGATCCGCAGCGCGCCAAGCAGCCTCCCCAGGTTCTCCTGCTTCTCCGCGTCAATGGCCGTCACTGTCTTCTTGGGGCTGCCCGCTGGCACCACCGCGGGCGACGCAAACGAGCGGAGCAGGTAGTTTCGCGCGGCTTCGGGCCGGTGTATGCCCATGCCGACGGTCGATGTAGCCGGACTCGCGTCCTGCGTGTCGAGACCCCATACGGCAGCTTCGCCGGCCACAAAGCTCGCCGTGCGCCGCTGCGACGCGAGCGCGTCGTTGACGCACTCGCGCATCAGCCGCCACCGGTCCGGCCCCAGCATCACACCGCCGTACCACCGCGTCAGAACTACGAGCGTATTCGTAATATTAGCCTCCCTCAAAATCTCCAGCATAAACTTGCCGCAGCCGGTCTCGCCGTCGTCAAACGAGGCCTGCTGCACCAGCGGCGAATTGCCAAAGCTGGTGCGAATGGCCCACGCGTTGTGCGACGCCGTCTCCAGGTCGGGACGCTCCGTCATGAGCTGCCTGATGAGGCCGGGCCGCGAGCCGGCGTTGGACACGGACGCCGCGTGGGCTACAAACGTAGAAGCCCGCGACGTCAGCGTCGAGCTCGCCGTCCACGTCTTTTCACTCCCGTGCGACGCGCTCGCGCCATCTGTAGAACTGTCCGTCTTTTTCTCTGGTGCACCCGACCATGTGTAGTCGCCACGCTTAAGCACGGGAATCTCGCGACCCATGACGCGCACCTTGGGCTGGCCCTCGGCGACGGGCACCTCCCCGCCAGGCTTCTCGATGCCGATACTGACAGCCTTGCTCCGCGAGTTGGCGCTCACCAGCGCCTGCGCGAGGCTCAGCCTGCTGCTTGGCGGTTGCTCCGGCATCGTCACCCGCAGGAGCTCGACGGCGAAGGCGAGAACTAGCGGCGCTCTGTTTGTCACGACGGTGGTGTCGCGTATCAGGGTTTCGTCCTCAACCAGCGGTAGCTCCATTGACGCTTCTAGATCATCCGCCGCCATTGAGCTGTAGTCTAGGTCGTGTTTCGTGGGCTCCAGCTTGGGCTTCTTTGCTTTTGGTGACGGCGCGTCCTCTGCGCCGCGCTTAGCTGCCGCCGCGGGCTTCTTACTGTGTGATTTGCATGCTGTGTGCAGGCCCTTGGCCAGCTTTGCGTCTTTCAGCGCGTCTTCTACTGTCGCCAGCGGGGCGTCTGCTATTTGTTCGATGCTGGTATTCGTCAATGTTGGTCCCGTACGTGTCCCATGACGTGTGCACCAACCTCTTGAGATTCATTGCCTGGAGTGACTTGACGTGACCCATGGCTGATAACACGGGGACTTTCCGGGCCGTGAGCATGCGCAGCAGCTCCTGTAAATCAGCCTGGCCCGCCATATCAGCGAGCTATGACACAAAAATGCCTCCGATCGTGTTCAATCAGAGCGAGCTGGTGTGGAAATACGACACAAAGCTCAGAAGCTAGGGCGTCTAGCCAGTGTAATTGCAAAAGATGACGTGGGTACAGGGTATGTCGATTCACGTTGTCGGTCGTCAACTTTAGGTCACTAGCAGCGACCCACTAATTTTGGAGAAGCTCAACAGCGGAATCGGCACCGACCCCTCGGCCCGTGGCGACTCCGAAAAAAAGTATCACATTGACCAGTTTAGACCTTTATTTGCACCACCAACATTTGCCTTCAACAACGACCTCGAGCCTTTCTGGGTTGGTTCGCTCGCCAATTACTCCACATCCTCTAGAAAACAGCGATGCGCACTCGATGAATCTCTGCGTGACAACGCGCCGCGGTGCCGCGGCTGCCCGCGCGCACTGCGCCGGGCGCTGGGCGCACAGCAAGACCAAGTCAGCCAAGCCGCGCCTCGGATCCAAGCCCAAGGCCAAGGCACCCATGCCCACGGCCCCTTATAAACAGTACGAGATTCCTTACCCGTCAGTAGCCGCGCGCTTCTCGACTGACCCCCCTTACCCAGAGCCTCGCAGGCCCGCCCGCGACCGCCGCCGCCGCCGAGATCCCACCCCCATCAAGCCGACACCCTCCTGACCGTGTGGCGCGCGACGTGGCTTCCCCTCAGCGGCGCGGCCCTCGTCGCCGGCGCGCTCGGCTTTTACATTTTCGGCACCGCCGCCGCCACATACAAAGCCGGTGCCGCCGACGCCGTCCCGTGCGCGTGCGACGAGTCCGCGACGCCGACGGGCCGTCCGCCGGCCCTGACGGGCGACAACGCCGAGCAGTTTGACAAGGAGCTCGACTGGCCCGAGTACTGGATGGGCATTACGAGCCTCCGGCGACGGCTGGCAGCGCACGCGCGGGGCAACGTGCTCGAGCTGGCCATGGGGTCCGGGCGCAACCTCGCGTACTACGACTGGTCGCCCATAACGAATGCGCTCGAAGCGGCGGCGGCGGCTGCGCGAGACGAAGACGACGAGGCGAAGAAGAAGACGAAGACGAAGTCGACAACGACAACGACGGCCCGCGCGGCGGTCAACACAAAGGGCATCACGTCGTTTACGGGTCTCGACATTTCGGCGGACATGCTCGACGTGGCTTGCAAGAAGCTCACCAAGACGGTGCCCCCTCTCAAAGACGCCGCGCCCATTGTGCGCGCCGCCTCGTCCCTGTCGAGCAGCGACAGCGACAGCGCCGGCCAGCTCTCCTTTCTCTCTGGCCGCCTCCGCCTCGTCCGCTCCGACGCGCACCACGCGTTGCCGCCCGCACCACCATCCTTCTCTTCTTGCGCCTCGCCCAAGTACGACACCGTCATCCAGACGTTTGGCCTGTGCTCCGTGGCCGATCCCGTCGCCGTGCTGGCCAACCTCGCGTCGGCCGTCAAGCCGGACACGGGCCGCATCGTGCTGCTCGAGCACGGCAGGGGCTTTTTTGGGCTGGTGAATGGCTTGCTGGACCGCAACGCCGGCAAGCACTTTGCCAAGTACGGGTGCTGGTGGAATCGCGATATCGAGGCGCTCGTCGAGGAGGCGGCCCGGACGACGCCCGGCCTCAGGATTGTCAAGGTGGAGAGGCCAAAGGTGCTGCAGATGGGCACGTTGGTGTGGGTGGAACTCAAGGTGGAGGAAAACGTCGGCAAGGGAGAATGATACGAAATAAAAGCCGGATATTGAATATTTGAAAGTCGAGATGGACATGTATTATAGTTTGCATGCATAGGTCCACGTGCGAGTATAATATTGGCAGGTGGGTCTTGTAATCATATAATGTATAGATAGATGTGTGCTTGTTAATTGCAAAGTCGTCACGAATTATTCAACCTCAGGATATTCTAGGAGCAGTGAGTGGTATATTCTTTTCAAGTAAACCGCTAAACCAAAATGCACTAAAATCCCCGTACGCCATCCTATAAAAGAGCAAAAGATATAAAAAAAAGAAACCATTTTCCGTAACCAGTCCCTCTTTGTCGTAATCCAGTCTGAGCCAATTGCAGGGTCGTTGCCCAATGGCAACATTATATACATGTATATCATAGACATCCGCCGAATAATCCCCTCGCAACAGCGCGGTGAGGTGAGTATCGAACAAATTTTGTACATTGCGAAGAAAACAGGGGAACTCGCCCCGGGGCGATGGTTCAAGCGCAGCCCATACGCATCGCCCCATCGTACACTGTATAGCAGTCCTCGGCTCAGGAGCCAAGGTGCTTAGTAGGCGTCGAGGAGACCATCGAGTTCATCAATCTCGATGCTCTCAGCGCCCTGCTCGTCTCCAAACAGTCGTAGCCAGTTATCGGCGTCATCATCTTTGCGGATGATAGGGCCAACGCTGGGCTTAATAATGGGACTGGCAAGGAAAGCAGTAGATGAGGCAGTGCGAGTGTCGCTAAACCACATGTCGTCGCGGAAGCCATACTCGGCCAGGATGGCGCGCTCGGCGGGATCAACGACGACAGGTGTGGCTTCGGAGAGTTTGCGCTTGAGGACAACGTCGGCGGTGTGGGTGAACTCGCGCTCATCCTTCTCCAGAGGTGGCGAGTCGTGACGGAAGTCGCGAGCGACTCTTACTCGGCGAGAGGAAAATGAACCAGCGGGAGTAATAGGGAGGAACATGTCATCGAAGCCATCCTCGACTTCGTGAGGGGAAAGATCGACCTCGGGGGAGGGACTGAGCTCGCGGCGGCGACCCTCGACCTCAGAGCCAGAGTCGTCGGTAAGGGAGACGGAGGGGGTGACGATGGCGGCTGGGAGAATAGGCTGCACGATGCTGGGGTCAGGAAGCTCCAGGCGAGGCTGTGTAGTGAGAAAGAAGTAGGTGCGACGGGGATGGACAGTCTCGAGCTCCTTAGCCAGAGGGCAGGGAGCGGCCGAAGACCATACAGGACGCTTGAGGTATGAAGCCAGGCGAGAGGAGATGATGGCGCAAGGGTTGGCAGATCTGATCGTGTTGGGTTAGCGGTTTGAAGGCGCAAGGAAGAGTCAAGAAGGCTTACTGCTGAACCGAAGTGAGGGTCTGGCCGAGGACGATGGCGAGGTCTTTGACAAGATGGGGTCGGTTGCCAGTAGTCTGTAGCTGAACAATGACACCCTCGACAATGTCGTCGTTGACAGTAGACAGGTCAATCTTGGAGGCAGAGTCGGCGTCGCTCATCTCGATGCTGTCGGCGACGGTAGGGGAGGGGGGAGGTGTTTGGTTCAAGGCGTCGATGGGGGCAGGACCGGTGTGCGAACGCTTGAGACGCTTGCTGGGATGGGATTCGGCAGAGTCGGGTGATGGCGCAGTGGGAGATGTCGAAGGACGCGAAGCAGACTTGGAAGCAGAGGCGAGGGCGGCAGCGCGAGAGGCGTGCGTCGTGGGAAGGTGGATGCCTAGGCTGGGCAGCGACAGCGACTTGCGCCTTGTGTTGTAAGGCATGGCGGCGTTTGCGATGCGTGAGAGGTTGTTTGCTGAGGCGCAAGCAGTGTTGCAGCAGAGGAGGCAAAAGACAGGGAGAAGAGGGGTTGGCGAAAGTTTGTTATTGTATCGATATCAACCGTCGTCGCTTATTTAGGAGAAGGGGGCTTGCGGCACGGAGCGAACGCCTGACACGAGGAGGAGAGACGACGGATCCGGAAGCGTAGGCAGTTTGGGGAGTGGATAGCTGTCACCGGGGCGAGCAACGGGAAACAAGATTTGATGTACTGTGAGCAGGACGCTGCTTAACTGACTGTATGAGAGGAGTAGATTAATGTAAAGTGAAGATGTAAAAACAACAAACGAGTAACCCCATGCAAGACTATGAACAAGGGAAGCGGTGATGTGAAATGTTTCGGACAGTGTCGGGGGGTGGCCTAGCAAGAGCAAGGGAAGGGGGGGGCGGGATTCAACTTTTTGGTGGGCTGGTCTGGAGTGCGGCGTCTTTTTTTTTTTTTTTCCTTTTCCCTTTGGCTCGTCGAGCTGGCGCGGGCGCTGGTTTGGGGAGGCAGGAGCTGAGGCGATTAGCAGCCGGACCAGCAGGCCGGGGGGCTTTTTTTTTTGGGGGGGGGCCAAGTTTCCAGAGGACCAGCAAGCACGAGAGCTTTGAACTTTTTTCTTTCTGCATACTTCCTATTGGTTGGCAGCAAGGATGCCTGCATACCAGAGTGGGTCGCTAGAACGTCAGACAGCTGCACGGGCCATGTGCCGACCCTGCTCTTATTTTTCTGCCTCAGTTTCCCCAAGGGAGCAGCAACATTCCAACAAAGACGGTATTAGCAGAATACAAGTAAGACTTGTGCAGACATAATCTAATCGACATTTGATGAATTCAAGTCAACTATAGCACAATGTCTCTACTGGGTATTTATTTACATTTCACCCCGCCTTTTCTTCCTGTGCCAGACTGCATGGCTGCATCTCCTTGAACGTTTTGGAGTGATGCATCAAAAAAAAAAAAAAAGCTCACCGCCCACATTTTCCAGGTTCCCCACTCAGCCTCGGAGGAGCATCAGGAAATGCAGGTGGTAAGGGTCCAGCGAGGTACCGTTGCCGCACTACTGTACGGTGACGGTACTTTATTAATCTGCCTACCTACCTTACCAAGACGACCACATTTTTACCATTGTGTGCATGAGGCGGCTGGCTGTCTTTGTTTTGCATACAACCGAGATGGCGGTAAATAAAAAAAGAACAGTTCATATGCAAGTGCATTACTCGTTCATTCAACATTTTCTTGGATTGAAATATTGTCCCCCTGTGCATGTCTTGCAGCGGACTAACTTAACTCTACTTCGTGTAATAGAATCATTCTGCAAATCTGCAGCCGCCCACTACTTATCATCCACTCTAATAAATATTACCCATCGGACACTCCAGGTTTTCGTCGCCATGGCCGCCTGCACTTTATTTTTTTCCTTCTATCCGCGGCCCCTTGGCTGCTCTGCGTACAAGTGTATACATTTTTTTCCCTCGTCGCAGCCAGATTCAGCCAACAAGCCCCGCCCGGCGGTCCCTTTGGGGCAATGTTCCTGTGCCCATCTGTGCCCGCTCGTGACCAATCGTCGTTTGCCTAATGTATGCTCGTCATCCCTCGGCGACCGAATGTTTGTCCTCGCTGTTAGCCTTTTATTATTGTCAACGCTGTGTTCTCACCCAGAATTGTTGACATTGTGTAATATCAACCAGCCCATGTATATACAAACAGGGGCGGTGCCAACCAGAGTGAGATTTCTTATCAGTGATTCTTTTATTATCTTTTTTAATACCCTCCACCCTGCAAGTTACTCACTCCTTAACTGCTCTGCTGTCTGGTGCGCTTGATTGTACGATTAACAGACGGGGCAGTACACACCACTGCAATGCCTGCCGCAGACTTGTGTGATGCGCTGAGCTCTTCTGCTGGCCAGCACAATGAATAACCTGCTTGCCGCCTCGAGTATAAAACTGAAGCAGCCCGATCCGCACCAATAGGCCAGGCCATCAAAGTAAAACCCTGCAAAACACCCACAACTGCTACACTGTACGAGTCGTGACATCAACCGGCCCCTCTCTCGTCCAAGAATGGCAAGGAGAAACTCATACCCACCCACATTGTTTATAATAAGTTGGAGCTAACCGATGGCTTCCTTCAACTAACTATGATTTACTGCTCATTATTATTAGTTGCCAACTGACAGTTGACGAGAATAATGACAGTGTCACTGCACAAGTTTACTACGACGGCGATTTAGCACTGTGCCACCTGAATTTGCAACTTTTATTCTTATTCACTCCTTTGCAGTAAACTAGCCATCGTCGCTTAGCGTCACCTAAGGTACACTAACCTTTTGGTCCTGCACTTTGTCATTTAGTATGATCATCACGAGGTGTGATAAGCTTTCACCAAAAAAAAAAAAAAAAAAAAAACGGCCGAGGAAAAATGACACGACGCCAGCTGCTACCTATTCCGCACTTGCTGTTTCATCACCGTTGGTTCCGCGTTCTGTTCCCCCGTCATTCCAGCATCACCACGTCAATCCCATGCGGCTCTCTCCAAAGCCCCCAAGCCAGCCCCTTCTCGAAGGCTTGGCCTGGGCATGGCATCTTCGTCTCAGTGGGGTCCTTTGCTAGCCTCTTTTCCCATGTTCCGCCACCGCCCGACGGTCCCCAGCGACTTGGTAAACGGCAATGCTTCTCATCTGCAAGCCCCCCCCCTGCCCCCCATCTGACGACCATCTTTTCATCTTGCATCGCTAGCCACTTGCTCGGCGTCTTTTGTTGGCGCGCCCCCCTCTCTCTTGGCTTGTTGCGCCACTTTTCTCGCCGTGTAAGCCGAGCAAGGAAGAAAAAAAAAAAAGGGATGGATGTTCAGGAAGCCGTTCGAGGACTGGAACTTGCCGATTCATGACAAGTATCAAGAAGCTTTTGACAGCTTCCGATTGTTCTCTTGACTGTCTGCAGACAATGAAGCTCATGTCAATGTTAACGACTCCTTTCCCCTTTTAAATTTGCTCAGCGAGTTGCTCGCCCTCAAGACTGGTACCAGCTTCTCGCACCATCATGGCCGACTCGCTCCGATAATGGACCGTCCTGGCTCACCAGACTCCAATTTCCCGGCTTACTATCTGTGAAGAAAAAGAGGGGACCCTCATTTTTCTATCCTCTTTGTGGTGGAACTGCCAATTGCCCGCTTGTTGCCGTAGTAAAAAGCATCAAAATAAAGCTGCAGCAGCCAATTGGGCTCCGCTCGCCACAATATTGGCAATGGAGCACAACGCAGGTACGACGCCTTCACTGGAGCCTGTGGCTTGCATGTCGGCTGCTTTTGCTCTATAATATTTCCTATTATGCCTTTCAATATCATCTATCGCGCGAAACATGCCCCGGTCAATCTACCAATGGTCTGCTAATAAATAATAGCGATCATGGCCATGGTTTCTCACTCGGATACCGTTGTGCAATTTACAAAGCCACTCCATCAGCAGATGACATGCCTGTCTGTGCACTGCCGAACCGTCCGGGTCGCCGGGAGCCTGACAGCTGCAGACAAAGCTTTACCGATAAGCTTTGGCCTAGCCTGCTGTCACGCTACGTGTGTCGCGAATAAGGTTGCCTCTGCTGCGCAAGTCGACTGTGATGGTTGCATGTAGCCAAGCACAAGATTCAAACTGATGAGAGCACCAGACCACGGCCTAGATGCACCATTCGTCGCCTTTAGCCTGCGCTCTCCCGCGCCGCGCCAACGCTAGATGATGACACCCAGCAGACGATGACGGCCAGACTATCGATTGATCAGATTGATCCAATCCTTGCCATTTTCTGCTCCCGGCTGCTCGCGTGTTAGTAGTGCGGCCGCCCATAGCCGGCTAGGCGGGGAGACTCAATGCCTGCCATTATCTGTTGCCTCTGGCGCAGTGTCTCATGAGGTGTGAAAAATACAGGGGAGTCCGTTTTATCTTGGTTGCCTGCCATGTTTTGCACCAAGACCATTATATTGGGTATAACCATCTTATCAATGTATTTGTCTTGCTGTCCAATCAGAAAAAATGATTGACTTATCCTTTGCAAAATTCTTTTCTTGATGTGTAGGGGCAGATGGAAGACTCGGTGACTCATCGGCAAATGCTCGGCTATCAGTTCATGGCCACACATGTGTATACTTTTGTTATGACGGAGCCTCTCGTCTTGTTCCTACCGATCACTTACACGGCCTCCACAGCCCACTTTAGCCTGTCAACACCAGGGCGCGAGAGCGGAGATGCATGTCATTGAGCATATAAATTCAAACATGACTGTTTTTTAATGTGTAGATCAATTCAACCTCGTTATTTGGTACCAAATATCACAAAAAACAGCCAAGCTGCACTTGTAACCCAAGAGAAACAAATTCTCGCAAAATCTCCTCTCACTTATATTTACAATCCCTTCCATCATCACCCCGCACCCTCCACAACGTCACCACACTCAAACCACACCCATCACCATGGAGCTTCCCTTTGAGACCTACGACGTCTTCACCGACACGCCCTACCGCGGCAACCCCCTCGCCGTCGTCACCATCCCCGCCGACCTGCCCGCGCCGCCCACCCAGGCCCAGAAGCAGGCCATTGCGCGCGAGTTTAACCTCTCCGAGACCATCTTCATCCACGAGCCGGCCGCGGCGTCCAGCAGCAGCAGCACCTCGCGTGACGTGGACATTTTCGTCACCACCAGCGAGATTCCCTTTGCCGGGCACCCAACCATTGGCGCCGCCGTGTCTCTCCTCAACGCCGGCGGCGGCGTCGACACCATTGTCACCAAGGCCGGCCCCATCCCCGTGTCCAGCACCGGCGCCGATGCCGCCCGCGCCGCTATCCCGCATAACGTGCACCTGCACGCCAAGAAGCTGCGCGACCTGCCCGCGTCCTCGCCGCACCTCCAAGGCCTCTCCGCCGTGCCCGCCGTGCGCGCCGCCGAGATGGACGCCCCCATCTACAGCATCGTCCGGGGCATGAGCTTCATCCTCATCGAGCTGCCGTCGCTCGACGTCCTCGCGCAGGCCACCATGTCGTCGTTTACCGGCCCCGTCGAGGAGCTGCTAGACGACGGGTGGCGCACGGGTCTCTGCATCCGATTCTACTATGTGCGGACGGGCGCGCGCAGCGGCGACGACGGCACCGAGGTGGTGACGCTGCGCACGCGCATGATTGACGCGCTTTGCGAGGACCCCGCCACCGGATCGGCGTCGTCGGCTCTTTGCTGCTACTTGAGCGCGGCGCTGGGCGAGCAAAAGGCGCCCAAACGTCGCTACGAGCTGACGCAGGGCGTTGAGATGGGCCGTGAAAGTAACATTGTCGTCGAGATTACCACCAAGGATAACAACATCGACGCGGTTCATCTGTCGGGCAAGGCCGTCAAGGTTATGAAGGGTACCTTGGTTGTTTGATAGAACCCATCGCATAGTAATGCAGAAAATCGCATTGTCTATAAAACAGAAAACCACCCTTTGCGCCGTGGTATTACCTCAATAACCTAGGACTACCCTATTATACATTGATGCATTATACCTAGTACAAGAATTTTCGTCGCTGGATCCAAATGTCTACATCCCCCAATGCAGAGACCAGGTCCTCTTGTCAACGTCATTTCCATTATTTCCAAATGCTTCATGCACCACTTCAAACCCGTCTTCAACTTCCTTGATTGATACCTTACATCATTCAAGCTCAACTACTGGCGTATCTGTCGTCAAGATGGCCGGGGAGTTCTAAGCCAGCCATTGAATCGACCCTTCGGGGGCAACCTAAATCCGCTGAAGAATATTATCAAATCTTTCCGCCACCTGTGTAAATTGTCAATACTTGCATTCGATCAGTACTCTAGATAAGTAAAACATACCTCGGGAGTAGACTTCAGAAATGGCAGATCGAAAAACATGTACTTTTCGTTTTTAAGGAGCTCAACGACCGTGTACATCAGTCCCCATGGCTGTGGCCAGAATCCAATGAGTCTCTCTAGCAAGACTCTCGTGATCTCTTGGCGGATATCTGTGTCTTCCGGATCATGCAGGTCCTTGCCAAAGATATGCAATAGCAGCTGGCTAAAGAACTCAGTGTGCATGTTGGGGTACCGTAGCTGGTTTATTATGCCTGATACTAGATAGTATCTGGCCTCGGAAGTCACCTCGTGCACCAGCACAGACAACGCTGCAGCTTCCGGCTCCTTGCCGTTGATCGTCATCGGCTCGGCGCCAAATAGTCGTTCCGCTGCGTGATTGCCAATATAAATGACGACGGCATTAATAACATCAACATTGGCAGAAACTGGGACGTGGCCAAATGTAGTCTCGTTGGATCCGGTGCTCATATTGTGGACAATCTGTGCCATGATACCCTCGGAAGTGGCCCCCTGAACGACTTGCTCGATACCCTCGATGAGGCCTGCCTGCTGCAGTATGGCTTTTGCGTCATCGACGAGACCGGGATAGACCTTCGTCTCTTCGGATTCAGCAGCCCTCTTGATCTTGGTGGCCGCCCTCATGTTGTAACTTTGCGGCGGGTGAGCGGCGAGGACAGCGTTGAGTAGCTGGGTGCAGTGGGGAGGAATGCTCTTGTAGAGATCAACGTGATGCGCCGCGACGAAATCGGGAAAGTCGTGTTGAAGAATGACGAGGAGTTTGAGCGTAGCTCTGTACAAGTCCTTGGCCACAGGCGACACGCTGAAGGCCTTGAGCTGCTCGCTAAGACAGTCCAAAAGCTGACGTAGGAGTCTAGCGAAGGGCTTCCACCCGGCGTAATCAGGCACAGTCAGCAAGGTTGGCAAGAAGGATCGGTGTTGCAGAAGCGAGAGCCAGCCAAAGACAAAGCCAGGCAAATGAAATGGACCGAGTGGCTCCATTCTGCTGGCGATGGTCAGAATGATTTGACTTGATTCGTCCTCGGGCAGCAAGTCGCATATGCTGTGCAGCTCGTGGAGCAGCATTGAGAAGAGGCGGAAGAACAGTCGCTGATTCAGGTGCTCACCGCGATTCGTATGATGGTGATAAAGTACCAAGGTAACAATGACAAACACTGAGTCCACAAATGATGCACGAGAAGTGACGCCGTCCTGGTGCATGCTGACAAACAGGCCAATGAGCTTCGCAAGAGCATCAATCATAACGTAACCGTCACCTCCTGTATGGATCAGGTGCTCGAAACGGTCGATAGAGAAGTCAATGCTTGTGCGGACAAACATAAAGAAGTCGCTTTTGTTACGAATGACCTGCGTAGCGCGCAGCTGCTTGACAAAGACGTCAACCGCGCCATCTGATGCATTCTGGTTGTTGCATAAGTGCACCCATTCGTCAAAGACATACTCCATTTGATCTCGTCTCGAGGAGGACTCGTTGCCATTGCTTTGTGACGGCGCGTACATACCGGAGCCGACAAGCTTACCCTTGAGCCTCTCTCCGACAACGGATTCATCATCCACGTTGATCCAACTCCATGCCTCCTCCAACGTGCGGACGAAATCGGAATAGAGAGCAATGGGGCGACTGTTGAGCAGAACGAGGTCGAACATCTGTTCTAAGAACTCGAGAGAGCCTTCCTTTTTAGCCACGAGGGCCTTGGACATGGCAAGGTCGATGGTTCTCCAATCAAGGAGATCAGTGCGCGTAAGGGCGGCAAGCAGAGGCAAGCTGAGGAAGCTGCTGCCTGGCTGTTGACTGAACAGAGCACGCACACGGCTATTCAAACCGGGACTAGAGATTTTGCGTAGCGTTTCCAGGACGTGAACGAGGCTCTCCAGAGTCAAGTTGTCTTCCACCTGCTGGAAGATGACAGCAGTGATCTGCTCAGCAGCATAAATGGGGAAATCTTCTGAGTTCTGAGAAGTCTTGATAAATAATTGAACTAGCGCGTCGACGACGTCAAGAACTTGATGAGGGCGGGGCAAGTCGGCAAAGTGCTCCTCGCGGGCATCGCCAGCAGTACGAAGCAGTTCTTGCAGCAATTTAGTCAGACGTTCTGCCAAAACATGCGCCTCCGTAGGGAAACTGCTTGACCTTCCGTTGGACATGCTCCCCCCCGCACTTTGTGGAGGACCATATGCTTGCATTTGCGAGCCGAGCTGTGGGAGTGAAGGTGTCTCTGCAGGTGTGGGAATATTTGCCATAGTGGAGAAAGGCTCTTGTAGCACCTCGTTGGCGAGCGATCTTGTCGCATCAGAAGCCGAGGGCTCGTGGTTCGCGCCAGATGCCGCTATCGTTGTTGTGTTACGCGGCTGGCGGGCAAAGTCTTCGTAAATGGCCATTTGCTCAGGGTTAAGACCGGGCATATTAGGAGATAGCTTAAAGGGGTTAGGGATGGTCATTGCCCAGCGGTTGATGTTTGCTGGGTATGTTGACTCGTTGGGATGCTGTACCTTAAACCGTCGTCTTGCCTCGAAATCAGGTTCAAGAAGCTCCTCGATTTCGGGCACAGCACGTTCTTCAGCCTGTTGCTCAATGATGTTGCAGGCAAGATCAAGGTTGGAGTTAACACACATAATGATCGTGCCCTCCGGAAGACCAGACGGAAGATCGTTCGAAAGGTTGCGCATATAATTTGTCAAGTTCGCCCGGAGAGGCTCCTTGGACGTAACAAGTGCGAGACTTCCAGCAGTTGCCTTGACCATGTTAATAGCTGAAGTACGAACCCGGTTCTCATCTGGCTCGCAAACGAAATCCTTTCTGATCATCTGCTGCGTCGATATCGCAGCTATCGTAACCGACCTATCGACGACAGGCTGGATGATATCATGCAGGGCGCGGCTGACGGCGCTTCGAACGATTTCATGCAACCTAGTGGTGCTGACTACCATTTCATTTGTCGGCGGGATGGTGATCTGCGCACTCAGGTCAGGAATGGTCGGCGCCACAGTCTGAGGGGAGAGCCCGGCGCCGACGCCAGAGCCGAGGCCATTCAATGATATTGCCTCGAATGGCTCAAGTTGCTCAGCGGCCAGCGCCACCGCAGGCTCCTCCACTGCTGGCCTATTGAGAATCTCGCCCGAGGGCTCAATACTTTTATGATCCAGACTGAGACCCTTACAGAGGACTTCGATCTCAAATTTGAGATTGAGTTTGAGCTCGGCGTGATGATAAAGTTCAATGAGCAGATAAATGATATCCATCAGCCAGGGGTTGGGAGTTCGAAAGACAGCCGAAGTAGCGCCCTGAAGGAGGACTTTGCAGACGAATGGGATCACGACGATGAGTCTCTTGGTGTCGTGGGCTTCAATGAGCAGTTGCTTGAAGGCAATATTCTTGTGCTTGATGGGCCTATCTCGAGCAAGCGTCAGGAGCCCAAGCCAGCCACCAAGATTCTTCAAATGTGTCCGCTCAGTCGAGTTTTGCATCGTGGCTTCGGAGTTGAGCATACGAGCGACGCTGATATAAGTCTCCCTGAGCACCTCGCTCCACAGAGATGGATCCTCGAAGAATTTGACCAGATCGAGGTACACGTGGTGGTAGTTTGGCTGCATCTTTGCCCGCTCTGCGACCAGATGATTTGCAAACCATTGTTGATGCTTGTCATCCAACATGTCACGAAGCTCCTCACACATGGATTCGAGAGTCTGCTCTGTAATGTTGTTGAGTACGAATTGAATCTTGCCCTGCTCTTCCTCGTCGGGATCTTCGTATACGGCCCCTGGGGGGACAGGGTCGATACCAATAGCTGAAAATGGCGCTGTTGGCTGATTAGTCAAGGCAAGTTCGTCGCCATTCCCGTTTGCTAGAGCATCGCCAGCAAAGCCTAGCGAATGAGGAGTGCCGGCGCTGCCTCGCCCTCGAGCCAGATCATCCTCATGCTCACGGACGATCTCTTCGGCTTTTTTGTGAGCCTCCGTGCCTTGCAGACCAGGAACCTGAAGCAAATTTTTGCAGAAGCCTGGCCATTCGCGAAATCTAGCAAGCAGTTGCATGAGGGCCTGCAAGCCGAATTTGTACATTGACTCATCCGGGCGGTGGTCGCGAACAGCCTCCAAAACCATGCCGAGACCAATCTTCAACGGAAGATCAGAAATCAATTTGTGAGAGATGATGCCTCCAAATAGAACAGCGGTAGTCGCCAGAGCTTCGAGAGGGTAGTCAACGAAGTGATTGTATTCGTCAAACAGACCGTGGATCATACAAGCAAAGACATCCTGGTCGAGCAAGTCATTCGAGTGCTTGTAACGTTCGAGGATATCAACGATTGTGCGGACGGGTATTTCATCGCCGTACATTCTTTTGTAATGTTCCTCCATCTTGCTATTGGCTGCTTGAGGGAGCCCGTTGCCACGTGCCGAATTTGCATTGATGATCTCGTCATGACCTTCACCGTAGTTGATGAGCCGTGGATAGGCTGTGATACACTGACGTTGAACGACAATCAAATCTTGTACTGGGGCCTTGGGCATAAAATCCTCGAGAATCTGTAGCAGAGCGGCTACCGTGCGAACGTGAAGGCTTGTTTGAGCCTTGACATTTGGCTGCGCATCCGGTCGTTGAGATGCAATCTCGAAATTACACTTGATCAGAAGAAACTGAGTAAGTGTCCTAGAAACGTCCGTCTCTCGATCAGCGAAGTATCTTGCCCATTTCGCGAGATCAAGATATCCTTCAGCATGAGCCAGCGCTGCCAAATCGAGACCAAATCCACTGGCCGAATACACGAGCTCATCTAGCCAGTTGTGTTTGACTGCATGCTCGAAAAGCAGCGGCAGATCGCTTGGCTTCACAGCATGTGCATCGGCAAGACGAGTGGCCACCCACTCCTTGTCTTTCCGCCAAAGACTGTCGAGTACAAAATCATACTCGGAGGAGCGTTTGTACAGAAAGTTTTCAAACAACGAGCCCAAGGTCTCGATCGCCATATCGGCCCAAGATTCTCGAGGGACCTCGAATGCGGAAACAAGGAATATATCTAGATTCGGGACCACAACGTCTTGAAAGAGTCGCTTCGCTTCGATTGTTTGGGAGGCATGAACCGAGCTGAGCGCAGCGCTGAAGATGGCGGACAGAGCGACAACAGAAACCAATGGATGCCTCACAGCGACTGCTGCTCGTTCGCGTGCTTTCTGTGTCGAGTTTGCGTAGTCCTCCAAAGTGATGCTTCGCTGGAGATTGGGAATCGTCGTAGCGTCGAGCTGTTCCGGGGTCAACGAAGCATATGCGCTAACAAAAGACAATTGCGCTTCTGGTTCGGACCATGTGCCGCCCCACAGGCGCTGTATGTCAAAGTCGAACTTCGAGTCCTGGGCCACCGGTAGAAGAGCCTTATACAACCGCAGAAACTGAGCTGATGTAATTCTCGCCGTAGGCTGGTCGAACGACCCGACGACATCATTCCAATCAAACGTCCTGGGCACAATCCGGCGGAGAGCAGCAACTAACACCGATGGATCGTGCTCAGGTGTTTGCGTGATAGTCACAAAGGTGAGTGCCGAAGAAACTTGCTCCGGTGTGAGCTGGAAGTTGCCGTTGCGGCCTTGCAGATGCGACAAGCAAGTGTCTTCATCGCGAGTAAAATCAGCGCCAGTCCTTTGTATGCATCTGGTCAAGGCATTGGCAGGCTTGTCGGTTAAAACCCGTGCAAGATCTAATACGGCAAGAACCTGCGAAGGAGGAGGCTGGTCCATCAACGCGTATCGCTTTCCAAGAGCATTATGGAGCTCTCGTCTAGATGAGCCGTTGAAGCTTGGAGGATGATACTGTAGGAACCGATCGATAACTAGAGCCATGAAGTCAGGGATAAGATCTGCATGTATCTCAGGCATTCCCAACATCTGCACAAAGGTACTGAAATTGGCTGACAGTATTGCATCAGCCTTTGTCTTCAGATCAGCCCTTGACCCCATCTTGAAGGCTAGTGCAAGCAGCGTCTTCGTAAGCGCATCTAGCTTGAAGTGTTCCATGAAGGTGGACAGGTCAAAATCGCGAAAAATGTCCTCTGTGCCACTCTCAACAGATTCTGCAATCTTGACAGCCTGATCTGGGACAAACGCAATCTTCTGCATCTCATTGACAAGGATGTGGTAGTTGCCGGGGTTAGCAACTGGCCTATTCAGGCCAGGAAATATTTGTGGCGCATTGCCGACGACTAGTCGGGTGAAATATTTGGTGAAGACTTCCATGCCGTGGTCATCGATAAGCTGTCACGGGAATGACGAGTTAGACGTTGGCTTCATCGAGAATGCGTGAATGTACGACCCGATTTCTTACCTTTCTCAGTTGTTCAAGTTGCAGTTCCCACTTGGCTCTGTCTCTGTCCTCTTTGATTGTACTGAGGAGCAGATAGACTTGTGCCACAACAATTTTAACAAGGGAGCTGGCCCCCGTCGGACTGCTGGTGCTGGGGCTGGCGCCAGCACTGAGAACACCAGTGTGCGACGGATGCGGTGAGTGGCTTAAACCTGTCTGAAGAGCTTGTGCAGGATTTGGCGAAAATGATCCCGCTCTTGGTGGAGGGACCATGGAGGTTTCTTGGCGAAGGTCGTGATATATGTGATGGAGCGCCTGCCTGGGGGGAGGGGGGCTGGCAGGCAGGGAGGCTCGAAAGAGGAACGAGACTGTAGGGACGGGTCGTTGTTCGTGGCAGTTCCTACATGAATAGAATCCGTCTAGAAAGTAACCGACCGAGATCTTTCGATATCGCGGGGGGGCGAAGATCGATGGGCGTTCGAAAGCAAGCTGGTTGTGTCGCGATTCTCCTGCTCGGCAGAGCTTGAAGCAGTGTGCTGCTGTAGAGGTTTAGCTGGCAGGCCGCGATCGATCGCCAAAGATTGGGCAGCGCTTTAGCTGGCAGCGAGAACACGTCGCAGTAATCTGCGGCGCACTAATGATTGGGGATCGGAACACGGCGTGGGTGAGCGGGTGATGGCGTTGAGATTAATGATGGCAATATGCTGTGGGTGTGTGGTAGGCAAAGTCAGTACAACCAAAGCCTGAAACTGGATAAGCTGCCGCTTTGCGGTAAGTTCCGCCAGCCCTCCCAACACGTCGCGAAAATCGAAAGCAGGGTGATCAGGTCACGTGCTCGACAGAGGTGGGCGTTGCTCTGCCAACCACTCGACCTTGGTCAACTAAACAACGCCAGGAGGCGTCATCGGCATCTCTGGCAGTGCTCTCCACCTCGTTGAGATGATGCGAGTTTCGAACCTGAACACCTTCTGAATCTCTTCTCCTCTATTATTGCTCTTGTGCTGCATCAATATTTTCTTACCGTCGCGGCGTGACACCCACCATCTATAGCATCCTTTTCTGTATACGGGACGGGCAGTATGCCTGCAGTCACAGCCGAAGCACCAGCCGTTGCGCTGTCTTGTAAGTCGCTCTACAATTTCAGAAGGTTGTCGTTTCCCTGACATGATTCTAGTTGCCAATAACTTCTGGGGTAAAGATGACGCCGGCGTCCAACCCCTCCTGGATCGTATGGCGGCAGCCAAGCAAACGAATGACGAACTAAAGGCGTTCTATAGCGGTAGGACAAGGACGCCCCTCTTCAATCAATAGAAACACCAGGCTAACTTCGGGAACAGCGCGTGCCTCACTCGAAGATGAATACGCCAAGAAACTTCTCAACCTGAGCAAGAAATCACTAGGTTCGCACGAGACAGGCAGCCTGAAAGCGTCCCTTGATACCCTTCGAGGCGAGGTCGAGAGCATGGGAAAGCAGCACCAGAGTATTGCAGCGCAGATGAAGACGGAGTTGGACGAACCTCTGTCCGCTTTCGCGGGTGGTATGAAGGAGCGCCGCAAGATTGTTCAGAACGTCATTGAAAAGATCTTAAAGACGAAGATTCAGCAGACACAGCAGGTCAACAAGGTAAGCACATAACAGTTGTTCCATGGATAACATTTACTCAATACTTTCAGACGCGAGACAAGTATGAACAAGAATGCTTGAAGATCAAGGGCTATCTGGCACAGGGCCATATGGTCATGGGCCAAGAAGAGCGCCGCAACAAAGCCAAGTTGGAGAAGACACAGATCAGTCTCGCAACATCCAACACAGAGTACGAAACTGCGATCAAAGCCCTCGAAGAAACCACAGTACGTTGGAACAGAGAATGGAAGGCTGCTGCGGATAAGTTTCAGGACTTGGAAGAGGAACGCCTCGACTTCACAAAAAGTAGTCTGTGGACTTTTGCAAATATATCCTCCACAGTATGTGTGAGTGATGACGCTTCTTGCGAGAAAATTCGGCTCTCGTTGGAGAACATGGAGGTTGAGAAAGATATTACTTCCTTCATTACAGAGAGAGGCACTGGACAAGAGATCCCCGACGCCCCCAAGTATATCAACTTTCGTCGCGGCGATGTGGACAGCCAGTCCGAAGTCTCAGACGACGATCACTATTCCGTCGCTCAGTTCCCTCGCAGTATCAACCCTGCCTTCCGATCGTCGTCTCCACAGCCATCGACTTTCGAGTCGCACCACGATCCCGCGTCAAACTTGACAAACGATCTTGCTCACCGGGACAACATGGCGTATCCCGGTAGCAGGGAAACTACAGTCACTCCTCAACGTGGACTACCCAGTCAAGGAAGACCTTCTGTCGATGAGCAGTTCCGTCGAGCACCTCCCAGCCAGGGAAGACCCTCCGTCGATGAGCAGTTTCGTCGAGCACCTCCGCAAATGAGCGCTCAGCAGCAGCAGCAGCAGCAGCAGCAGCAGCAGCAGCAATATGACAACAAGCAGCATGGGCCCCTGGCTGCTGTACCCCATGAACCTTACCCTATGGATGGCATGACTATGCTCTGCCGTACTGGCCCGCCCTCGGACCTTAGTTCCCAAGTTACATCTGGTAGGCCATCCAGCAGGGATTCGCGCAGTGAGTGTTCCAACCGGAACTCTTTCTCCAGTGTTGAGCCTCCCAGCGGAAAGACCTCACCGGTCAAACAAGATCCTGAACCTGCACCGACCCCAGAGAAACGCGTATTCAAAAAGAAGAGTGGTTTTTTCCAGAACCATAGCCCATTTCGACGAAAGAGCACCAAAGAAATCAATTCTGAAACGAATCGCAATACTTGGCACGCCAGTGCTAGTTCTGGAAGCCCGCAAAGACCACCTCTGTATAGCCAAGAGGAGCAGAGCAGACACTCTGCTGTAGCCAGAGCCCCAAGCCCAGAGCCTATCGATGCCAATGCCAGCCTAGCGCTTGGTGTTGGCCAGAATGTGCTACCCGTCTCGACTGCTGACACGCGACGACGAGGTGGTCACGCCCCTGGTGCCAGCGTCGACGAGACCGACCCCATTGCTGCAGCACTCGCTGAGTTGAGGGTTGGAGGCAGCAAAGCCGGCTCCGTCCGTATGTCTGCTGACCGCTACCACGGCGTTGCAACTCCGGCACCTAGCAACCATGAGGCTGCTGCACCTGCTCGAGGCACTCCGCCTGCATACAGCACCCAGTCTCAGGTTTCTCGGCTCGGAGTGCCACCACCCGCCGTGACCTCAAAGGCGATGAAGCAGGCTTCCAAGAAGGTCGCCAATCAGACTCGCAGTATCTTTGGTGAAGACAAGAGGGACACAGGTATGTCACCGAATTCGCGCCCTGGAACTCGTAGCGGATATGATATGCCGCGATCGGCGTCCCCTGCTCCTACGCGCAGTGTATCGCCGCAACCGAAAATAGGTCACGATACTCGCTACCGCTCTGCGTCCCCAAACCCTCGCACCCAGCACCAGCGAGGCGGCTCGCAGCCGCACAACGACCCATATCGTCATGCATCTCCCCATGGTTCAATGAGGGGCTCGGTTCGAGGATCATCGCCTGCGTCTTATGCGGACTATGGCGCTCGTCCTCACAGCAGCTATGGTGGTAGCGATATGGCAGTGCAGTTGGCTCCTGTGGGTGGCGATATGTACGACTCCCGCGCCATGGGTTTATATGAAGGCGGCTCCCGCCCTCGCAGTAAGAGTGTAGTTGATTCTTCTCGTCAGTACACGCGCGACGGCCGGGTTATCTTGCACTTTGGTACGAACTCAGCGTTACATTCAATACTGAAACATGCTAACATTAAAATCTGCAGCTCGTGCTCTCTACATGTACCAAGCGGCCATTCCAGAGGAGTTGGGCTTCGCGAAGGGGGATGTCCTCGCCGTCCTCCGACACCAGGATGACGGCTGGTGGGAGGCTGAGGTGCACGGTGGCAATGGCCGCGTTGGGCTGGTCCCCAGCAATTATCTCCAGCAATGTTGATTGATAATGTGAGAGGCGATATATTTGATTTGTACATGGTATGTTAATAAAGATTGAATGCAACGCAATGAGAAGGAATGGGGGCTTGGTTGCTATGTATGTATGTACATGTATGACTTGCTTTTTCACTTGCAGCTACGAGGCTCTCTCGAGATAGCACGTTGTATATGGTTCACGAGTTATTGGCACGCACAATATTGCTAGGCTAGAATTATTATTGGTTATGCGTTTTTCTCCGTAATGGGTCAAGATTAGTTCTCTTTGTCTTCATGAGTACCGTAGCTGTGCTCCTGCTCATGCCTGGTGTCGTCACATGTGTGACACAGGTAGGTACCTTAGGTAGGTAGCTGAGGCGGGCCCAGTTTTGGAAGCTGTCCCGCGCTGCGTCACCCGACTAACGCCTTTCACCATCCTATGCACGATAGCTCTCACGGCGCAAACATGGTGCGCATTATTCTGAGACCTTTATTGCGATGTCATATCGATGGCTAATTGTTGCCGCGGCTGACACGGTAGCAGGAAACACTGCGAGATGCCGCCCGTACTTTGACGTCTAAACCGATGCAACGGGCGGTCGTAAATGCGATGCTGCTCGCGTCAGGAATTGGCACCCTACTGGGCATTGCTGCACTTTCCTCAGCCCTGTTCTTCCAAGCCTATCTGCCGCATCAGGTCGTCACGGCGCCTGTGTATCTGCAATATGGGTATATCGCCCCTGCCACAAGGAATTAACCAGTAGCTAACGCCGGGCGCAAACAGGTCGAGCTCAAACCCGTACGGCGTGGCTCCATTGGTAGCATCGAGGATGAAGGCTCTGCAAGATTACGACGTGTCCGTTACGTTTACGATGCCCCGATCGCCGGCGAACCTCGACCGCGGCAACTTCATGGTTAGCCTGCACCTGATTGACTCTGGTGACCAGAACACAGTTGGGGCCCGAGCCGACGAGTTTGCGAGAAGCCACATCGGATTTGGCGTCAGCAAAGTGCTATTTAGCTCTCGTCGGCCGGTGTTGATGCCATACGTGGACCCGCTCGTTTCTCTCACGTCCCGCGTACTGTTGATGGCTTACCATTTACTATCATCCAACTCGCAGCGACATACGCTGACGGTGAAGTTGGCTGAGCGCGTCTCGTTTGGAAAGGACTCGTTGAAGCCAGCGGCCGCGTACATCGAGGTGGAAGCCGGACAGGACATTCAAATCTACAGCACGCAATTGACGCTCACGGCGCAGCTCCGCGGACTGCGCTATCTGATGGTGCACTATCGTTTGCTGACTTATATCGTGTTCACGCTGCTGTTTTGGTTCTTTGAAGTATTGTTCATGAGCGCTGCTTGGTCGGCCTGGAGCTCCTATACGTCTTTACCGGCAAGCGGGAGCAAGTTGCGGATAAGGGAATCAGCGCCTGGAGACGCCACAGACTTGGGTAATGAGCTGGAACACGATGACGGTGACGAAGACGACGATGGCGATGAGGCGGTACCTAGAGGAGCCTTCAAACACGGCAGTTCCCCATTACTGAAAAGAGAATCCGGTATCAAAGCGGAAGAAACATTTGAACGATCCTTGGCAGATATCCCACTTGCTGGAGCTGAAGCGGATGATGAGGATGAATCCGAGGAGGAAGATGGGAAGCGCCAGATTGTGTCGGGAAAGGGTACGAGCTATAGCAAAGAGGGGGAAGAGACTGTGCGTTCGAGAGTCTCGCAAAGATTCGTGTAGTTGATGAGCGTACCTGATTGCCTCTGAAGGCAAGCTAGAATGTGTGGTTGATTGATACCCTTGCTTTTAAGAGAAGTGACAATTCGGCGGTAATGGATTGCTAATGACCTGTGCAACGTGCGTTGCATGAAGTGTGCTGGTGGATCCCCAGAATCATGATATTCATGCAGCTGTGAACCTTTTTTCCTTTGTTTTCTAGCCTAGTCAAAATACATCTATTCTTTGATATTGAGGCGCGTCGTGACAAGCGGATTCTTTAATGGAAATTGGCATTGTGAGCTTCAGTATGTTTCACAAGCGACAGAGTCCGTGAGACAACCTTTTTCTTTATTCAAGTCTTTCGAACTGGCTCTAGCATTCAAATCTGTTTATTCGAGTCTACTTACTAGACTTTGTCGGGTGACGCCATCGTATTCACCTCTTGTCGTGGATAAAGGCACGCTAGATGAAGCTCGGTGCTGATTTGGCCAGAATACCATAAACAAAGTGTACGCGAAACCCCCCTGTAACTATTGATACTAGGTACCTTAGGCATACTAGGCTTGCTGGGGGAAAATGCAAAAGCTGCCGTGGGGCTCACTCGCGGTGGCACTGGGCGCTTCCCGCTCTGTGCCGCCGAGCAGCCTAAGGTTAACTCTGCTCGATCCATCACTAACTAGGACACGGTCGTTGTGTCGAATTGCTTCTCCTTCCCAGCCTTCTCGTTTCAGCAGTGCTTGCATCGACTGCATCACGAGACCAGGCCAGTCGCAGCCTGCATCGGAACTTTTTTCTTCGTTTTGCTCGACTTGTGTCAAGCCGCGTGTCCGCAAGCTCGCTTTAGTTACCTTGTCCCCCCATCCCGCATGAGGGCAATTCAACGGTAGCTACCTTACCTACCTAGTCACCTCGTTCGAAGAAATCCGACAATCCCCCCCCACGCCTGCGAACCGAAATCGGCCCGTGATTGCACCTGCAAGAGAGCGACAGAAGCACAAGTAGAAACATCGCTGTAACAGTCGAACCACACCGTCTGCTGGATGCCATCCACGCAACGCTCGACGCCCTGGTGAAGCTCTCGACTTGTGGCTCCCCACTGTTGCTACTCCGTACCTTTGCTATTACTTAGGCGGTCCCTACCTCCAAAACCCCCACCGCCCTTCCCCAACAACGACGACAGAAATCGCTTTCAACCTCTTTTGCTTTGCTTCTCTCGCTCTCGAATTCGCGTCCTCGAACGCACGGTCGGCCGATCCTACCTGTTCGCGAAACTGTTGATTCGGTTACTCGGGTTGAACCCTAGGCCCCAAGATGCCCTGCTTCAAGGGCATTGCGGTGAGCGTTCACGCCAACGGAACCCCGCTGCCGGAATATGGCATGCAGAAGCAGTCCAGGTTGTCACGCATCAGCACCTACATACCGGTTCCGCAGCCCTCGATAAGCGATGATCCCAGCAAGCCCGAGCCTGCCAAATTTGCCATATCCATTACTCTCCTCACACCAGGCTTGCCGATCCCCTACTCCGCACCCAAGCCGACCGAGGCCAATCCCTACCCCAAGCCTCGATTCGTCGGCGGCGTTCTTCCTGGCATTCATGGTGGCGGATCTTTGGGATACGTCAATCCTTATGTCCCCATGACCAACTCGGAAAACGAGACGATTGCCGCATACATTTACTTCGACGGCCGCGCCAAGGAAGAGGTTGCGACACTTCTTCGCCCCGGCGAAGAGACGTGGGTTAACAGCAGATGGGTCCAAGTTCCAGACTCCGAGGGTGGTGGTCTTGCCGAACGCGAGTTTCTCTTTCGCGAAGTTGGCCTCGAGAGATGGCTCAACGGCCTAGATCTCCAAGGCCACGATGCTGCCGAAAAGCTGGAGAAGCGTAGGCAAAAGTTTCAACGGCGCCAGCAGCGCCAGAGCATGTCCCTCGAAGGACAAGATGCAGGTCGCAAGAAGCGAGGTACCTTGAAATACGGCGCAGATGATGGATCTCCCATTGAAGCTGTCTACGACTACTCAGAGTCATCCTCGGATGACGACGAACCACCAGAGGCCACTGGACAGATCAAAGTGGCCATGTTCCGAGTCCTCGCCTCTGGAGAGATCAAGAAAGGGGAGTACTCCCCTCAGTTTGATGCCCATGACGGTGACGAGGAGGGAAGTACCGAAAAGAGTGGCATAGACGCCGACGTTGAGCACACTACAAGCTTTGCCAAGCCAAAGACCCTGGATCCAAAGACTATCAGTACACAGACTGTGACCGGGATTGATGGCCCGGACAAACCTTTTGCGGTCTTCACTTTCTTTTACCGTGGTGATCGTGAGTATATATACCATACGATTAAATTGCTGCTTCCTGCTAAATTTTCAAATCTATCTCAGGTCAATTACAAAAAATTGGTGTCATGCAATCGGAAAAGACACAGACCCCGTCCGCATCTGCTAAACGGCGATCTGGTCAGCTAGACTTTTCCAACCTAGGCCCGTTGAAGGCTGGAGGAACTGTAGGCTTTTCTGCTTTCCGTGACCATGTAACGGAAGCTTCACGACGCCGCAAGTCCCGCAAGAAGAGCAACGGACTCATCGCTGATGACAGCGACGATGACGATGACAGCGATGGCTTAGTCAATATGGACCAAGGAGATGAAAAAGACGAAGATCCAAAGCTAGCGCCAGAGGATGCGAAGTCGCAAGGTGAACTGGCCGATGGAGTGAATCGCATTCACGTAAGCCGCTGACAAGATTATTTCCCGCCGCTGCTCGGTATTGACCTATTCTTCAGCTTAAGAGAGCACACTCAACCGATCCAGACGCAATTTCATCACCCGGCACCCCGCAGCTCGGTTCAAACAACGATACGCCCGGCGAGTTGGGCTCCAGTTCTGCTCAGCCGATTCCGGTACCATCGGGAAGCGCTCATGCCATTGATGCCATCTCAGCTGACGCTACTGTTGGAAGTCCCCTTAAGAAGGCCAGAGCAAGCGTTGACCAGAGCGTTTTTGGAGGCGACAAGTATACAAATACGCAAAGTCTGAGTGCTGCACTTGGCTCCGTCGTATCGTCTTCTGCACCAAGTGTCATTGCAGCTGCATCGGAGCCGAAATCGACGGCAACCGAGGAGGAAGAGTTGTAACGTGCGTACAAGATTTGACGCTATATCTTGAGCAAAGAGCGTGCTCCCTTATTTTGGCTATAAGCGTTGTATACGTGCACCCAATTCCAGGATGCATCTCGGGGAAAGATCGATAGGATTCAACTGGTGGGGGGCATTTGTTGTTTGACCATGAGCTCAGTCATGCGTACCATGCAGTGTCGCTATGCTACATGGCTTAGATCTCACCTTCTCTATACGGATCGTGAGTAATGATTCACACGGAATGAACAGTTATATATGTGGCTGTAGCGAAGCGTGAACCGTTTCTGCTTGCCCTGAAATTTTTCTTTGCTGTTGTATGCTCTTTGCTGGGTTGCTGTCGGGGCTGAGCAGGCGGGTGAGCCTGTGGATAGGGATTTTAGCTTTTGTACGACGGACAGTACCTTCCCATGCAAATTGCATATATCGTTTTTTTTTCTTGAGTAAAAAATCGAGCGGTAATTGGGCGGCTGCGTGCTGCATTGTCTCGCGTATTGATAGTGTGACAATTGTACATTGGCTTGCTTGCGCGACACCAGATTTGAAGATGGATGCTTCGTGCTTGAGCGCTCCTTCTGAGAACACGCCGGGTACTCTAACCAGCTAGTCGGGCCTTGTCGAACGAGCATAGCTTGAAGGGTGACGTCTCCCCCGCTAAGTATGATCGACTCCTGTTTTCGTCGAAAGTCGCCGAATTGTGTGTTTTTTTTTGTTCGTCTACAGACTGTTTCGTCGTTGCTTAAATGGTGGTTGAAAAGCCATTTTCAAGCTAAGATATTACAAGAAACCAGAGAGACAGATTGCGCTTCGATTGGGGCGATTCCTCAACAGTTGAGAATGGTGTCATTGAGAAGCACTGTCCTGGCGTTGTCCATAGCCGTTGCGCACGCGGCTCAACGCAGCGATAGCCAGAAGCCAATTATACAAAAACACCAAGATTTACTGAATCCACTCAATGACACATTTGCGAAGTTGGTTCAGGAGTCGCTTGATGTGTGGCACGTCCCCGGCATCGCGGTCGGTGTCATTGACGGTGACCACATTTACACCGAGGTGAGTAAAACAACTTTGCGAGTACTCTCCCTGCGTCATTCAGCTAAAATAAGGGAACCCGGAATCTCCAGGGTTACGGCTACGCAACACTTCCGGACGTGCGTGCCACCGCTGACACGCTGTGGTACGGCGCGTCGACATCCAAGGCGCACGCCGCGGCGCTGCTCTCACAGCTCATCCATTCGGGCAACTACAGCCAATTCCCGCTCGGCTGGGAGACGACCATCTCGTCTATCATACGAGACGACTTTGTGCTACCGAATGAGTGGGCGACGGCGCACGTCACGCTCAATGATGCCGCGAGCCACCGCACCGGCATGGGCCGGCACGACCTAGCGATGCACCACCTGCGCAACGGCCGGCCCGAGACGCCGCGAGACGTGGCGCGGCGTCTGCGTCATCTCGGAATGACGGCGGAGCCGCGCGTGCGGTATTCGTACTGCAACTTCATGTACACGACGCTGGGCCACGTGCTCGAGACGGCGACGGGCGCGTGGCTCGGCGAGGCGCTGCGGATGCGCCTCTGGGAGCCGCTGGGTATGGCGTCGACGTACTTTGACGTGGAGGACGCGCTGCGCGCGCCGGAGCACTTTGCGGCTGGCTACGCGTGGGACGAGCGCGCGGGCAACTACACGACGGTGGACTACATGTCGGTGAAGGAAGTCGGCGCGGCGGGCTCGGTCATTTCCAACGTCAAGGACTATGCGATATGGGTCAAGAGTCTGCTGGACAAGAGCGGGCCGTTATCGGCGGAGACGCATGCGGATATCAGAAAGCCCCGAATGCTGGTCCTTGAAGAGCTTAAAGACAGCTTGGAAGCAAAGACGTACGGCCTTGGCTGGATTCGCGAGACCATCCATGGTCATGTTGTGTACCAGCACTCGGGTGGCATGCATGCATATGGCGCCGAGGTGTTTTGGTTGCCCGATATCAAGTTCGGCATTGTTGCTTTTGGCAACACTGCCATTTCGTCCAACTTTGTGGAGCTCGAGGTTGTGTACCGCCTGATAGAGGACAAGTTGAACATTCCGGCTAAGGAGAGGATCGATATTCGAGCTAGGTGAGCTTGCATAACCTGATTGTGCGATGCGTTTACTGATGATAAGTCTACGTAGATCGATGAAGATTAGGGACAGTGTGTTGACAAGAGAAGAGGCCATCAAGTTGCTCTTCCCGGACCGGCCCGAAACGCCGCAGCTGGGATCTTTTGACGTCGGCCAGCTTGTTGGGCACTACAGGGACGAAGGCTGGGGCGATGTCGTCTTCACAGTGTCGCATGACCTAGACATCAACAAGACTGTTCTCATTGCGCCGCGAGAGGAGGCCACGTTCAGGCACACCTTCGTCTTGGAACACATTACGGGTGACTATTGGCTCGTAAAAGCCGCCATGCTGGGCAACAGTCGCTACACCGAAGAGTTTTTCAGTGCGAAATTCGTGGCCGGGATCGATGGAAAGCCCACGACGATGGAACTGGACACGGCTCAAGGTGCCGGAGACCCCGGCGATGGAATCATTCGGTTCGTCAAGTCGGATTGAAGAGCAAGTAGCCTGCAGGTTTGTGTAGGCAAGTCGGCTTCTAGACACATATCTTGACAATGTTAGCGTCTTGTCATTGACAACAATGTAATATATCAATAAAAGGAATAACGCGTAATTCAAGTCAGACTGTTGAGCTTGATAATTGAATGATCAACATGGAGATTCAGTTGGCCGTTCTTAATGGAAGTTTTTGTCATCATGAAAAGACATGTGCTGTAGGGGCAGGACGCGAATATGAGAGAAGAAAAAAGAGAACCTACCAAAGTCGATCAAGAGCGGTGCCATGAGACTCAGCTAGCAGCTGCGGATGCATGATTTGCGTCTAATAAGCAGAGTATACGCTCATGTCATCAGCTGTGACCAGTCCAGCACCCAATTGAGAATGACACTGTACGAGCGTAAAAACTCTGTGTAGAAGTAAAGGTTTGTGAAGCCTTGTTAGCGCTCGATTATTTTTTTGTACGATGTGATGCTGGTTCCCCGACATCTGCATATCCCGCTTAACTGAGCTTCTATTCAGCTAGTTAGGTACAGGTACTTTGGGTGGGCAGAAAATTTGGTGACCGCGGCGGGTCTCTGTGTGGCTCTCGGCGGCTGCGGGCAATCAATGAATTAAACAGCAGCAGGGGCAGCGCCCAATGTCGCGCAGGCTGACCTGCCTGCAACAGGGATCCAGGAGTAAAAAATTGTTTTCAAGTATTGGGTACCTTACTTGCTTACCTACCGTGTGCGTGCTACCTACTGGCGCGCAAAGGAGTGTAATTAATTAGGTACCTAGGTGTTGTGCTGAGCTGTGCACTGTGCTGCCCCTCTTCCCTGACGGCCAGCCCCACCATCCACATCACAGCCAGCTCGTTGTTTTGGGCACCCGCTATTGCGACAACCCGACAGACTACTTACGAGCTCCAGAGCCCTTTTGATTTCCTCTTTTCCACATCTTGTTGGGTCGAACTCCAATCTTGTCTTTTGCACCAACACAGAAAATCTTTTGGTTGTTGAAAGCCCCAACACCGTCAAGATGGCCGGCAGTATGTGCTTCAGCTCTACCCCTCCCAGGAGGGCGGGCAACCCTGACAAACGCGACAAATCTGCAGAGTGGCTAACCAAATAAACAGCACCAAATTACGAGGAGATTGCTAGTATGTGGCCGCCGCATCGATCCCTAACACTGCGGCGAAGCGAAGTCTAACGAGAGACCTCAACAGAGCAATTTATCCAATTTTACTACGACAAGTTCGACACTGACCGCAAGGACCTTGCCTCTCTTTACGTGAGCGAAGCCCGCCAACCCCTCATCTAGCACAGGATGACGATGTTCGATCTTGGACTTCTTGGGTGCTAACCATCCTTCTGGCCAAATAGCGCGATCAGTCTATGCTGACTTTCGAGTCCGCCTCTGTTCTCGGTGTCAATGCCATCATCGAAAAGCTTGCCGTACGTCATGCCGTGTTCCCTGCAATGCGCCCCCATCGCGAAGCGCCTCTGACAAGTCTCCAAACAGGGTCTTCCTTTCGAGAAGGTCAAGCACCAAGTATCTACCCTGGATGCCCAGCCCGGCGTGGCTGAGGGCGGTGTCGTCATCCTCGTCACCGGCCAGCTTCTTGTAAGCCATTTGAACCTCACGACAGGCAAGCCGCTTTTCGCGCCGATTGCACCTACTGACACAGCTTCCGCTACAGGTCGATGAGGAGCAGCGCCCCATGAACTATACCCAGGCTTTCCAGCTTGCCTTTGACCCGGTCGCAAACTCGTACTTTGTCTGCAACGACCTGTTCAAGCTGGTCTACGGTTAGACGTCGACTCATTTTGGCCCGTAAGATGAAGCGCATGTGAATGGCATATAGAATGGGAGCACGAATTATGATATGGCCTTGTTGGTGCAGTCGGAATCTATTGCAGAGGGCTCTATAAATTTCGACGGACACGTTGCCTCTTCGGATTCACACCGGGTTCCGTGCAAACTTTTACCATGCGTGGCACGATAGAGACGCACCAACAAAGTATTGTCGCAACTACCATAGAAACCACAAGTAGTGAACACACTGACATTTCTTTCACCTTTCTCCTGCCTACTTTCTTTCTCTCGTCATTGACACTATAGAACATGTGCTCTCGGTGGTCGTTGGATGCAAAGTACTACCCCTTGACTTTGGGATTAGGAATTTCCCGACCAGTTGAATCTTTGTAAGTCAGTATGATTCACGTGAATTATCGAATACAGAAATCATCGATGTGTCGTTTGCTGGAGGCCAGAAATCATTTGAAGCTCGCCAATACATAAATAGATAGGTAGGCGCTCACTATTAATGGGCTTCTGTCATCTGATGCTGGGCTATGTTTACCTACCAGGTACCTACCTACCTATGCTCGCACTGTGCCGCGGGGTACCACCTGTCAGGCTCTGCACAGTGTCTCACGCAGACAATAGCCCATAAAGTTCTCGCGCTAGTGTCAACGTAGTTGCTGGGGCAATTATGTCATGCTCATTCAAACAAAGTGTGTCAAAGAAACCTGAGTTTTGTGCATGCAACGTTCAATTTTGCACTCCATGCAATTTCCGACCACCTCATGCGCGAGAACGAGCGATTTAGACCAGGGGCAGGCTTTGCATTTAAGCCAGCAAACAGTATCACTTCCTCAGAGCTTCCAGACTTTTCAAAGTCGCCAAGGAAGCACAGCAAGACCCTAAATTCAGCACTTTACGAATTACGCGACACAATGGTTAATGTACGCGCACCACCTTCAAAATCTTTGGCTAGTCGGCTCGCAGGGGCTGACAGTGCTGGCTCCGCCAAGGCGAAATCTTTGGACGACGATGATGATATTAGTGCTATCGTCAACAATTGGGCCGCAGTCAAGAGCATCGTCCGCGAAGGACGGCCAAACCCAGAATCTACCACGGTGCCACACCTTGGGCATCCGACGAAGCTGGTATCGTCCCGCAAGCAGAAAGCCGACGTCTTCATCCGTCAGACAACCCGACCCGAACACCACATAAGCAGCACCAAAGTCAATGCTCCAAAGCCCCGCGCATACGCCGATCGCAAACCCCCTCCTCTGCCCGTCTTCAATTCAAATCAGCCCGACAAGCCTACCCGCGGCAAGTTGGGAGAAGAAATTTTCTATACCGACCCAGCAAAGGCCAGTGCAGATTTGAAGGCTCTGCTTGAAGGTGGCGTGGAAGATGAGGCTGAAGAAGAGGAGCAGCCAGAGCCTTCAGGACCTGCAGGCATATCGGACGAAAAGAAGACCGAAAAGCCCAAGAAGCAAGAGAAACAGCGAATCAGCAAGGATGGCAAGATTGACGGTCTGAAGGTCCGGCTATTACCTCATCAAGTGGAGGGTGTTGAATGGATGCTTGGTCGCGAACTCGGACCTGTAAAGCGAGGTACTGTGCCGAAGGGGGGGCTACTCGCTGATGACATGGGTCTTGGTAAAACTCTCCAGACCATATCTCTCATTCTTTCCAACCTCAAACCCGAAAAAGGCTCAGAAAATTGGAAGGCGCAATATGAAAAGACGGAAAAGACTACTTTGGTTGTCGCCCCACTGGCACTCATCCGGCAATGGGAGCACGAGATAAACGACAAAGTGGAAAAAGCTACCGGGTTGAAGGTTCATGTTCACCACGGCCCGCAAAGAACAAAGAATTTTAAGGATCTCCTCAAATACAACGTTGTCATTACGACGTATCAGATTTTGGTATCAGACCATGGCAACTCGTCAGAGGCCGAAGATGGGAAAAAGACCGGTTGCTTTGGCCCAATGTGGTGGCGCGTTGTCTTGGATGAAGCTCACACCATCAAAAATCGCAATGCCAAATCAACAAAAGCTTGCTATGCCCTACGTTCAGAATATCGCTGGTGTTTAACTGGCACACCGATGCAAAACAACCTCGATGAGCTGCAGTCACTCATAAGGTTTCTGCGAATTAAGCCATACGACGAATTGCGACAGTGGAAGGACCACATTGACCAGCCCTTGAAAAATGGCAAGGGGCATATTGCCATTGGACGCCTTCATAGTGTTTTGCAGTGCTTCATGAAGCGACGCACAAAAGACATTCTCAAGGAAGAAGGTGCATTGAGACCTGGAGGTAAGCCCGTCAAGGGCGAGGAAGACGATCCGGGTCCTGGCTTCAAGCACACCGAACGAAAGATCGTCACCGTTTCCGCCGAACTTTCTGCTGCCGAGCGTCACTTCTATGACCGTCTAGAAGATCGCACTGGCGAGAGTATGAAGCGTATGATGCAAGAAAAGCTCAACTACCTTAATGCCTTTACGCTGCTCCTGCGTCTGAGGCAAGCGTGCAATCACCCGAAGCTCGTGGAGGGCAAGATTGAGAAGGATCGAGATGCTATGACTACCGACAGCAGCCAAGGTCAAAGCCAAAGTCAAAGGTCACAAGAGACCGAGATTGATGCCATGGCAGACCTGTTTTCTGGAATGGGGATAGAATCCAAGAAATGCAGTGTTTGCTCTCTGGATCTTCCCAAAGACGACGCCGCGAAGGGGCTAAGTACTTGCTCAGATTGCACGGAAGACATGGCCCAGTTCAAGGATTTTGAAAAGAGCAAGAAGAATAAAAAGGCAAAGAAGCCCAAGGTCAAGAGCAAAACCAAATCGCACAAGCAGCGCCAACCTGAGCGAAAGCTGCCAGCAACAGCCAGCCAAACAACTCGACGTCCACGAAACCGCAATACTGTCATTGACAGCGATGACGAGGATGATGACGAGGGTAGCTGGCTGGTTCCAGACGGCGAGAGAGGTTCTCTCAACCTGGGCAAGGCCGGAGGTGAAGAAGACGAAAATGCTGCTGGCCCTACCGAGTGGCTTCGATCCGACTCAGAAGAGTCTGAAGATGAAGACGAGAGCAATCTGAGCAGCTTCGTTGTGGATGATGAGAACGGTCCAAAGCCTACACAAGACTCGGATGATTCTCTCCTGTCGATGGACGCCTTGACTAGGCAACTTGCGTCACAGACACTGGATGACAAGCACACTAGAGTCTCTCAGGCTTCTGCAACAGAGAGCGAGGACGACGGTAGCTCTAATGATGAATCGTCAAGCTCCACGTCCGGTATTGACGAGTCGGAACTGTATTCTGACGACGACGACGTGCGTCCGGCACCTGGGTCGAGCCAGATTGTAGCCTCGGCCAAGATTCGCGAACTCAGTCGCATTTTACATGCCGAAGCCCACGAACACAAGTTTATTGTCTTTTCCCAGTTCACGTCCATGTTAGACCTCATCGAGCCCTTTATCCGTAAAGACGGCTTCAAGTTTACGCGCTATGACGGCAGCATGCGCAACGACGAACGCGAAGAGAGTCTACGGAGACTGCGCGAGGACAAGAACTGCCGTGTGCTGCTGTGTAGTCTCAAGTGTGGCAGTCTGGGTCTCAATCTCACGGCCGCCACTCGTGTCGTCATTGTCGAACCTTTTTGGAATCCTGTACGTTGCTCGACCTCGCATCGTTTCTTGTTTTTGCCCTCTGCTAACCACGCTCTTGAACTAGTTTGTCGAGGAACAAGCCATTGACCGCGTTCACCGCCTCAACCAGACCGTCGACGTGATTGTGTACAAGCTGACCGTCGCCAAGACGGTCGAGGAGCGCATCATTGACCTGCAGGATAAGAAGCGCTTGCTCGCCGAGCAGGCCATTGACACGGGCGCCAAGAAGGGCGCGCTCAAGCTTGGTCTGACTGAGATTATCGACATGTTTAAGCCTGGCGGCCACTTTAGCGGCGGCACGGGCTCCCACGGCCTTGGCGAGCAGATTCAAGCCGCTTCGCGCTTCGTCGGTGCTGCTAAGAAGGCGCCGTCGTCGAGACGAGAGGAGAGTACCGTCTATGGACGGCGTTGGTAGACTTTTTTTTTTTTTGTGCAGAGTCTGAGGGGTTCATTCACAATGCATTTGTGGCGTTGATAGTCAAGCGAATGCTGGTTTCTTTCTTCAAGATTTGATTACTGGAGAGATTTAACTTTGGTGAGATTGTTTCTTTACGTATAACTTTTTCACGCATGAAATTATGGCAAGACATGGATGATAGCTACATGAAAGGTCATCGTTTGGGCTTTAATGATACCAGACAATTATGCTTTTGCTTACAGGATTACATGGACACGTAGAGCAAAGGCGCATCACATGATAACTGCAATGGTTCTGTCAAGTAAACCAAGAATTTCAAACAAAACGTGTCGCTAGCTAGCTAGTGATGATGTGTGCTGCTATAGGTGCATCCCCCCTCTCCTGCGTGTTTTTCATGTCACGGAACCTTGCCGAAATTTGCAAGTCACTCACCACATAGATCACTTACACCAAGCTTTCTAACATGGGGTAAGAGAAAGTCTTGACCTATTCTCCCTGACAGATTCTGCTTTCCCATCCGCTTGATTTGCTTAGTAGCCGCCAGGCTGGCGGTAGTAGTCGTTCGGGCTAGGCGCACTGGGGCCGTCGGAGGCAGAGGCTCCGGGTGGGACATATGGCTTATACTGAGGCACGCCGCCACCAGGGGCGCCGCCACCAGGGACCTGCGGGGGCTGGCCGGTCGGCACCGGAGGAGGGGCCTGCTCAGGCGGTGAGTAGCTCTGGTAGTGCGGCTGCGAGGGAGTCTGCTGCTGGTGCGAGGGCGCCGGCGCGCTGGCAGAAGCTGCTTCATCCTGGGCGTAGAAGCTGTTGGGATTGTGCGGCGCAATGGGAGAGTCGTAGACCGAAGTGGCCAGCTCCTGGGCTCCGTATGTGCTCTGGGGCCGCTGCGCCTGCTGGGAGGGCGGGTGGTACAGCTGCTGAGGCTGAGGCGAGTAAGGTGTATAGCTTTGGCCCTGAGGCGGAGGCGATGCGCTGTTACCAGGCACGGACGGCTGCGAGGATGAAGGAACATGCGGCGTGGAGTCGCGAGGGGGGTATTGCTGGGAAGCGGGCGGTTGGGTTCCGATCTGAGATGGCACCTCGGCTCCGCCTACGTAAAACGGAGCATTGCCAGGTTGGCCGCCGGGCGGAAAATTGGGAGGAGGAGAAGATGCTTGGTAGCCCGAACCGGGCCCTGCTGGAGGCGCAGGGTTATAGTATTGGTTGGGCTCCTGAGACGGGGGAGGCTGGCTGGGATAGCCTACAGGCTGAGGGTAGCCTTGGCCGGGTCGCATTGCATATTGCTGGTAATTATGTTGAGGGGGGTGTGCCATGGAGGACTCAAGAAGAGACTCGTAATCTCGGCGTGCCTTGATAAACTTCTCGTTGAGTTGTGTGAAGTCATCTACCAAGTATTAATGCGTGATTTCTTCTGAGCTGTGAGTGTGATTTACCTTTCTTCTGAGAGTACTTTTCGATCAGCTTGATGAGCTTTGGTCGAATTGCCAATGTTTGATGATAGAGCTTCTAGTAAAGGTTAGTGTATCCAGCCCTTCCATCTTTGCTAAGTTATCGTTCTTACTGAAATCTCCTCGTTGTCCTCCTCTCGAGGACCCGTATTGGAGGCACTTAGCAGGGTCAAGAGCTTCTCTACGTTTTTTATTTCTGCAAAGACCTCGGCTTCCATCTGCGCTTCTCTCTGCAGCTCATCTGGTGTCGGATCCGTGAGCTTCTCGACATAGTTGAGCGGAAAAATGCCGGTATTGCCCTTGAGTGAACCGCGCCACCAGTCCTTGTATACACTCTCGAGAACAGCAATGACATCGCCTTTCTTGAACTCGAGTTCGCCGGGTTCAGAGGGTGCAAAGTCGAACAAGGCGCGCACTCTGCTGACCGTGGCTGCCGTGGTGCCGGCAGGCACTGGTGGAGCTGGAGCAGCCTCTTCTTTGCTAGAGGAGCCAGGCTGCGCAGAGCTGGAGGATGTGGCAGCCTTCTTGCGGTCGTCTTCTTGTAAGCTCAGCTTGAGTGCCATCTGGAGTTCTTCGTCTTCCTTTTGCCTGTCTGACGCGGTGAGACCTTGCTTCTGCGGCGCGCTCGGGGCTTGCAGCGTGGGGTTGGTTTGCTTCAGTCGGTAGTAAGCGTCGTACATAATGCCTAAATCGGCATCCTTGCTAAACATGTCACTCCAATCCTTCATTTTTTCCAGAATCTTGCTCTTGACTTGTTGGTGGGTGTTACGGTCGTTGGCAAGCTTGAGTAGGGCGTCGGAGAAGGCACGGCTGGACACTTCGCGGTGCATGGGCTTTCCGCAGTTTTGGCAGAGAGCGTGTGCAAGCTGGAGTAGATCAGCATATATCCTGAAAGGAGAGCCCTGACAAATTTACCTCGAGTGTATATAATTGGACATTCGCATTACGATGCGCAAGGCGCTTGATCATGCTTTGGACAGCTTCTTTGGGGCCAGTTGGGTCGCTGGTAGCCTTGTCGCATACCTCCATGATGGCGCCCCAGTCCTCGGAGGTGAGGTTCTCGTCCGTCGCCTTGGCTAAAGAGAGTTAGCATTGCTACATGGAGGAGGTGAATCACCGGCCGTCACACGACTTACCGACTGCATCATCGAAAGGACCGACCGCCGCCGCTCGAAACATGGTTGCGATGCTTGGGTCGACAAGCGAGTGGGCGCGAGTTGGTGGAGGTGGTAGCTGAACGACAGGCGAGAGAGGCGAGAGAGGCGAGAGAAAATCCGAGGTTTTCACGAGTCGGTATGTGATTGATAGGTGATGCCGAGGTATCGCGAGTGGTGTCGAGTCGATGCACAACCCGTTGCAGGAAAAGAAGAGGTGCGGTGGCGAGCTCGGTAAGGTCGTCCGTCAGTGGGTGGATGTCAGCGTCTTGCAGGCAGGCAGACTGGAGCCAGAACCAGTTCGTCATCAGGACGCGAAGGCTGGGTGGCTAAGTGGGGTTGCACCAGGCAAAGTTGGCGGCAGGGCAGCGGCAGTGCAGCGGCAGTGAGAGCTGGTGGTTGAATATTGCTACAAAAATAGCCAAGTGACGATTTCCGGAAAGGAGAAGAAATGTAAAAAAAAAAACTACATGGACTAGCTAGATAGTAACAATGGCTCTCGGTTTCATTTCTGCTATAATTAGTGGTCCTCTTGACCTGCTTTCCATTGACATCGAAGACCAATAATGAGCACTGCCGGATACGCTAGCGCGGGTGACTTGTTAGGCTTGGTCGCCTGAGCTAAAGTAAGGTAGCGCTGTTTCTTTGGCACGAGGGCACCTGCATGTGCTTCTGCCCAACAAGGCGAACCAATACCTACCTAGGTATCCAAGGGCTTGTTCCTCTTCCGGCCTACAAGCTGTGCGGCTGACGGAGGATAAATCACTGCAGTTCAAGAACCACGATTTCGGCTGGTCCATGCTTGGATGCTTTATTAACTACTTTCGAAGCTATAGATGACGAGCCCGGCGTAGTAAGAAGTGAGCTGGACGAGAGACAACTTAAGCTGGACGAGAGGAATATACACCAGACCAGAGTTCATTTTGATTGGAAGGATGAAAGCACCAGACCGAATCTTGGTGGATCTATATCAGGATGAGAGAAGACTACATGGACAAAATCTTATAGAACCGTCGCTCAACCAGAGTCATCAACTATAGGCAGTAACAAACGGCCAACGAGCCATGCACTCTCAAGCACAGACACGCAATTGTCGACATTGCAGATCTTTCTGCACTTGTGGGATGACAGCTGTTCTGTAATACGTGGCACAGGCCAGACGAGAGCTCTCTTCGGATAGCTGGCGGTGGCACATTTTCACCCCAGCTTGGTGGACGCCAACAGTGACACGACAGTGCAGACAGAGCTGCAGCATCCACAACAAGCGGTGCATGCCTGAACGTGGTCGAGGTTCACTCGATTATGCACGAGTTGGCGAGTTAATCGTGAATGAGGTCTGTGTAACTTGTGCGGCGTGATGCATAGTAGCTGCTCGCGACAACATCACCCTGAGTGACACTCGATTGGCTGCAACCTGTAGGCCAGGTCAATGGCTCCCAATTTGCCAATTTCCCCCCTGCAGTGACAGAGCACTGTTTATCACAGTCAGCGCGTGTCCATGGCCCCAGTATCCTCGACATCAAGGTTGTACAATCCAAACAATGTGCCTAGATGCGATCTGGCAGCCCGAAACTGACCCCGTCTCTTTTTTTTTCTCTGCTTTTCAATCATGTCCCGGACCCGGCCAGTGGTCGCAGCATCCCCAGGCTGCCCTCAGTGCGGGTACCAGATACTGCATCGGGACCTGAGGAGTGGGTCAGTCAACGGGCGCCAATGAGGTATCAGCAGCCAGCGATTGGGTACAAGATACTTGCCGTGACTCTGGGAGCCACACACTTTAGCTCAGGCATGCTTGTCTTCTTGCCTGTGCGCCCCATCAAGGGCCTTCATAATGGACGCCAGGACACACGCCTACCTAGGTACCTAGCTAACAATCTAGCGCCGCCCGAACAGCTGCCTGGCTCCATTTAGCTGGTACTTGCCTCATCTACCCTTTTGTACCAACCATCAGGTATCACGATAGCAACTGCTGCCCCCAGAACCCGCTTCTTCTCCACGACTTGTTAGGGAGCCCTTGTGCCCATTGCGTTATCGACGCTGCCGTTCGAGTCACCTCTCGCATCAACCACCACCGCTCTTCTTCTTCTTCTTCTTCCTCCTCACTTAACCTCTTGGTAACCTCCTACGCTACCTCTCCATCCTTCTCTGAATTCTCATTCCTACTAGTCCCTAACCTTCCTTGTCCTTCCTTGCCGCCAATCCTCTCCTGCGGCCGCCCTATGACGAAACCTATCTACCGAATCACCATCACGAGGTCCTCGACGAGCCGCTACGAATGACCCGGCCTCGGATCCATCTACCACCATAGCCCGCCAAACACAAACCACTTGACAAGTTCGACATCCCTCTCCCATCTTCGATACCTATACTTCCTACGCTGCCCCAGTCCTGCGGTTGTACTCGCACCAGCCGGCCCTGTCCTCTTGTACGGTACTTTGAACTACCCTTGTGTCAGCTGCTGTCCGACCACTGGTGACTAGGTAGCTAGCTACCTACTAGTTTGGCTCCTTGTCCATCTACACACTCATCCACAACTACAATTTCTTGATATTACAATCATTCACCATTACTATCGACTGCCAAGCCACGACGATGGAAGAGCACACTTCTATTGCCTAATTGCTCCCCGACGTCCACTCTCCTCCCCATCGGCCGAAACCTTTTGCCTCTCGCTATGCATCAACAAGCAAGGATACCCCAGAGGAAAGCCTCATCGCCCGCGCCATCGCCACAGCTTCCTTCCTCTCGGGGTGCGCCCAACGCTGATGCCGGCATCGGCGGAGCTCGCCCTAGGGCGGGACCAACTCTCTCCATGAACCAGCCTGCAGCAGCTCCAGCTGTTAGTGATAGCACACCGGCCTCAGCTTTGCCCAGCGATTCCGTAAAAAAACTGGACCAGATTGTGCAGGTGTGTTGAACCAAAGAAAGCTCACGTCGTCGCTTCAGTGCTGATAATCTATGCAGAATTTCTACACCAAAGCTGCCGCATTAATTCTGGACTCAAGGATGAAGTTGCGGCCCATACTTAATTCTAGTGGAGCTCCCAAGGTCAATAAATGGGTGTGTGCGCCCTGCCTCGTCCGCCAGCTTCCATTATGCTGACCGTTTATGCAGTACCAAATAGAAACAGATGAGATCGATGACTTTCGAGAAGAGCTCAAGACTTGGAAGACATGCGGCAGTTTGGAAAACCTTCCGCCTCCAATGGTCATCGAGGTGTTTCTAGATGCCTCCTCCTTAAAAGAAAGTCAGAGTCTAATTACTATTGACGAACAAGGCAAACGCTGGGATGTCATGGAACAGCTGCAGTCGTCCCGCTCAAGTGAAGGCACGTCGCCCAGTACTTTCGGCCGCAACACAGAAGTCGTCTTGGAACGTTGGACGGTGGAGCTGATGCCCAATACCTCCATGCCAACAGAAGACTTTGGTCCCATCCTCCCAACCATTTACAAAAAAGCCATCGTCTTCTTCAGATCCCTCTTCATTACCACGAGGCTCTTGCCAGCCTGGAAATTCACAAGTCATGGGCGAACAAAGGGCTGCGTTGCGGCTCTCTCCCCTCGTTGCAGGATACTTATGCAGCGTCCGCACAGAACATCGCCAGACCTTCTGAGGAGCCCCATTGACGGCAAGTCCGATCCCATTACGGAATACATGTTTGGAGACTTGGATGTTCCCGTTGGCCGCCTGAGCACGTCAGTTACGTACAGAAACGATTGCAACTTCAAAATCGATGATGCGGAGTCGCTTTTGAGCTCTAGGTTCATGGGTATTGACGAGAACTACTTCAAGCCCTCCATACCCACGAGAACTGGTTCTCCCAGAGCTACACAACCCGAAGTTGGCTCACTACGAGACCATCGAAGACGACCTGGCATCGGTGATGTTCAACAAACCTACGGCAGTCTATCAACGTTTCATGGCGACGGGCCCTTGGGAACCAGTCCCATCACTGCGCTGAGATCTGTCAAGCATCCCGGCTCTGACACAAGCTCCCCGCCAGCCTCGTTGCCGAGGCAATCAGACTTCGATGCTCCTCACTCATTACCCATTGGCACAAAAGGACAATCAAGTCGTCATGCAACCCGACCTGATGGATCTTCTAGAAGACCATCCATCTCTTTCCAACCATTCAAGGCGGGCTCTCTCTCGGGCTCTCCCGTACCTCGATCTCTCGAACCGGAATCTCCAGCATCATTGCAAAGCCGAACCTCAGCTTTCCCACCGATGCAGCCTAGGCAACGAACATCACTTACCGCTGGCATGCCCGCGTCCTTGCGAGGCGGACCTCCGCAACCAACCGATATTCCCGTCGTTGGCTCGCCGCGCCCTTCCTCTTCCAGCCGCTATAGCAGTAGTTTTACCCACCGTCGCAATCGTCCGTCCATTAGTGGGCCGAGTAGAGGAGGACCCGATGATGAGCAAGGTAGCAGTGGGCGACAGAGCCTGGCCTCCTCGGTGGTTCAACCTGGATCTGGACTATTAGCTGAGCCTGAAAACACTAGCTCCGGGTCGCTGCCTGCCGAAGAAGACGACATCTCCGACTTCTTAAAGATTCTGGATAGCAAAAAGACACTCAAGAGTTTCGAGCCAACCAAGCGAGAGTCGGCAACGAATAAGACCGTTGCGCAGTTGTCCAGGTTTCACCTCATGAAGGAGTCAAACAACGCCCTGGGAGATTCCATGACGTCGTCTATGCAGCTGCAGCGCTCGTCAAGTAGCTCCAGCCGGCAACTAACGAGTGTACCCGGAATGGTAGCGCCGGCATCAATGTCGCCGTCTTCATCGTCACCTGGCAAGCCCATTTCACCACATACCCCCCATACGCCCGCTATTCCATCTCGCCTCAGCGAAAACTCGATAGTCGATCACTCAGACGAGCGTTCTAGAGCAGTTTCTCGAGGAGCACGCCCCGAAGGCCCCTCGATCCCGGAAACAAGTCGCGAAAGCACCATTACCCAGGAAGGCACTACTGCTATCGATATACCATTGTCGCCCCGCCTTGGCTCACATCAGAGACGATCAAGTTCGGTTGCACAACAGACCAGGGCGACTGCTGACGACGAAGAAACGGACTTGGCTTTTGCCAATCGAAGCATCAGTCTGGGAGCAGAGGATAGGGAGCCTCCGACTCTCAGCACGCTTCGTCGCCAGTTGCAGCTGCAAGACGAGTCTACCGCCCGTGAAAGCCCGCCCAGCAGCCTGCGACCCGCCCCTGAGATTCGGTCTGCGAGTGTCTCGGTGGCGATGCTCCGCGGTTCTACAGAAGAAACACCCCCAGACGGTTTGATTTCTGTCTCGCAGACCTCGTCGCCGTTTCAACGAAAGCGATATACTGGAATGAGCGCCGGGCGTGGCCAGACACCGCCACCACAGCTCACGCAGTCTGGTAGAGGCAGCTACACGGGTGCTTGCAGCAGCCGCCTCATCCGTGGAGATGATGAGTCGGTCGGCGACGAACCACTCATGTTTACGCTCTCAGAGATGGATGCCCAGGGTCGTCGCAGCATAGAAGAAGGGCGCGGCAGTGTAAATACAGGAAGCAATACCGGCTCAGAGAGAGCCGTATTTGAGCCTCGCGGCACAACCAGAAGGGGCTGGTAAATTGGAAATTGGAGATATTGAAGCATAAAAATTGTATAAAGAAGACGTACTTTTTCTCGACATTTCACAGAATGCAGAATATTGGCCCTATACAAGCATTGCACATTTATTAGTTTGCATGGGGTCTTGCGCAAGGATAAGGTGTTGGTTGATGTTTTTGATTTAGGATTCTAGAAAATGGATATCATGCATATAACTTGATAACGCCCAATGTGGTAGCTACTAGGCTGAAAAAAAAAAAAACCGTCGAATAATCCCTTGATTCTTGCAAAACCTGATGTTGCGATAGATGTCGTAGAAATGGCATCTTGATAAGAAAAGAAAGAGCCAGTTGAAATGTTTGCCAAATGCGCAAAAGATTGGTTGGTGATGGAAAGGGATGAGCTCGAAACCAACCCACCGTTAACCAAGTCGTTGACTTGTAGATGTAAATTCAATTTACAAAGTCGTCAAGTCGTATTCTCTCGTAAAGCATAGTACTGTCGTGAGCAAAAGAGTGAGCAAGAGTCGTGGGTGCCAGTAATTTGGCTAGGATTTTGTGCCAGCTTATTATTCTTCGTCATTGTCGTCTTGGTTTTCATCGTCGTCACTTTCGTCCTGTTCATCAGAGTCCACCTCCTCTTCTGATTCCTCTATATCATCATTCGGCACACGACCACCTCTGCCATTGCCATCTTCTCCTTCTTCTTCATCATCATCATCATCATCGCCGTCGTCGTTTTCGTCATCCGAGTCGCTCGACGACTCCTTCTCCCAGGACTGTTCCCGCAGCCGCTGCGCAACGTGCGCTGGCCCTGGAGACTGCTGCGGCGCAGAGCGACGAGATTTCACTGCTCCGATGGCGCCTTCGACATCAATCTTTATCGGCGTGGTGTCGCGGTCGCTGCGGACAAACATGCTGCCTTCGGAATTCTCCGAGACGGGGCTGACAGAGGGGGGGAATCGGTAGCTTCCTTGCGCCGGCAGCCCTGGGGTCATGTGTCGGGCGGGTGAGGGGCCACTGCCGCTGCCGCCGTGGCCGTCGATGTAGAGGTCAGAGCTCCGGCTACGTCTTGTAGCGCAGGGAGAGGGAGGAGGCGCGTCAGCGTTGGCGTTGACGTTGTAGCTGCTGCTGCCGTGGGTATGTGTGGTCTCATTTAGATCGGTATTGACCATGGCCGTGTCGACATCATCACCATGCTCGGTGACGCTCATCTCTTCGTCGCTCTGCTCGCCGCGCTGAGGAGCGTCGGACATGAGCACGTCGTCGTCGGAGGGGCCCGCCACAGAAGCTGGGCCTGTGGTGCGAGCGACGCGACGGGGGGAGTTGCGACCATGTCGACGATCAGGGCGGTGGTTGCGTCCTCGGTCGTTGTCATCATCGCTATCGTCGTTGTCGTTCTCTCCATTGCCGCCGTGGAATCCTGGAGTGAGGCCGTGTTGGTCGTCGGGTCCGGATGGCGGGGCCTCATCCTCATCCGGCTCGCTCTCCGGCTCGTATTCTAATCGGTCTCCGTCTCTCTCTCTTTCAATCGTGATTTCCTTTTCGATCCAGCGCCTCTCGTGATTTCTGGGCAAATACCCACAAAGAGGAGCAAGGTTTTCAAATTTTGCCAATCTCTCCTTCTCGGGGGCTTTTTGTCTCGTCGTCACCTCATTCAACAGCCCAATAAAGTTATGGTTACGCAGGCCCGTCGTCTTACCTCCCTTGATATAGAAATCATAGTCGTAGAGTCGCATAGAGTAAAGTCCTCGCAGACACCAGATGTAGTCGCCGCCCTGTATCGTCTTCATGTCGCGAAAAAGCCGGAAATCCGGCTGCGTTATCGTGTGTCCTTTAAGGAATCGAATAGCTCCGCGTGGTTCGTGCTTTCTGCGCATATAGAAAGGATCGCTCTCGCGAATGTAAATCTCAATATGCTTCAGCCGGATGCTCTCCGGCAAGTACATGAGCGGCTGCGTGCGGCGCGATATATACTTGCCACGCTTCTTGGTGGGGGCGTTGCAAACCTCTTGATTTCCAATCCATAGCAGGCTGATAAGCTGCAGTCTTTGTATTCTCGCTCCAATATTGCCCGCGAAGCGACCCTATTCGCCCAACGAGGAGAAGCAGAAGTGATTGAGACTGTAAAAGAGGTTGCTGCCGATGTAGTTCCACTGCTTGCACACGCTGAGGGGAGCGAGCAGAACCTGGGGGGGCATCTCACAGGTAAGACTAAATGATGCGTTTCCGATGTGGAAACGATTCAGCAACCGGAGGCTGCCGTTGACGAGGCCCGGGCCTGGCTCGTAGTGAGGGTCCAGTCGCGAAACGACGTGGATAGGCCGACCATCAAAGACAAGAAGGTTCCGCAGAATCCCCCCCAGAACTTGGACGGGGAACCGGGAATTCAAGTCTAGGCCGGTGGCCGGCTGACGAGCCTGCCTCTGCGCCTTGCTAGCCTGCCTCTGCGCCTGGAATTTGGCCATCCACTCGTTCCATACGTGGTACTGCTCCAAGTCCGCCTCAGACGGTCTCCGGAGCTTGAGTCCTGGATGGAGATATGTGTAAGAGCTGTTCTCCTCCCAGGTAGCCATCTTCACAATTTTACCGTATTCAAAAGCGCCGGGCTGACGGAGCAGGCGCTTGGCAAGCTCCCCTCTCCATGTCTGCTGTTTAGTTAGCCTCATCTCATAGCAATGCAGTCGTGCGACGATGACTGGTAGTTTCACTTGCCGTTTCGGTTTTTTTTGGCTGCCTCCTGTTTCTAGCTTGCTGCGCCCGGTCTCGCAGTCTCCTGTTTGCCTGTCGCAGCTGCTCCCTGACATTACTGAGTCGCTCGCGTGCGCTGGCCACGTGAGCCCTCAGTCGCCTGATCCTCTGCTTCCTGCGAAAGGCAGCCTCTCGTCTGTCTCTGAAAGGAGGCTCGCATGCTTTCAAGCAGTCGCCTTGAAAATTCACCTCTGCCTGTGAATCCCCACTTTCGCTACCACTGTCGGTGAGATCCCCGTCGTCGTCTAACAAGGCCGGATCAAAGCCTTGATGAGTGGCGTCATCGCCCTGTTCAGGGTCGTTCATGGTGGTTTCAGACCTGCTAGTCGCTCCCTATAGGTAATTAGCACGGAACAAGCATGTCAAGTTTGTAAGTGAAACGGAGAAGAAAGGGCAGAGGAGAGAGAAGCATGAGTGAAGAGACTCCAATGAGTTGACTCTTGCATCAACCCAGCGCGCGGAGGCCGTGTGACAAAATCGTTGAAGACCTCGCGTCACTGATCTTGGGTGGTGTAGAAGATGCATAGGCAAATATGGCACGCACCTGTAGACTTGTAGGCTGGAAAGCAACGATGGCTCAAGAATGCAGTGATCAGTGCTGCCGCAAAGGGCAGTGAAAGCAGAATATAAAGAAGAAACAATAAGAGGCTAAAAGAGAAAATAGATAAAGAAAGCCAATTGAAGGATTAGATTATCATTAGAGGTGTTCAGAGTTCGTGGGTGTTGTTGGAGTTGTGTGTGGTGGAGGATGAAGGGCAGAAGGCGGGTGGAAGTGGGTGTATTTATAGGGGAATCTAGGGAGGGATGAGTGCATTTGTAGAGGGAGGAGAAGAGAGGAAAATTATGAGGAAAAATGAAAATGAGGCGCTTTTTTACAAGTATTCTTATCGTGTTGGCTGAATTCAAAGGCTCTCCTGCAAGGCGGCGTTTGTGTGCATGAAGGCGTGCAGCTGGCAATTGACGCAACCAGGAAAACGACTGCCAGCTCACTGCAGACGACACACCTTGATACTTGAGATTGGCTAGGCTAAGAATTCTTCTAGATTGTCTATCACCGCTGCTATATCGCATCGCATAGGCGCACGTTTCATAAATCCCCTTGATGCCGCCAGAAAGATGACAAAAAAGATAAAGTTCGACGGAGAGTTAAGTCTCAACCCCAGCAGCATGCCCACACACCATGTATATGTACAAAAGGTAGGCTTCTTGGCGTTCATTATTTCTTTTTCTTCTCCATTCATATTCCAAACACGTTTTGACAGGATGCTACGTAACCTCGGGTGGTATCACTTTTTTTCATGCTTCTTGAGAGAATTTAAACTTGCCACTGGCGGAAAGTGTCCATGACGGTAGTGAAGACGACGAGGAGAATACCGCCTCCGGGGCCAAGACGAAGGACCTGACAAGAGTTAGCGTTTGCGTATGGGTGCGAGACAATGGGCGAAGGGACATACCTTGGGAAGGAAACCCTTGTAGAGAGCGCCAAAGCCCTCTTCTCTGAACACGGTGACCACGCCGGGCCAGGCCCAGTTGTACTTGGGGATCTGGCCGGCCACCTTGGGAGTATTTTGAATTCTACTCTTGACGACATCCATGGGTGTGTTGAGGATGGTGCCGACGGTACCACCGACGGCGCCGGAGATGAGGTCGTTGGTCATCTTGCCGCTCTTGGTGTCTTGTTTGGGGAGCATTTGACGGACCTGGAAAATGCAGCCAAAGTAGCCAGCGTTCCAAAGAATGTGGCGCCACAAGGTAGACTCGAGACCCTGGTACATGGTGAGGACGCCCTCGTTGCGGACCGTTTTGACGACACAGTCGACCATGCCCTTGTATTTGCCGGCCGAGGCCTTGTCCTGGAGACGAATCTTGACAAGCTCAAAGGGAACGACGACAAATGACTCGGTAGCACCAGCGGTGGCGCCGGTAAGGACGGAGAGCGACTGGTTCATCTGGGTGACGCCAAACATGTTGCGGTAGAACTTGCCCCATTCGTCATTGGCTGCAAACTTGGTGGCACGCTTGGGGGCTTCCATCAAGATGGGAGCCGTGATGCCGCGATAGAGGCGGGAGAAGCTGGGCTAGTTGTCAGCAATTTTTACTTGCCCTGAGTCGGCGTCGAGGTGGTGCCGTACCCTTCATTTTTGATAATCTTGCGGAAGCAGTCGACCATGCCATTGTAACTCTCGCCGGTAGCGGTACCGGTTTGCAATTGACTAACAGCGTGTTAACGTTACGGTTCTCGCAAGGAAAGGTCAATTGAAGCTGTGGGAGAACAAGCGTACACTCGAGTCTTGACAACGTCCAATGGGTACCTGGGCGCGTGACGGTTAGCGGGATGTTCTCGGCGAGTTCGGCGTCAACACCGAAGTTGATGTATGCAGGAAAAGGCTCACATGACCAGAATCTAAGGAAATCAATTTAGTGTGTGTTAAAATCAGCGGTTGGCAAGTCCTGTTACCTCAGAAACACCGGCAATGGCGCCTGCAGGAGACGAATGTTAGCCATGAGCTCTCAACGGTTGTAGGTAGTAGCGCCACGAGGGCCACGACGGCGGGCGGCACGAACCGGCGGCGAACTGGTAGACAAAGGGCAGAGGCTTTTCCTCGGCCATTTTGAGCGGTGACGACGAGAATTGGGATTTGTGCGTGGGAATGGGCGGCGAGGTCGAGGTTTTCGAGGACAAAACGGTGCAACGGCAACGGTGAAAGGTCGGAGAGAGGGCGCATGCGTAACAGAGAAGAAGGCCGAGACGAGATCGGGCGGGAAATGATTTTAGCGGGAATTTTGGCAGGACGGCGTCTGCGGGGTGGCAGTCGGGCAGCGCAGGCACGCCAGTGGCAGGCGCTGAGACGGGATCGTTGGCGGCTTCTAACTGGCCAGTACCAGCTGATCTTGCAGGGGTTCACGGCTGTTTTTACAGGTACCAACCTGCTAATTCGAGTGCCTACCTAGCCTAAGGTACCTAGGTAAGTAACCTTCGTACCTACTATTTACCTACAAACAATAAGGTGCACATAAGCCGCAATTTTGATCCTGGTCGCGGGGCCACGATTGTCTGCGGCGTCTGCACGCGACGTGGTAATTGAGCTAGATTGTAGTAAGAATATGGGGAAGCTAGAGGGGTATGCATATTTGATTTCCATCAGAGGCACAGATGGCTGTATGCATGCACCCTGTTAGCTGTATTTAGTTTGGTTTCTGAATCCAAGGCAATGTTGTGCGCCGACAGAAAGAGGCTGCACAACCTTGGAAGATGCTTCTCTGCGTCTGCTCTGACACTTTTTTTGTGAGATTGTCGACTGCGATGCGATGCGATGGCGCGTGCAATCTATTGTCTTTTATGTGCGTGGTTATCACGGCTCATCGAGCCGAATTAAATCGAGGCGGTTATGTTCCTTCTTCTATTCCGCACGTACATGTACTCGGAATATCACGGATGGCTTCACTCGCCACAACTGCCACCCTCCTCCCATTTCTGTCATCATAATACACGCGTCGTATAACAGGCACATGAACCTCTAAACCTCCAAGAATGAATATCACGGGAACGGAGTGACTCTGCATGTAACACGGGCAAATGGCAACTAGCCCTGGGCCACATGTGCAGACGCCACGGTTTAAACCCCCATCGGCCCAGGAGAGCAGCACAGGTAACAGCGCTGAGCGGCCATTGGTCACGGCGGACGAAACTCTCTGCAACAATACCTACCTACCTGCCTGTTGCCTGCTTTAGCAGAGTCCGGACCTTCGAGGCCGTTGCCAGCAGCAGGTACCCGAAATGCACCATCACCCCGCTAGCTCCTTACCCCCCATCACATGTACTCTCCATGTACCTTGTGCCTGCCTTGGATTGGTCCAGGGCTTGGCTTCCTCTTTCGCACCCGCGACGCGCAAAGCAACACCCCCACCATCCCCGAATGAATACGTTGTAATAGCCTTTAATTAAACACCTCCCCAAAACCTCAAACCCGCAATACCCTGCCCAGGCCTTCAACCCTTTTAACACTTTCCATACACGCCCACTAGTCGACCTTTTCACCTCTTCAACTCCAACACTTACTTGATTCTTTCGAGGGCACCTTTCTCGCAACCAGCAACGCTCCAGCCTGCCACCATCTCCGTCGACTCCGACACCTCATTTCCGCATCTCCGGGTTCGCATTGTCGCGCCGTCGCCCAAGCACCGACTCCTATCGCGACATAAATACAACAGGGCGCGGCCCTTTCCACTTAACACACGAGCTCATCAGTACGCTTAATCCGCGCCTTTAAACACGCCGTGGTCCCCGAGAACCACAGCGAGGTGCCCTTTCAAGCGTATCGGGCTCGTTTCCACCTCTTGACCGGCCGATGAGTCACTTGCTCTGGAAATCCTACTGGGAAAATGATGTCGACAGGTTTCGACGTTTACTGAGTCCTGCCGGTTCCGCAGCTCCGGTTGGTTCCAAGAGTCCAGTGATTGCCAGCGTTGGCTGGCCCAGCCCTGGCGGCTTTAGCTCTTCGCCACGCCTCGCCGGCAAGTCGCGCAAAGCCTCGGCCAAGTCAAAGGACTCATCAAATGCTATTGGCAAGCTTGAAATCAACAGTCGAGACCATGCCGGCCTCACTCTCCTCCTGCGCGCCGCCTCCTCGACCGACCCTACCGCCCGCGACTTTGTTCAAGCTCTCGTCGACCATCCAGCCATCGATCTACATGTCCAGGACCCAGAGAGCGGCTGGAACGCACTTCATCGCTCTTTGTACAACGGAAATGTCTCCATTGCCCGCATAATCCTTGCCAAGGAGAGGGAAAACATCCTCTCCGGAACGAGCGCATCCATGGGCAGAGTTGGTAGGCTCATCAAGACCAAGGATCACGAGGGAAACAGTCCCTTTGACGTCTACAACTCGACGATAGCCACCCGGTCTCTTAACCGAGGCCAGCTGAACGAGGCTGCTGACAATGAATCTGACAGCGGAGAGAGCACGACAGACTACAACGAAATGTAAGCTCGATCCTCGCGCCATGCACCGCTCACCCTTTTATTAATAACTCCAAACAGCGCAAAGACCACTCATGCTACTTCCTCCGACCAAGGGGATGAGCTATTTGTCTTCGGGAGCAACAGGAATATGTCTCTTGGTGTTGGTGACGAAGATGACCGCCAGTATCCCGAGCGTATCCACCTCCGGCGCCCAGATGGCCTTTTACGCAAATTCTACGAATCATACCTAGGCGAAGAGGATGCCGAGTCCGTTGCCTCATCATTGGAGATTGAGGATATTCCAATCTTGGTTCGCAGCCGCCCTCTTGTCATTCAAGATGTTGTCTTGTCTAAGCTCCACAGTGCCGTTTTGACTACAGATCCTGTCAGTAACCTGTTTATTGCCGGTCTTGGTCGAGGTGGGCGTCTTGGACTTGGAGACGAGAATACAAAGTTCAAGTTTGTGTCAGTTCAGGGTCCTCTAGCCGACAAGAAGATTCAACAAGTTGCTCTGGGCCAAAACCACACAATGGCAATTGCTGGCAACGGCGAGCTGTGGACCTGGGGTCTCAACTCGGATTCGCAACTGGGTTACGCGCTGCCCCCTCCGACAAGAGCCGACGAGGAACCCATGAGCCTAGTGCCACGTCAAGTTTTTGGGACACTCAAAAAGGAATTGATCCAAGGCGTTGCCGCATCCACCATCCATTCCGTTGCCCACACTGGAGCTTCGCTTTTCTGCTGGGGTCGCAATGCTGGACAGCTTGCGCTCATGGATGCCGACTCTCGGTCTCTCGACATCCAAGCCACCCCACGCAGAGTAGCCGCGTCGCTATTGACGGCGCCCATTCTCATGGTGTCTGCCATAGATAAGGCTACTACGGTTTTGCTGGCTAACCACAATGTCTGGGTCTTTACCAATTACGGATACAACCTGGTCAAATTCCCAACCCTTGATCCATTCGTCAACTACAATCTCTCATCATATGCGAACAGGCGCGAGTCGGGAAGGAAAGAAATCATCTCCATCGCATCCGGTGGAGACACTATTGCTGCGGTGACATCTCGCGGTGATTTGTTTACTATGAACATAAACAGCAAAGGCGAGTCGGATCAACCCAATGGCTCTACCACAAACCCTGCCAAGATCAAAGGCGCAGTATCCCCGCCTCAATGCGTATGGGATTCTCGCAAAGATGGTGTCACTTCCATGAGTGTTGGAGAGCATGGCTCCGTGATCATCTGCACCGAGTCCGGCGCTGTGTGGAAGCGAGTCAAGCGTACCAATGGAAAGCTGTTTTCCAGCGCTGGCCACAAAAAGAAGGACTTCAAGTTCGAGCGCGTTCCCTATATCACCAACTGTACCAAGGTCCAGAGCTCGACTTTTGGAACTTTTGCTGCCATTCGAAAGGATAGTAAAGTCATGGCCGAGGAAATATCCGTTTCCAAACCATCCATCTGGGAGGACCTCGGCTCACTTATGTGCCTGACCAACTTTGAAGCGTCGTTGCCCAAGTCAGGTCTGAACGAGTCTCGAACAGCTTGGGACAAAGCCATCGCCAGAGAAAAACACAGCTCTGTTGTTCACGAGCTGCTGAAATCACCAGACATTGAAACAGATCTCACGCAGATGCTACAATTTGGCTCGACGCAATTCAAGAGCATTGATCTTCGCGTTAACACAACAACTGCACCCGATATCAAGATTCCTGTGCACGGTTGGCTGCTCTCTGCTAGAAGTCTCATCGTCCTTGATGCTCTCTCCAAGTTCCGCCGCGGCGGCCGTCAATCGAATCAAGACATCTTTGAACTCAGCGAATACGAGGGCAGAATTCTCATGACATTTCATCAGATCGATATACTTACTCTGCTGAATATTGTGGTGTTCTCATACCTCGATACCATGATGCCGGTCTGGAAGTACACCAAAGAAGCACCTTCCCTGGCCCACCGTTTCAGACAGGTCAGAATTGAGCTCATGAGAATGGCGACCAAGCTGCAAATGACGAGGCTCGAAAGTGCGGCCCGTTTACAACGGAGTGTTGAACCTTCACTGGACTCGGATCTCCAAGGCGCTATCTCTGATAAGCGCTTCTTCGAAGATGGTGATATCTTGGTGCAGCTCGATGGCGAAGACTTCCCTGTCCATAGTCAGCTTGTGTGCAAGCGTTGTCCCTTCTTTGAAGGCATGTTCCACGGCCGCTCGCAGGGAGGATGGCTCACGAGCAGACGCTTGGGTCAAGCCGCTGAGGATCGTATCCAAGTCAATCTTGAGCATGTTAACCCAGAAACATTCATGATGGTCATACAGTACATCTACGGTGATGTTGGCGAGGACCTTTTTGAGGATGTGACTTGCGCATCTCTAGACGAGTTTTCTGAGATTGTTCTGGATGTCATGGCCACTGCAAACGAGTTGATGCTCGATCGCCTTTCACAAGCTTGCCAATGCGTGATTGGAAAGTTTGTCACCACGCGCAATATCGCCAACTTGCTCAATGAGATTAGTGTCTGTTCTGTCACCGAGTTCAAGGATGTTGGATTAGAATATATTTGCTTGCAGTTGGAAAATATGCTTGAGAACGGCAACCTTGACGGCATGGATGAAGAGGTACTTCTGGAGCTTGACGAGGTTGTGCGCGAGAATCAGCTTGCTCGGTTTCCGTTTGTGCGAAGTGGGCGTGCCGAGCTGCTTATGCATGAAAAGCATCCAGACCTCCTTATCGACATTGAGGAGGAGCGTCAGCGTCGTGTCAAGGAATTCGCTTTCAAGGTTACTCAACGAGAAGAGGAGAAAAAACTGTCCTCGTCATATCGCGCGCGCTTTGGTAGTCTGGATGAGATGGCGGCCTTCTCGAGAACGCCTGATGCTGGCCGGCGCAAGTCTAGCTATGCTAAAAACGAGCCTTTCAGCCCAAGCCTGCGGCCGAAAGAATCGCATGGAGATCTCATTTTCGATATGGAGGAAGATGTGGCCAAGCATGGCGATGTATCTTCTCCAGCTGCGCCACGTCCTCTCCCTCAACTAGATCTGGACGTGGAGCCGATGACACAGCTTCCAGAAGCAGCTTGGCAGCAAACCAAGAGGACATATCCAGTCTCATTTTCCAAATCGCCTGGCTCTTCTGCGCCCACGGTGGCGTTTCCAGCATCTCGAAACTTGAGCGGAACCCCCGCTACGCCGACTAATAATTCGATGCGCAAAGCAAACGGCCCCTGGGCCTCACCGATTTTGTCTACGACGAAGCTGGATCTACGAGGCATCATATCTGAGGCATCTTCAAAGCCCACATCTGCACTAACGACAAGTCTAGCAGCTGCATCTAGGGATGCGCCGTCGCCAAAGCCCCCGGCCAAGATGTCACAAAAGGAACGCAAGAGGCAGATGCAGAAGCAAGCAGAGGTCCATGCTGCGACAGAAAACGGGAAGATAAGTGCCAAGCCATGGCAGCCCGTATCTTCAGGTGGCGATCCAGCGCCGTGGAAGGTAGCGTCGCCTGCTCCCAAGACGTCCTTGCAAGAGGCTATGGCTTCTGAGGCTCAGAAACGCGGGCCAGTGCCCAACGCAAAGCCTCTTATTGCTGCTGAGACGGAGCCTCAGGCCAAGCGTCGCACCGCGTCGCCCGATACCAAGTTCTCCGGGCAGAACCGCAGCCGACGAGCCGTGATAGATTCACCGGCGTCTAGCAGCCAGCAGGCGGCAAGTCCACTTATCCCACACTCCAAATCGTACATCACACGAGAGCGGAAGGAAGAGCCGCTTGTGGGGGGAACGCTGGCGGATATTATTGGGCAGCAGAAGCGCGAGCAGGAGCTCGTCAAAGAGGCCGTGGCTAAACGGTCCTTGCAGGAGATTCAGCAGGAGCAGGCGTTCCAGGAGTGGTGGGACCAGGAAAGCCGTCGAGCGCAGCAGGAAGAAGCACAGCGCTCTGTCCGGCCGGCCAAGGAGAGGGGAGACGGTGGAAATAAGCGCGGAAGAAGAAGCCGCGGTGGTGGCAGTGCCGGCGGCGATGCTTATACTGGCAAAGACAATTCGGGCCTAGGCAAGGAAGCCACCAATAAAGCAGAGCAAGCCAGCGCGTCTTCGCGCCGCCCTAAGGCGCGCGGCGGAGGCAAAGCTGCGACTGTCAAGACGGCAGCCGGGAAAGGCGGCAAGAAGTAGAAGGGATGGTGTGTATATATGTGATGTCGAGTATGATTTCGGGCCTAACTTTTGAATTTCTGGATATTGGGCGTCTATGGCTTACGAATGGGTAGCTTATCTTGATACAGAGCTTCAAGGATTGTTTCTATATTTTCAAGTCTTGTTTCAAAATAAACGGATGATTGCTAGTTTCAAGACAAATTTTGCTCAGAAATGGCTTAATTTGGAATCTCTACTTTTCTTCTCGTACTTGTCGTTTGATGTGGCAAGTGATGTGCGCCTTGCCAAGGTGGATGTGTGGCAGTGCTCCTTGGAGGCGAGTTTGACACTGAATAGTACATTGCAACACGGTTTGACCATTGCGACGCAATCTCATCAAATGGGCAACTTTATATCAATTTCTCAGATTCAAGTCTTATGGGTGGTTGGTACCCTAGTGTCGGTAATCCCTCTGCCACGCGGCAGTCTTTTGTTTTTACGCGCGCCATCAGGGCGAGGAGACGTCATCGGTTTGAGTAAGTTGATGCATCAGTGGGCTGATCGTTAGGTAGATACAGCCGTGGTGGTCATGCGTGAGGAGGTCTTGCGAATCAGCGAGATTTCAGTAATTTCTTAGAGCGCCATATTGGTTCGGTAGATTGTCACGATTTATGTGAATCACTCTTTTCATCAATTTGCCTGGTGTCGCATGCGCACAATATTGTTCAAAGTATCAGAGTACCTAAGTATGTGCCTCGTGCAGCCACCAGCCACAGCCGTCTGGTGCACCCACCTTGCCACTTTGTGTGCAGCGCTGAAAGGCCAGCTAATACAGCCGAGTTTCTTGCACAAAGCCCGCTGTAAAAAGCTTGGGTTATTGACTCCAGGTTGTATCCCTGTTGCCCCGCTGTCCACCCGAAAAAGGCTCTTAGCGCCAAGAGTGACAGCCTCTTTGCCTAAAAGCACTGGCAAGTTGGCAACACAACTCCTCCTGCTGCGCTGGCAAAAGGCCTCTTCCAAGCCTCCAAGCCACACCCACCACGAGTCGTAGCTGTACCTTTCAGGTAGCCAGGCTACTAACTCCATCCCCGGCCTCGTGCAGACATTCTCCGCCAAATCCCCCATCGCCAGCCCTCTCTATTCCTTCATCATCGCCATTTTTTCAAAAATCGTGCCACCAGCACAATACCAACCTGTCACTGTCCTCAACTTGAAGCCCTGCGCCCGCTAGCGAGCTTGCCCGCTCCCCCTCCGCTAAAGAAAAGCCCGCGCGACATCATAGATTCGACCGTCCGGCGCTTCGGCTTAGCGTCGGCGACGTAGTGACGACGCTCGCCGCCCTCCCGAAACCACCGCTGCTACTTTTCTCACAAACACACCGCAGTCCTCTTTCGAGGCATCACAGTCGCCCGCCATGTCCAAGGTTATGCGAAGCATCAAAAATGTGACCCATGGGTATTCTAGCATTCAAGCCAAGGTCCGCGAAGGTTCGTTTGTCTCGTCCCGCCCGCTTCACCACCCACGACAACCCCTCAGCTTGGGCGAGCTGCTCGCGCTCCCCGGAGCGACAGCGCATTCTTTGCTGACTCTCTTCCTTTACCTCACTCCCAATAGCGACCAGCAACGATCCATGGGGCCCGACCGGCACGCAGATGAGCGAGATTGCTCAGATGACCTTCAACACGTAAGTGCATTTTTCTGTTGGACGCCGTCGCTCCTGTCGCGCCATATACGTGCGGGGCCTGCCACTGACCATTACTCGCCGCTCAACCAGCTCGACCGAGTTTTACGAGATTATGGACATGCTCGATAAGCGCCTCAACGACAAAGGAAAGAACTGGCGACACGTTCTTAAGGCCCTCAAGGTCCTTGACTACTGTCTACATGAGGGCTCCGAACTCGTCGTCACCTGGGCCCGCCAGAGCCTTTACGTCATCAAAACTCTACGCGAGTTCCAGTACATCGATGAAGACGGTCGCGATGTCGGTCAAAATGGTATTTAGCTCTTCGAAATGATCCCAAAAATAACTGCAGGCTAACTCGAGCAACCCAACAGTCCGCGTCGCTGCCAAGGAACTTACTTCCTTGGTTCTCGACGAGGAACGTCTGCGCGCTGAGCGTACTGACCGAAAGTCTTGGAAGTCCCGCGTCACCGGTCTCGAGGAGCACATGCCAGAACACATGGGTATTTCCTCGCAGCCCCAGCGACGGCCTCACCGACGCCCGCAGAACGACGAAGACGACGCCGAATACAGACTTGCCCTCGAGGCCAGTAAGGCACAGGAGGAAGAGGATCGCAAGAAGAGAGAAAGCAGACAAGGCGCCGCCGACGACCCTGATTTAGAAAAGGCGCTCAAGCTGAGCAAGGAAGAGGAGGAACGACGACGCCGCGATCTCGAAGACCAGAATGCGAATGCCCTTTTCGGCTTCGACGAGCCTTCGCAGCCTTCGCAACCTCAGCCCACCGGCCTAAACCAGGGCTACCAGCAGGGCAACCAAGTCAACTTCATGGGTAACCCGATTGATCAGAATCAGATGCTGGGCCAGCCTACGGGATACATGCAGAACCCCTACCACACTGGCATGATGCCTAATCAAACTGGCTTCCCTAACTATAACAGTAACGGTTTTGGCATGCAGCAGACTGGCATGGGTATGGATCCATATGGCCACCAGCAACAGTCGATGCCTTCATTCCAGCAACCGCAGCCCACCGGCTATAACCCCTACGCCCAACAGCAAATGCAGCCTCAGCAGCAGCCATCGGAGCCTTCGCCTCAGCCTGGCAGCAACAACCCATGGGCCACCAACCAATCTCAGCAAGCTCTGAGACCCATGCAAACTGGCTCCAACAACCCCTTCGCCCAGTTTAACAATCGCCCGCAAGCCTCGTCGCCCATTTCGTCACTCTCGGCCCTGCCAGAGCAGAAGACGCTATCTACTTTTGGCCAGCAGCAGCAACAAACCCCGCAAGCGCAGCCTCAGCAGTCGCAAATGAGTTTCAACCAATCTCAACTCGGCCTGAACAACCAGCCCAAAAAGGAGCTCAGCGAGCACGAGAGCAGACTGAACGCATTGCTGGCGTCTGGTGACGGCATGGACACGTACGGCAACACAGGCGATCTCCGAATTCCCTCGCAGCACACGGCGCCTGGTATGTTTATGAACAGCGCCGGCTCTGGTGCCGCCAGGCTGCAGCCCGAGGCCACGGGCAGCAACCCCTTTATGCGACAGCAGTTTACGGGCATGCCCAGCATCAACTACGGAGGACAGAATGGAACTTTTGGCCAGCAACCCAACAACAACCCTTTTGGTGTTCAGCAGCAGCCGCAAAGGCAGCAGCAGCAACCCGGCCATGACCTAATTCAGTTTTAAAGTGTGGAAGCAGAAGATGTGGGAAGGAAAGGGAACGTGTCACAAGTCGACAGCTATATCTTTTCGATTTTCTCTACTTTCTTGTCTTTTTTTTTTTTTTCGTTGCTGCTGTTGTTACGCTTTGCGACTTGATTTTGTTTCGTTCAAGAGAAAAATGTGCAAGATTATTTTCATAAGCTGCCATGACCTTCTAACGCGTCACACCATTTTGTTTGTGTGCCTCTTGTGAGTGGGAATCTACCACGTGTTGTTTTCTGCGAAGTTGCTGTTGTTTTCGGGAGGAGAAGGCGACTCTATACCTATCTCTACTTTTCTTTTTTTTTCTCTTCGTCTTTTATATCTGAGTTGTTTCCAGAGAGGGAAAGTAGGAGGCCCCAAGGTCGGCGTGTAGATTGACCACAAGGCGTGGGCATAAAGGGTAGCTAACTAACTAGCTAGCAAAGACGGGGAAACAGATGTATTTATTCAACCTGCAATGTACGCGGTTCGAAACAAAAGACTCGGAATGGCTGCTACTGCGTTGTTGTGGGGGTGTGTTGGCCATGCAAAAGGCGCATTCTCCTTGATTGCATACAAAAATTCTAGATTTGATTCCTTTTTTTTTTTACTTTGTTCTGTCCTGCTGTATCAAAATGACCCGGTGCCGAAGACAGCATCAACCGAAACTCCAACAACGCCACGCTTCCCTTATTTTCCTCGACCGCTCTGTAGTGATGTGACAGCTGCAGCTCGAAACGACAAAGTATATCAAAACACCAACGTTCAAAGTCACCGAAACGCCTTTCGACTCGGCTCCGCGCCCGTACTTCTTTGGCGTGTGGGCGATATGAAACGGCAGTAGCCGCATTCTTCTTCAAAGTACAACCAGCCACCCTTTCATTAGTATAATCTGGGGCGTTGTCGCAGATTCGCCATTGCCGCTGGTGCGACGCGGCGGACGCCATAGATTCTTTGTTGGCCCAGCGGCGCGGGGCGGGGGCGTTGCTGTAGCTTTGCGTCGCCTCTTCTCAATTTCTCTCCCGATGACCCGGCCCAGCCAGTTGCACCACTTTGGCCGAAGAGAAAAGAAACACCCAAGAAATGGTTGCAAAGGAGAAAGAAGCGGGGAGCGCGATCCTGTTAACCAGCCTCCTCCATCATCTGCATAAACTCGTCGAGGTTGACGCCGCCCTTGCCCTCGTGGTCGAGGTGGTCAATCATGCTGAGAATCTCCTCGTCGGTCAGGCTGCGGTCCTCTTTGATGTCCTGGGCGAGGTGGCGCATGTCGTCGATGGAGATGACGCCGTCCTGATCGTAGTCGAACATGGCAAAGATCTTGGCGGCCTCCTCGCGAGGGTCGCGGCCGCTGATGAGCTTGGAGGCGCAGAGGCGGAACTGGTCGAGATAGATGTGCAGACGGTTGACGGGGCACTGCTGGTCCTGCCAGTCGGGAGGGACGGTGCCGTAGGCCTCGAGCTCGCGAAAGTACTCTGGCTTGGAGAGGTCAAAGCCGAGCGCGGCGAGGGAGTGGCGGAACTCGTAGCTGTTGAGGTAGCCCTTTTTCTTCATGTCCATGAGGTCAAACTGGAGGGGGGGTTGTGTGTGTGAGTAGACTGTTTCCCAAATTGTCGGAAGGAAGGTTCGGGGGGGGAGGGAAAGCTTTGCTTACTACTTCGTCAATGTGCTCGCGGTCTTCGTCGGGGATGCCCGCGTATTCTTCGTTGGATGACACTTGCGGAGGAGGTGGCGGTTGGCGCTGTCGCTGGTCGTGGGCGGAGCTGGCACCGGCAAGGGACCGCCCGGCAAAAGGTCGTGGCGTCTGCGAATTGAAGCCCGTCGGTCTGGAAGCCATGATCGCGGCTCGATGCCGATAGGTTTTAAGTCGATCCGGAGACGTGTTTTGTGTAGTTTATTGCAGTGTCCAAAAAGGGAGAAAAAAAAAAGGAGCAGTCGTCCAAAACAAGGTTATGGGAAGAAGGAAAGCAAAATAGAAAAGACGGGGTGTTAATCGAGATTCATGAGCAGAATTGTTTGTAGATAAAATTGTATGGTACAGCAAGGCAGAGCGATGCGCGGCCCCTGATCGATAATCGCGTGCGTTAGGAGACGGAGGATGGCAGGGTTGAGGTTGTATGTAGATGGTTCGCCGATGGCCACTTTGCGACGCGACCCGAGGCGCCTCTGCAGACGCGCCCGCGAACTGGGGGTAAAGCCAGGTACTTGGCTGTGTGATACCTCGTAGGCAAACACCAGGCAGCAGGTCACCTGCCACAATGTTCCTCTTCGCAGCGCTGTGATTGGTGCAAGCTCACTCAGCAAAGCTTGCCTGGCCAATGAGCAAAATGAATTGGCTGCGGGTCACAAGGCAGCCTGACAGATTTAGCCCGCTGGGCACCTAACAATGCGACCTCCCCCTCCCTCCAGCCCCCAAGAAAGCCCAGGCTTCAGCGCCCCCAGAGCTGCTGGTAAGTGGCAACCCACCTTTTGGTCCAGCAAACTCCTCCCCTAAACGACAGTGCAAAAAAAAAACTTTGGCTCGGCTCCAGGCGTGAGCGAACTTCAACCCATCTCCAAAGCTCCGTGCTAGAGCGAAACCTCTCGCCACATCGACAAAAGCTCGAGGTCATCTTCCCCCGGCGCGTCACCGCCATTCACCTCTTGCTTTCATCCTTACCAGTTGATGGTTTTGACTTCCTTTTTGACGACTCTCGGCATCCATTCATTTCATTCTCGTTTTCTTTAGGCGCGTAAGCTACGTGACGGAGCAGCAGGTCGAAATTCACCCATCTCCGACACGCGCAAACAGAAGCGCGAGATTCCGTATCTAGGCACCGCCTGAATTTTCTCCTTCCGTCGACCGAATATCTCATCGCTTTATTCTCCCTCTTCCCAAGTAGATGAACACATCACGCGCGACTCGTGCCGACTAAGATTTTCCGACTTCGGCGGGCTCAAGCAAGGTCACGGCGCGCCATCACCTCGCCCTCTGCATCACGACCGATAATCCCACTCATCCCCAGCGACCGTCATCATGTCGTTTGGCGGTGGTGGCTTCGGAGGCTTCGGCCAGAATAACAATAACAATCAGCAGCAGTCTTCTGCTTTTGGTACCTTTGGCCAGAACAACAACACTACAAACGCAGGTACGATCCCATTATGCCGGTCCCTCCCCTTCTTCTGTCGCGGCCATCCCTATGATGGGTGATGTGCTGACAAAAGCTTTTCATCGCAGGCTTCGGTGCTGCCGCAAACCCTTCAGGTTTTGGCACTACTACCGCCGGCGGCGTGTTTGGCTCTGGCAACAATACTGGTGGTGGCTTCGGCAGCGGAGGTAGGCTTTATCGGCGAGAGCCCTCAGTCTGGCCGTTCGGGCTCGACGGCTAGAATGCATGCGATTACTAACTTTCACAGGCGGTTTCGGCACCAACAACAATGCTGGCGGCGCCTTTGGCAGCAAGCCGTCTGCCTTTGGCGCTCCTGCGACGACGACCGGCAATACCATGTTTGGCGGCACCACTACCAACAACACCACAAACACTGGCTTTGGAGGTTTCGGCACCACTAACAACGCCAACACGGCCTCGGCTTTTGGCGCCAATAACACCAATACCACTGGTGGCATCTTTGGCGGCGCCAAGCCTGGTGGCTTCGGCGCCGCGACTACGGGCAACTCCCTCTTCGGCGGTGGCAATACCACCAACACGACTGGTGCATTTGGTGCCAACACTGGATTTGGCGCAAACACCACTCTAGGTGGTGGCGACCCCCCGGGTACCGCTGTTGCTCCTTTTCAAGCTTTCAACGAGAAGGAGTCGGGCAGCACAGCGTCCAATATTTCAAACTCCTTCCAGAACATCTGTTTCCAGGATCCCTACAAGAAGTGGTCTGCGGAAGAGCTTCGACTTGTCGACTACGTTCAAGGCCGAAAACACGGCAACGCCAGCGGTACCGGCGCTTTCGGTGTTTCTTCCGGCTTTGGCGGCGGCTTTGGCGCGACCAACACCAATGCTCAGACGACCAATGCTTTTGGTTCCAATACTGCGAACAACACTGCTGGGGGCGGTATCTTCGGTGGCGGCAACAACAATGCCAACACCGGCGGGGCTTTCGGCTCTGCTGGGACACCTGCTTTCGGAACCACTAACGCCAACACCGGAGGTGGTCTCTTTGGGGCTGCGAATAAGCCTGCTACCGGCGGTGGTATATTTGGTAGCAGCGCTCCTCAGACTCAGCAGACTGGCGGCGGTCTCTTTGGTGCCGCCAACAACAACACAAGTGCTTTCGGTGCCAACAACAATAACGCAACCAACAGTGCATTCGGCGCCCCTGCAAACAATACCGGCGGCGGCCTCTTCGCTAATGCTAACCAGAACAAGCCTGCTGGAACCGGTTTCAGCTTTGGTCAGACTGCCAACACCAATGCTGCCGGTTCTGCTTTCGGCGGTGGCAACACAGCCAGTCCTTTTGGAGCTGCAAATACCACAAACACTGGCGGCGGTGTCTTCGGCAGCAACACTAATAATGCCCAGCAAACCACTGGTGGTGTCTTTGGAAATGCCACACAACAGCAAACTAGCACGGCCTCTCCCTTTGGTGCGTTTGGGGGTCAGCAAAACCAACAGCAGCAGACTGGTGGCGGTCTCTTCGGAAGCCAGAACAAGCCCGCGACCGGGGGTCTCTTTGGTGGCGGCGCGAACACCACTGCCAACGCTACTGGCGGAAACCTTTTTGGTAATGCCAACAATGCCAATAACCAGCAACCTACCTCTGCATTCGGTCAAAACACAGGGGGGGGTCTGTTCGGAGCAGCCAAGCCTGCTAGCGGCGGGGGGCTGTTTGGAAGCAGCACCAATGCACAGACAAACACTGGTGGTGGTAGCCTCTTCGGCGGTGGTACTCTTGGTCAGAACAACACCCAACAGAACACCGGAGGCAGTCTTTTTGGAGCCGCAAACAACCAGCAGAAACCTGGCGGTCTTTTTGGCGCCTCGAATCAAAACGCCGGTGGCAGCGTGTTTGGCGGACAAAACAACCAAGCTCAAGGCTCTTCTCTCTTCGGTGGTGCCAACAATCAGCAAAACCAGCAGGGCTCGGCATTTGGTGGATCTCTACTGGGCAATTCTCAGCAAAACCCCAGTGCCCCTCTCGGTCTTACTGCCAACCTGAACGATGTCTCGGCGTACGGTACTCCAGCTCTTTTCGCCAACCTCGGAGGAAATGAGTCTCCCAACCCTGGGCCCCTTGCCACGCCCCTTAACGGCAATTCGAAGCCTCGCAGGAGCTCCATTCTCCCCATGTACAAGCTTGCCCCCGCCTCTGCCTCTCGCTTCGCTACTCCGCAGAAGCGTGGCTTCGGCTTTTCCTACAGCAGCTACGGCACTCCTGGAGGCAGCCCTGCCAGCAGCCTATCGAGCACTCCTAGTGGCCTCGGACGCAGTCTGCTTGGTTCCGGCTCCAGTGGAAACCTGAGCAAGAGCATGTCAACCAACAATTTGCGTCGCACCTTCAACAGCGAAGATAGCATTCTCGCCCCAGGTGCCTTCTCAGCAAGCTCCAATAGCCGCTGGTACGGAAGTACAGGGTCCAAGAAGCTCGTTATCAACCGCGAAATCCGCAGCGATCTCTTCACAACCCCTCAAAAGGAGAAGCCTGTAGCTGAAGGCAACGGAACTGGTCGTAAGCTACTGAAGCGCGTCAGCTTCGATACCAGCCACGTTGATTCCGAAGAGACAGCGACGCCGGTCCGCGCTCCTTCTCCGCCCGACGACAGTCCCAGCACGCAGAACGAAGACACTCCTCGCCAACCCAAGCCCACCGTTAATGGAACCAAATCACCCGAGATGGAGCAGGTATCTAGCGGCAGAGAGCTTGCTGTTGTGCAGGAAGATAGCACTACTGCTGACTCCGCTACTGCTACTGACGCTCCCATCAGCAACGGTTTTGACAATGCTCCTGGCGGGTACTGGATGCGGCCCAGCAAGGATGAGTTGATGGCCATGAACCGCGTTAACCGATCCAAGATTGATGGATTTACAGTTGGCCGAGACAATGTTGGTCAAATTAGGTTCAAGGTTCCAGTTGATCTCAGCACCATCGATCTGGATGAGATTTGCGGCGGCATTGTCCAGCTCGAGCCGCGGTCCGCAACTGTCTACCCTGTCGCCGCCAAGAAGCCTCTCATGGGTAGGGGTCTCAATGTTCCCGCCAGAATTTCTCTGGAGCAGTCTTGGCCTCGTGGTGGACGCGAGAAGCGAGTCACTAGCGATCCCAAGCGCTTCAGCAAGCACGTCGAGCGCCTTAAGCGCATTCCCGATACTACCTTTGAAAGCTACGACAAAGATACTGGCGTTTGGACCTTTTCCGTTGAGCACTTTACCACGTACGCCATGCCTGACGACGATGATGAGACGGATGGCGACGGCTCTTCCGAACTCCCGCCTCAAACGGAAATCGAAACTGCTCCTCAAGCTATGGCTCTCGACGAGATTGCAGGAGCTCCTAGTGAGAGCAACAGACAGGCTCTTCGACGCAATGGTGTGCCGGGCGCCTTTGATGAGTCAGAGGAAGTTCATGGAGAGGAGCAGCCCTTGAAGCAGTCTTTTTTAGGGATTAGCTCCGCGGATTCGGCGCCCAACGAAGTCAGACTGGCTCTAGAGATGGATGACCTTGTTGACATGGGCGAAGAATATGACGAGTTCGATAGCGAAGACACGGCGAATGCTTCGGTCGAACCGCATCACGCCACGGAGCTTGAACAAGCCTCGCCGGAGGATGAGCAGGACGCTAAGATGAGCACTCCTGGTGGCATTCTCAGAGCCAGAATGAGAGCTATCAAGGAGTCAGCTGGCCCTGTTCGACTCGAGGTAGCTGATGGAGATGATTGGACGGAGATGTTGCGCAAGACGGTCAGCCCGATGAAGCGCGACAGACAGGAGCTCCGTGAACTGAACGAATCGCCGTCGAGAAGAGCTGGTGGACAGCTGGACGACAATCTCAACGCCTCTGTTTGGGGACGTCGCAGCATGGGACGCCCAGATAAGCATGAAGGGTTCGCAGCAAACGCAGCGCTGGAAAAGAGTGTCGGGTTTGCGACCAGTATTGACTTGATGAACTCGTTGTTTGAGAAGCCCAAGCCTATTCGCGAGAAATTGCGTGTTTCTTCCAATGCAAAGGGATTTTCCCAGGTCGGTACCCTTGTTACAATTTGATTTTCTTCCCTCTATTCACGGAGATATTTTTGTATCTAGCCCGGGAGCTCAGTAAATACTAAATTGTTTCATTCTGATAGTTGCTACAAATGCGAAAAGACAAGCCCTTCGATACTGATGAGAAGGAACATGCCTCTCAACGCACCCCTCGAGTTTCTTGGGGTCTGGACGAGACCCTTGTCGTCACGCAGCCACGCGACTCGCACTTCTCAAGTCAGATTCTGCGTGACAGTACCGACATTTTGAGCATTACAAAAACAAGCGTTGGAAGCGTCATGCACGATGTTTATTTGGGCAAACTTTATAGCCAGGTATGCTTGATGTCTCGGCCAAAGCACAAGATTGTTCTAACAAGTGGAAATAGTCGTTCACGAGATATTTGCAAGCTCAGGATAAGCTAACCGACGTTCGCATGCTCGATGGTGCGCCTTTCGCTGTTCTTCGTCAGACAAGTCTCCAGGACATTTTCCATCATCAAGACATGACCGACCCTGCCAATCTGTACGAGAAACAAGTATGGGAACTTGCCGATATTCTCTTTGGACATGCCTCTACTTCCAACCTTTCTGATCACCTTGCGCGCAAGAAGAAGCTCTCCGAGTTTTGGGCTGTGCTCGTTGAAGAAGCTTCATCCATCGCGATCGGCAAGGCTGCCTCCAGTGAAGAAAAGGCAATTGCCTGTCTTGCCGGTCATCGCATCACAGAGGCTTGCAAGTACCTATTGGAAGGGAAAAACTTTCGTATTGGTACTTTGGTCTCCTTGATTGGAACTTGCGATTCTGCCAGGAAGGAAATGAAGGAGCAGCTCCAGTCCTGGCAGGACTCCAAGATGCTGTCGGAATTTCCGGAAGCTATTCGGGCAATTTATGAGGTGCTCAGTGGCAACGTATGCGTTTGTGGGGGTCTCAAGGACGTGCCCGTCGAAGACCGTATGGAATCGTTTTTTATTTCACAAAGGTTCGGCCTTGACTGGAGACAAGCCTTTGGTATGCGCCTGTGGTATGCGCTGAGCAAAGACGAGGATGCCAAGTCTGCGGTTAAAAGGTTTCAAGAGGACATTAACGAGAACAGAGAGGATCTACCTGAGACGTGGTACATGGAGCAAGGTGTCAAGCCCATCTGGACCGATTACGACCTGGGCAAGCGCCAAGATCTTCTTTGGGGCTTGCTCCAACTGTACGCCGAGCCGAAGACGGATCTGGAGGCCGTCATCCGACCCGAAAACTCTCAACTGTCACCTCTTGATACTCGACTTTGCTGGCAACTTGGCCAAGCTCTCACCTCCACGGGCAAGGTCTCATACGGGGACCACGACGCTTCCAAAGCCGATGCTGCCACCGTTTCTTATGCTGCTCAGCTGACCAGCGCCGGTGAATGGCTGGACGCCATCTTTGTCCTGCTGCATCTTCGTGACGCGGTCGCTCGCAAACAAGCTCTCCAGGAGCACCTCTGCCGCCATGCCAGCCGGATTGGCGCTGAAAACGGACCCGTCTTCACAACGCTCACCGAGAAGCTGCTGATTCCCGCCAGCTGGATTTGGGAAGCTCTTGCGCTGTATCAGCGCAGCGTAACCAAGGATGCTCCGCTCGAGGTGCAGTGTCTACTCCGCGCCGGCTCTTTTGAGGAAGCTCACCGCGTTCTGGTGAACCAGGTTGCTCCTCGCGCTATTGTCGAGCGCGACTACGCTGGCTTGTCTGAGCTCATCTCTCAGCTCAAGGGCCGCCAGGATAGTATATCGCAATGGTCCCTCGGAGGTGAGGTTTACGGCCACTTCCTCGCCTTGATGCAGCACCGCAGAAAGAAGGAGAGCATCCCGTCTGCATTGCTGGAGAGATTGCTGGTCGGGCTGAATGCCATGAGCGAGAGCGGCTCCGAACAGGAAATTCTGCGGTACGCAGCGGTTTCCGACATGGCTGATGAGACGGCGCGAGAAATTGTCAAGATGGCGAAGAAGAAGCAGGTATGTTGCCACTAGCACAGTCAGGCTGCCCGCACACGAATGCTAACGTAAACTCGATAGGACATGGATCTGCGCTCTAGGATCTTGCATCTGCCGCTGACGCAGGATCGACTTCTTGCTTATTCTGTGGACCTGGGTCTCGACAGATATAGGGAGGTTGTGTCGTATTGAGGGGAAAAAATATGGTTCATGAGATGACTTGCGCAGTCTTGGTTTTTTTTTTTATATACAGGTGAAGCCTACAGGGCGCAAAGGCGATTTTTTCTGGATCGTAAGAAAGGGAGACAATAGGGGGAAAGGATTCGATTTTGCATGTTTGTTTTCGCCTGGCTTTTGTCAATCTTTCGATTTGATGTCTTTCAAGCTGACGGAGCCTCGTCCCTCTTGGGCAGGCAGGGGGAATGGCAAAGCAAACTTTTGTAGAACATTTATTGAAATTAGATAGGGTTATTTTCATCATTTTGCGACAATTTAGTGATTGTCGTTTAGCTTTTTCATGCCCGTGTCTGGACTGTGACTAGAAAGAATCCTCTCCACTGTATCTGTATACTGCAATATGAAAAATAGAAAAAATTTGGCGTGGCGGGGAAGACGAAACGTGAGATGGGCCTCACTTACAACATGGCCTATGACTACTACCAAACAAACCCCGCTAGTTCCCCTCCGTCTGCGCGCTCATATTCAACCAGACGCCAAAAAGCAGTTTCCAAAAAATGCCACGGCCCAAGAACTGGCCCAGCACCCTACCCTACCTCACGGCCCCTCTGCACGGCAAGGACCTCACGCCGGCACACCTCGCCGCCATCCGCACCAAGCCCTCCTCCTCCTCCGCCTCGTCCACCGCCGACGTGCCCGTCATCTCCGCCGCCGACACGCCGCCGTTGCCCTGCCCACGCGTCAAGATCCAGCCCATTACCAGCCCGGCCTCGCACCCAGCCCTCGGGCAGTGCGGTCTCTTTGCGGCGCGGAACCTCGCCCCCGGCACGCTGATCCTCGCGTACCTGGGGCGCGTGCACGCCGGCGGGGGCGGCTCGGCGGCGGGGGCGGCGGGGAAAAGTTCCTCCGACTATGACTTGTGGTTGGACCGCGAGGCGGACGTTGCGGTAGACGCGGCGGCGTGTGGCAACGAGGCGAGGTTTGTGAATGATTATCGCGGGGTCGGGCCGGCGCGGCCAAATGCCGAGTTTCGGCCTGCGTTTTGTGAGAGGTGGGGGGAGGTGTGCGTGGGGGTGTGGGTGATGGCGGCGGCGGCGGGAGGAAAGGGCAAGGGGCAAGGGGGGAAAGGGGGGATAAGGAAGGGGGAGGAGATTTTGGTGAGTTATGGAAAGGGCTTCTGGGAGGAGAGGAGGAGGGAGATGGAGGAGGGTGAGGAGGAAGAGGCGGAGGAGGAGGAAGAGGGCGGTAGTGAAAGAAAGGGTGCGTGAGCTGGCTTACACGGCTGGAGCTTGTTGCTTTTGCATTGCATGATAGACATTGTTAGCATACCTCGGATGAAGAATGGCCACGGCTGGATGAGATCCTGTCACGGGAAAAGAGACTTTTACATTTCAGATCACTAATGACATGAGTAACGTAGCTTAGTGCAGGGATGGGGAAAAGTGTAGATGGCGCTGTACCTCCCGTTACGCAACAATCAAAAGAAGAGGGCATTTTCTCTCGACTATCTGCTCACATGAAGCAATCGAAAATATCCCTGACACAGTAAAAGAGAAACCCCCGATTCACAGTCAATTGACATCATACCCCATATCAGGACGACTCGTCCTATATCATCTTACAAAATCGATCCATACGCCCCAGTACCTCCGTGAATAAAAGCGCAAATCGCAAATCCAAAGCGCCGTTGCCATAAATTATATACGAGTACAAAGGTCCGTCGATGCGCGTCATTCTTCCTCGCCAGAGGCGTCGACGTCGACCTCTTCTTGAGCTTCTTGATCCTCATCCTCTTCTGCTTCTGCCTCTGCCTCTACCTCTCTCGCTACATCGTCACGCCCTTCGCTTTCTCTCTCTCCGTCTTCTTCTTCTTCCTCCTCCTCCTCTTCATCATCCTCCGCTTCTTGCGCCTCTTCCTCGTCCTCTTGGTCCGCGCCAGACTCTTCCTCTGCGGCGGCGGCAGCTCCCTCGTTGGAAGTCAGCAGCTGAACCTGCACCTCGTCCTGCGCCGACTCCTCCTCGATAGCCGCGCCGGCCTCGTCGCCGTTGGCCTTGGCATCAGCCGTCACAGATCGCCAGCCGGGTGGCAGACCCGGACCACTGTTTGCGTTGCCATAGTCTGACTTTCTGGTCCCCTTTGGGTATCGGCCCGGGCCGCGACCTGTGCCGCCGCCTTTTCGACGAGAGGAGGTGCTCCGCACACGGCTCAGCGGCGGGCGGCCACGTTTTCGTGGAACGCCGTTATTGGTTGACGAGCGTCGCCGGTTGCGGTCTCGACGAGCTCCGCCAACAGCAGGAAAGACTTCGAATCGAGTGGCCGGGATGTCTTTGTAGGCAGCATCCCACGTCTGCACACTTGGCTCGTCCGCGTCCTTCATCACCTCATCCTCAGACTTGATGGGCTTTTCCTCGGATTCAGCTTTTTCTATGGATGCTGTTGGGCCCGGATCGGGTTCGCTTTGGTCGGCAGTAGAATGGGCATCATCTCCATTAGTCTGCCGCAATTTGTCAGTGCCGACTCTATTTGGCCCTTCTAGTATTTTGGCTTCGTCGTCCTCGCGGGGGGCAATCGCGTTGATGGGTGGTCCGAATTCGAAATTAACGGCATTGGATCTACCCATCACGTATGGAGTCCAGACCAACGCCTCGGATTTGAGCCTGACGTAGCCTTTGCTGTCCCACTTCTCCCAATAGTTGCGACAATATTCCAAGTCTATCCGGAAGGCGTAGAGTTTAGTTTCGGGATCACGGACAAGAGCTCTGAGACCCTCAAGTGCAGATATGACGTCGTCGGGCGTCATACCGGTGTCATCCGACATTTTCTTGATGCTCAATCCGTTGGTCTTGAATTCTCCAGATTCCACAATGTCTAAGAAATAACGACAAAGTCGGAGCCGCCAGTAGTTTCGGTAAGACACCAGGCCCATATCAGAGAGCGGCTTTTCCGGCGATCCAGTCTTCTGCTCGACTCGCGTAAGAAGATAGGAAAAGTCAATCAGCAAATTGCCGTAGCCTTTACGTTGGTGAATCGGAAGGGTTAGAATGCACGAGACGTTATTCTGACTGCTTGCTCGCTTCTCCTTAGAAAAATAGCCGACGAAGTGATATCCGCAATCGTCGTACTCGCACAAGACGTAGAACAAAAACGGCTCTACGTCATAGTAGAGTGTCTTGGAGCCAAGGAATAGCTTTGCTAGAAGACAAAGATTCTGGCAATATACCGGGTGTTTGCGACCATCCACTTCAAATACCGAGATAGAGTCGTGCCTATAAATCTCATCGCCAGGCGGGTGCTTGGTACCACATTTCAGCTTATGCCTCCAAGCGACATAGTCCGAGTTCATGTACTTGAGGCAGAATTCGCAAATGTAGAGGACGCGATTCCGGCTGTACTCTGCTGGATACGGTGCCGCGTACCAAGTTTCAATCTCCCAGCCGCCAAACTCGATACATTCAATCTGGCTTGCATGCTCACTGTTCTTCTTGTGACGCCGAACAGGCATGTCTTGTTCAGCTTGCATTGCAAGCACACGAGCTCGCCACTCATCTTCCGCTTGCTGCTTCGCCTTGTCAAATCTTTTGCGGTCGTCAGACGTGGGGAACGTTTTGGACGTATCAGCTTCCGCCTCAGTCAGGATACCACCGTATGGCTTGCCCTTCACTTCGTCTGTCTCTTTGTCAAAGAAAGAATAGAAGGGTTGGGAGTAAACATCAGAGCTGAATGGTGTGGGCATAGCCGATATTGGCACGTCGAAGCCTGCCGAAGAAGCTTGCTGTATAATTGGCCGTACCGGTCGTGTAGTGCTGGGACGTTTCCGGTCCCGGCGCCGTCGGGACAGAAACTCCTTCAAGTTTCCAGGTCGAACCTGAAATTTCATGATTAGAGAGTGTCTCGAGCGTTTCTCTACTGAAACCAGAGACTGTCGAGTGCTCTTCTGTCTCGCAGTGCGATTCCGCATCGGCTCGTTGCCCTCTATCCCATCTTGTGCTGAGTTGGCGTCGACAGAGATGTTCCGCCGGCGCTTGCGAACAGTAATCACGTCATCCTCATCCTCATCTTGTAGGGGCGACGATTTTCTCTTGCGCCCTGCCCGAGTGCCCGTGCCTGTACCGTCACTTGCTTGGGATCCCTTTGCATCAGAGGCAGCGACGCTTCCTACTTCAGCATCGTCTTCTTCATCGGATGATTTGTCAACGCACTCCGGGCATTTCCAGTTTTGCGCGGCATTATCTTCCGTCATTGCCGCAGCCTCACGAGCACATTGCTGGTGGGAATGATCGCCACATCTTTTGCACGATAAATATGCTTCAAAGTCTTCGCTTGGGTCATTTTCCTCATCTTGCTTACAGAAAATGCAAGCATTGCTGGGACTTTCGGCAGACTCGTCTTCTTCGTCTTCTTCGTTTGCTTCATCCTCCCAAGCGGCTGCCCCTTCATCTTCTTCAGCCTCACTCTCGTGCGTGGAAGCTTCGCTATCGCCTTCGCCGTCCGAGTCGGGTCGTATCTTGACAAGGTCGACACCATCATCGTCGTCAGATTCCTCCCGTTCTTCTTCTTCTTCTTCGTCTTCTCCTTCTACTTCATCGTCGTCGTCGCTCGGGGGCTTTGCGCTGGCTACTATCGATTGGTGTCCCGCGTTTATTTGTTGTTGGATAAGATCATTGTCTTCCTCTCCTTCGGCGTCCTCATCCCCCTCTTCGATTTCTTCTCCGGATGCGTCGCGATCGCTCATCTCTTCGTCACCGTTTGGCGAGATTGTATTCGCAGTACCCAGCCCAGACGAAGAGGACTCAAACGCTCCATCTTCTGAAATCATGACGCTTTGTTGAAGCTGCTCTTCCATGTCTTGAGCGCTCGCCATACTGTTGTCGGCTACCAAATTCTGTTGGCGTGATGGATCTATCTAGCGTGTGCATATCGATCAATTCTGTTGTCTGCGACTGATTGTAGGACCGCAACAGGCTGCAGGCATCGTGTCGTTGCGACGGCGCGTTTCTCGTTGGAGAACGATCAGGGGAGCCTTTCGAATTTTGAGTCAGTCCGAGCGGGTTGCAAAGCATTTGAGGGCTTACCGTACCGACGCAGCTTGCGCAAACCTGGTATGCTTGATATAGTCACGAATGTGGCCTAGGGACAGACTGTCGCGTCTCCGAGATTGTCTTGAAAGTGCCACTGTCGCGGTTGGCGGCATACAGTGCGCGCGATTTGGCCCCTCGCAAGTTGCGCCAGCAATTTCCCAGCCAGAAGACGGTGCGTATTTCAAGCCGCGCTAACTGTGCAGTCGCGCAGCTGCAGTCCCTGGCTTGTGGCCTCAGGCATACTCCACAGAGAAGCTACGCCAAGACCGATTTGAGGCATTCGATCTCGTCAATTCGTCAAGCCTGCTCACGACCGCAAAGCCGCAAACACGATACCGCATCTCTCTCGTTAGCTGCAGGAGAACCCAATCCCTGACGGCCGATTGATCTGACAGCCCCGCATTGATCTGCTCGACCTCACGATAAACCGCAAACATGCCCGTTCCCTTCGAGACTCTACTGCCGTACGCCATCATGATTGCCGTATGTTTTCGAGAATACTTTCTTCTAATGCAGAGCAACATAATTAACGAATTTTGTAGATGTTTGGCGCCACGGGAACCGGACTTGCTGCTATCCGAACGTGGCAGAACGACGGCAAGCGTCCTCGCTACTCACTCGACCAGTGGGATAAGGTCAGCCGCAATCATCCTTCAAGATGCGTGTCATCGTGCAACCAATAGTGCTAACGCACCTAACAGCAAATGATGGAGCGCGATAACCGTCTCACAGGGAGACCGCGTGGGCAAACGGACAAACCTGACGCTCCGTTCGGCTTCGAGTACTCAAATGGCTGGAAGGTAAGCTCGAACGATTATAATGCTACGTATAGGGCGTCAAACTAACTTCTCTCAGCTTGAGAAGCGCTACAATTAGACGGGATGGCCAGCGAAACGAAAAGAAGCTTGCGGACTGGGTGCAATGGCGTCATTGCACACAGATGTATATAAAAGCCTTGTTAGCCGGGGGCTACACCGGCAATAATCAAAACCAACGAACATTAGATCGATGCTCGTCGCGCAGCATTCATCATCTTGACTCTTCTTGTTCAGTAGTAGCCAGCGGAGGTCCGCGAACCCCCGCAGCGTTGTCATTTATATTGCTATGTCTGCTCTATTTTTGTTTAGTCGCTCTACCAATGTGCATGCCTGACATATGTCTTGACTGGACATGTAGCCGCAGCGAATGCAGGTGCCGAGTGTCTGCAGCTGACCGGGCGTCGGCTCTCGTCTTTGGCCTTTGCGCTGTCTTGGTCGCACGGGGAGCGTGACAGTAACCTCTTTGGCTTTGGTCGTAATCTCGGTCTCAAGTGCCGTGCTTCCGCTTTGCTGTTTGAGACTGGCTTCCATTTGTGCCAGCTCGCTTCCAGCAGTTTGCGCCTGCGCGGAACCGCAGCCACCAGCGCCTTCGCCATCGTCACATGCGCATGCCGCTTGGCTCTTGTCTGGGGTCAGACGAGCAAGATCTTCGCCGCTGCGGACGATGTCCAGAATTGCGCTTGGGCGCACTTTCTCTAGGTTTTTTATCAAACTTCGCGCTGTGCCACGAAATGCCTCGGGGCTATAGATGCATTCGGTGCTGAAATAGTCCAGCTTTTTGTGGTATGCGTAGAGAACGATTTCTTTTTCGTAGGCATACTTTAGCGGTTTGCTTCTCTTGACATCATTAGAGGAGTTTCCCGTGACGATACTCGTGCTTCTTGAAAGTCGCGACAGGTCTCCTCGAAGGAGATTCATGAGAACTGTTTCGGCGATGTCGTCGGCGTTATGGCCCGTGACGACATGCTTGATTTCAAGCATTTTAGCCCCACGGTCGAGAGCCTGTCGTCTGAAAACACCGCAGTAGGTGCAGTTACCCTTCTTTCCGATGGTTTCAACAACCTGGTCCATGGTCCAGCCATAGAGTGTGTCGTAGCCAACAATCTGTAGGGGCATCTCATATTGCACTGCATTGCGTTTGACAGTCTCCAACGAGTCATCTCGATATCCCTTGATACCTTCGTCTACACTGAGCAGCACTAGGTCTAGCCCATAGTTGTGTCTTTCGTTGAGAGTCTTCAGGACTGAGGCTAGGACAGTTGAGTCCTTGCCACCTGATGCACCTATGGCGACCTTTTCGCCTCGCAGAAATAATTTGGATGAGATGATGGTATGGTGTACTTCATCCTCAAAAACTGTCAAGAAACACTCCTTGCAGAGTTTGTGGTGGTTTTTGGGCCGCTTGACAACGGCCTTTTGCGAGTTGCACCGCACGCAGGTCGAGGGCGGCATTGTGTTGGGGGATCACCCTGAAGATGGAAATCAAGTAACTGTGCTACAACACCCACCCAAAGAATAAGTTCTTGCAGCAAGCTTGTCTGAAGGTGAGCAAGGGCTCTCTTTCTGTCGAAGGCCGAGTTTTGGGAAGATAAGCGCACTACGAAGTCCCCTCAACTTCAACTTTTTCTTGTACCGGGTAAGCGCCTACACGCCAAGCGCGGCACGAGAGCACGTGATCAGTCAGCCACACTGCACACCAGCCACAGGTGAAGCGAAAACTGAAAGGTTGATCCACAGGTTGTGGCAGTGGCCCACCGAAAGCCCTAATTTTTCGCCCACCACGGCAATTTTTCCTTCGCCTCTTTTCAACCCATTTGCAAGGCGTCTCCAACTTTGGCTTTACCACACCCAGAGCATCACCGCCCAACAGTCAAAATGGTGAGTTTTTGAATATGGAATAACCTCTCTCTCTTATGGCCGCAGTTATGTGAATCAACTGGGCTTCGGCCTAATTGGTGCCACGCGCAAAACGATACCGATTCACCCTCGACGTCGCCAGCGCTGGCAAAAAACACATCCGAACGAAACTCTTCTTCCGCGATACAACATCGAGAAAGATTAGCTTCAATGGATTGACTTGGCTGGAGACATCGTATACGCACCGGCGCAGAAATGCAATGGACGATGCGAGTCTCGTTAGAGTTCAGAGAAGACCTGCTTGGTAGAGCACAATGCTGATGTCTTCTTTTCTCAATGACAGCCCCCCAAATCTGGCAAGAAGGTCGCCCCCGCCCCTTTCCCTCAGGGAAAGGCTGGCTCCAAGAAGGCTCCCAAGGTATGTCTCGCTAGGATACCCGATTCGTCGACTCGCCACGTCGCTGACTGACATTGGTGTAGAACCCTCTCATCGAGCGCCGCCCTCGCAACTTCGGCATCGGTCAGGACATCCAGCCCAAGCGTAACTTGTCCCGCATGGTCAAGTGGCCCGAGTATGTCCGCCTCCAGCGCCAGCGCAAGATCCTCCAGATGCGCGTCAAGGTCCCCCCTGCCATCGCCCAGTTCTCCCACGTCCTCGACAAGAACACCGCTGCTCAGGCTTTCAAGCTCCTGAACAAGTACCGCCCCGAGACCAAGGCTGAGAAGAAGGACCGTCTCCTCCAGGAGGCCACCGCCGTCAAGGAGGGCAAGAAGAAGGAGGATGTCTCCAAGAAGCCCTACACCGTCAAGTACGGTCTCAACCACGTTGTCGGCCTCATCGAGAACAAGAAGGCCTCCCTCGTCCTGATCCCCAACGACGTCGACCCCATCGAGCTCGTCGTCTTCCTCCCCTCTCTCTGCAAGAAGATGGGTGTCCCTTACGCCGTCGTCAAGGGCAAGGCCCGTCTCGGTACGGTCGTCCACAAGAAGACCGCCGCTGTCCTCGCCTTCACCGAGGTCCGCTCCGAGGACAAGTCTGAGCTCTCCAAGCTCGTCTCTACCATCAAGGACGGCTTCATGGACAAGCATGACCAGGCCCGCAGACAGTGGGGTGGTGGCATCATGGGCGCCAAGGCCCAGATGCGCACCCTGAAGAAGCAGAAGGCTCATGAGGCTGCCCTCAAGATTTAAGCAGTGTAATACCCGTTTTTGCATTGGGGTTTAAGAAGGTTCCACGGTGTTGCCAGGTTTAGGTCATGACAAAAAAATGAATAAAATGTTAAGCCACATGGTGGGATTTGTGATGCCTAGAATGAATGCAACCATGCCTTGGTTTGCCCACAGATCCCATGAGTTTGCTGCATCGCGTGGCGTGCGATGCAGGCAGGATATTGTCCGTAAGGTCAATGCCTCGCTATTGATCGTGAGGATCAGTTGTGTATCAGTGGACTGCGTTGAACTGGTCAGTAGACATGAGGAATACTGGCATTAAGCATAAAGGGAAAACAAAGAAGAATGGCGGGGCTACTATAGTTATCCCTGACCCAGCCGCCCTAAGAATACAAACAAAAGAAAATTACGTCAGTCGCTCGAATATCAATTCAATTCAATTCAACCCACCAGGGCAATCAATTACCTTCAGGAAACAGCATCGCTTGCTGGCAGGCAACCACAGTGCTTCCCACGGCAGCTCCACCAACTACAGGTCTGGACCATTACTGTAATTAGCCGCAACAGAAAAGGTTGAAGTCTTGTATGGATGTTGAACTTTGGTAGAATAAATTTCAGCTGTGTCTTCTCATCCCATCAAAACTCGGTATCACATTGCGAAAGCCACGAAGTCTGGCCGACCTACTACGAAAAGAAACTCCACAAGATTGAAAAAAAAGTCGTAGACGAGCCCACTTACACGGCAGCCGAACTCTTGCTTGGATTGCTATTTAGCGTATGTACGTACTTACACTTGCTAAGACGTTGAAGACACTGACTGACGTACTGATTCCTGTGCTCACACCACCATGAAGAGTATCCTTTTGTCTCACCCGCGTGCAATTCTCGGCAATTTGCAGCGTCGTCATCTCTTCGAAATCGTACCTACCATTGCCAGCAAGCAAGCATACTAGTTCCTGGACCCTTTTCGCCACAATTATCACCCACTTTGCTCATCATAAAGACTTGTGATGCAAAATTTCCTCTAGGGCTCGGCAGGTCCGCAACGCAGCACCCAGGAGTTCGCGGCATCCAAGGGGTCCGTGATGCACGGTGTACACGCAAGGTCGCTGTTAGCCTCCAGCAGCTGCCGCTCGAGATAGACGAGCCCCGCGGCAACCTTGTCCCACCCGGGAGGCTGGAACGCCAACAAGCCCGCCTGGTCCCAGCACGTCTTGACCGGCTTCATTGTCATCCTGCCCTCTGTGTCAAACTGGGCAAGATAAGGGCTGAACTCGAGGTACAGCAGCGCCTGGGTCACGTCCGCCCTGTCTTCCGGGACAAAGGTTGCTTCCAACTGTAGCAGCTCGAGCCACACTGGCGGCTTGTCGTGATTGATGGATACCTCGGATGCATCATCTTCCACTTCGATGATCTTGTAGGCAGACATGTGACTCAGGTACAGTGAGGCGATTTCGCTTGTTTCCGTTTCGTTCTTGGCAACTGGACCGAATGCGCCCTTTTCAATGAATTCTTCTACGACGGCCACGTCGGACCCTTGGATATCCTCGTTGTTGAGCGTTCGAGCGCGAGCCACTTCTCCCATTAGAACTAGTCCGGCGTTGGCATCAACCATGTTCTCCATGGTCTCGGCAAACTTATTACACGAATTCAAGACCTTGGTTTTTATGTCCTTGTCCGTGGGGGGGTTCGCCTCGACCGTTTCGCACAGTTCTGAAACCTGGTTGAGGCCGTCAATCGCTTTCTTCTCCTTTTGCTCTTCTGTAGGGGCGTCTCTGCGGCGCTGGCAGGCATTATCAATAGAGTCCGGATATCTTGGACTATCGCCTCTGAAAAGGCAAATCAGCCAAAGCTTAAGCTCGTTGCCGTCAATCTCGGGTACTTTCTTGCCTCCAATGGACTCCTGAAGGTCTGCCATGGCCTCGTCAAACCATGCTGTGGCCTTGCCAATTGGGTTGTCCCAATTTTTGATGGCTTCCAGGACGTCATGAGCATAAGGCGAAAGGGTCGCAAACGCCACCATGACTCCGCCTCGTCCGTTGAGACGCATCCTCGGGTACTTGGCAGATCTCCTGGACCCGGCTGGGCACGAGAGGCCACGCTTTCTTACGCATGACCTGCGACGCTGATAGATTCTCCCTTGCTTTTTGCGAGGCCCGAGGGGGTTGCCCGGTGTTCCAGGCTTGCCGGCGTTCTTGTTGGGACGGTGCCGGTTGAGCTCGGGCATACCGCCGGGCATGGGGCGCAAAGGAGTGTTGTAGTTTCCGTTGAGAGCATTGATGCTGCCCGTCAAGCCCCAGGTCTGTAACCCCTTTTTGACCAGCTCGCCTAGCTCGCGGGCTGCCCTTGAGCCAGGTTCTGGAAGACCCCGAGTTTGAAGGGCGGTTGAATTCGCAATGGCGGACCCAGCCACGGCAAAGAGAGTGAAAAAGGCAATCTTCATGTTGAGCAAGTGCTGAACAAGTAATGAAATTCGGTCAAGAGAAGGGATAATTCTGAAGGAGTGTAGTCGACACTCTATGAAGCTGAGTAATTTGTTTTCTTTTTTTTTTTTTTTTTTGAGAAAAAGATAAAGTGTGGCATCAGATCTTTATATACTTTGGCGACATGACGATGCTAGGCACTGAGCGTTCAAACCGAAGCCTCCTCAACAATTATCTCTGGAGCAGTGCAATTTGCAGTAGAGCTTTTCGCTCAAGGCACGCCCTTGGTACTTGAAACTTGCAGACTAACACACTCTACGATGAGTATTTTCTTGGTATTTCTTCATTTCCATAGCATTCGAAATCTCTTTCTTTTGGAACTGTGTCATCTATTCTTATATGTAGTGGAGTCAGTCATACTATGAACTCGAAGTGCATACTATTGTCGTGCGTTGAGCAAAACTTTTCGGTGAAAATGGCGAGACTCTAGAATACTGCCAATTCTTCGGTACACTCGTCGCAATGTTCAGCCGACAATTTCGGGTCTCGCTCTTCAACTTTAACCGCTGCAAGTTGAAGTTCAGTCGTAATGGTGTGGCGTGCCTGTTGGACACAATACACAAGTTACCCAACTTACCCAGTAGCTCTTGAAAATTGCCAAACCTTGAACATCGGCTGTCGCAGGTCCTAATTGGGCTAAGATGGTTTATTCGAGTATATCGTACTGCTATTATCTTGCAATATATCGCCTTATATCTTGCTGTATGTAGCCGCGCAAAGGCCATCCCTTCTCTACACTGACCGTAAATGATCAAGAATTTGTATTATAGTAGCATATGAGTGTATACAAGGCGTCAAACTCCAGCGGTATGGGAAGCACCTCGTTAAGGTCAAGATGTACTTCAATAGCTATGACTGACTGGCATATCACGACCAGACTCTTTACCTTGACTGAGTTGGGCACTGATCGTGATTGCGATATACATGTCAAGTTTCTTGTACACATGTTTCCGGAGTAGCCGCGTTTAATATATGTATCCACAAGATCGCCCAATTTCAATAAACACCCACCGACATCAGACCGTGAAACTCGATAAAAAGATTATGCTTGTGCTCTTGCCTTGCATTGCGCCATCGTGGACCCACCAAACCAACGATGAACTGCCAACTGCCTGCCGCGTTAACGGCGAATCCCCACTTCTCACGCTAGTAAATGTCAAAATGTCAACGTGTCTGTCTCAGTACCGAAAATAGACGGGCAAGATAGTTGAATGACAAAGTTGGTTCGTCGCTTTTTACTCACCAACATTTTTGGCCACCTAATCAATTACATGACAGAGCATGTTCGTGCTCAGAAAAGGGCGACGAAAAAAAAGCAAGAAAAAAAAAAGAAATTCATTAAAGTTTAACATCCCTCAAAATGACATGTAACAAAGCGACGCCAACTTGTACGCAAAAACCAGTTCGTAACGCCGGCGCCAACCTTGCGCTGGCCGACGGGAAAGGACATTGTCGAGGACAACACATCATGTTCGCGCGCAAAGCTGAACAAGGGCGGCGGACCGACAACGACGGCGGAGCTGCGAGAGGCGCTATCGCGGCATGTGGGGGACACATTAAACCGGCCCCTTCTGAGAAAGCACCTCGTTTCTAACCCGTCATGTTTCTAGATATAGACTGTTTAAATAAATAGAAAAAAAAGTGTAATAAGTATAAAAATGATTAAACATATAACTTATATTTTTTTTTTAAAAAAAATTTATATGACTTGCTTGTATTTATTATTAATAAGACAGTATCGAGAATCTACGAGGGCCGGTTTCTTTTGTCCCCTCCCCCCCCCCCCCCCTTGCGCGGTACGATACGCCGGTGATCGCGCCCGTTCTGGGGGGAGGGGCGCATTTTTGCCTCTCGGCAGCCGGACACGGCGCGCACGATTTTTGGCAACATGGACGACCCAGAATCCCGCTGCTGACGTCCGCGCATGGAGAATTATCAGGTAGGAGGAGCTCGAGGCGTTGATTTTATTGACCCGTATTGATGCTGCCGCGGAAACTGACATTCTATTGTTTTCTTGCTTCTTCTACTTCCTCCTCCTTCCCTCTTTGGCCTTATTTTTTTCTTTTTTTTTTTCGGGGGGTCATCTTGTTGGTTTCGTGTCTCCTCTTCTTGGCGGCGGAGAAAAAAAGCAGCTACCTACCCTACCGTCTTGGCACGGCCGCTAAAGGTAGGATAGGTAGGTAGCCATGGGCATGACTCCATGACATGGCGCAGGGCATAGAGGATTAAAAGTGGCGGGCACTTACAATGAACTATTTCCCAAGATGTTATATACCTATTGCCTCAAATGGTGCTCACAGCGGCACAAAGATGATAGATAGCCATGATCCTGCGTCGCGCTGCCAGCTAGCCACTGACCCAAGCCTGACCGCCACATTGATCATCGGCCAAGCTTATTAGGGTAGTGTGGCGTCCTCGCTTAGGGAATTTCTTTCAGACCGTTGGAAAAATGTGGCTTATGTGTTCGTTGCACATCATTTTCGTCTGTGCGTTGTGTAACAATCGGAACGCTGCAGCATTAGATGCGCTGAGGAAGCACACACCATAGGAAAAAAAGCAAAGAAAAGATCTAGAAGCGCCGTGTGAAGGGGCATGGTTAATTGAGTGCATATTTGGGATCATCTAGGTTGTCAAGGGATGCACATCGCTGGGGCGGATGGTTGCTTTTTCTTTGTTCAAGGCGCCCCGCAACGGCCACCTCGGTGTGAGCAGAAGCAAATACCGTAAACTCTACGTAATTAGGTGGAACAAAATAAAGACGCAACACGCCATATGCATGCGCTTCTACAATGAGTACCAACGTACCCAGCAGCACATTGTTTCCCAACCAGGTTTCCGTGGCATGCGCTGCTGTAAACGATTCACGAGCATGGTAGATTTTTGGCTCAATCTCATCTCAATTTAAGCCCCAGGTAGTGTACATTAATATATATACGCCTTCATGCTCGTCGTGCACGTCCAATATTCCTGCGAAGGAGACAGTGTAGTAGATGAAACATTTGCAAAGATGACAACATTGTCGGTGCAAAATGAGAGCCCCGAGCGTAGCCGTTGGGATGTGCAATGACACAATCCCCAAGTCGTGCAAAATCATGTCGCAGCACAGAAATGCACTTAATACTTTTCCAACCGAATATTTGCATGCCAAATGTACTAGCAGACCATACTTGGCTCAATTAAACAAGACAAAAGAAAAAGGAAAAGAAAATCGGGACAAATGTGCGGATATGTTCTTGGCGTGGTCATGGTATATTCTCGTGGGGTATGAGGAGTGCGTAAACGCTGGGCTTAGTAGGGCAAACGGCTTATTAGAGCGCATGTGGTTGATGGGTATGGCTGCTCACGTGCTCGTCGTCGTCCTCGACGCGAACGCTGTAAGTGACCGACTTCATGATAGCATTGTTCTTGTTCAGGATATTCTCCTCGCTGCCCGAGGCGTGGGCCTGAGAGGCGGCAAAGACGCTCTTGTCCTGCGAGACGTCGGTGAGCTTGTAGGCCTCGCTGCCCTTGATGACGCCGCCGCCGGGGCGGTTCCTGCTGTTGCCGTTGGAACCGTAGCTGTACTTGGAGTGCTTGGTGCGGTAGTCCTTGGCTTTGCGCAGGCAGACGGGTGCCAGGAAGGGCAGCGACGACACCATGTTGCCCACGTTGAACTCGATGACGCCCCACACAACGAGCATGGTCGAATCGTGGTCGCCGAACTGAATGCGGTTAATTTGCGTGTAGCGCAGGATGGAGCACATTGTTGTAAAAAGGCCCAGCGCAAAGATGCCCATGAGGCCGAGCTTCTTCTCGAGCCGGATGTTGAGCTTAAGCAGGACGGGGATCGGTAGAACGGCGACGAGCACGTCTGAGATAATCGTGAGCACGGCGTAGGCCGTGAAAGAGGCGACAGCGGGCAGGCAGGTGCCCGGCTTCTGAGGATTCCACGACTTGTCAACCTAGGTGCAGACATACGTGTTAGTCGATGCTGTGTGTGACGAGCGCAAACATCTCGTATCGTTCAAGAGGCCGTACCGGGTTACAGTTGAAGATTAGGGCAAGGGCGCTGCCCAGATGGTTCAGAAAGACGAACGCGATGGTGGCCCAGACAACCATGCGGTAGACGCGGTTATCGGTGCCCTGCAGCAGGCGCAGGTAGCTGATGAGCAGGGCGATCTTGAAGAAGCTGATGCCGACCTGGTAGATGGGACGACCGGCGTAGTTGACGCGCGTGTACGGGATGAGGTTTTCCTTGGGCCGCTTGGCGGGAAGCAGGCCGAGGCCATACTTTGTCTGAACGATGCAGAGGATGGAGTAGGCAATGGCAAAGAGGAGGGATAGGGCCGACATCCAGTCGTCGCCGGCGATGCGGTTGTTCTTCTTTCGAATGTAGAGGCGCGCGCCGACGATGATGGTGGCCAGCGCCGACATGAGGACGCAGACGGAGATGATCATCTTGTACTGCGACTGCGCATCGAGCTCCGCTGAGCCGTTGGCGACGAAGACCATGTTGACGAGGGTAGCGTGCGCTGTGATGCAGCAGCTCTGAGATGCGAGGTGAGGCAGAAAATTAATGAGGAATCCGGAGTCTCTGATCTCGCTTGACCTGCCAAGTGCCCGGAGTTCAGAGCAAACGGCTGGGATGAGGCGTTTGAGGGTCGTCAGCCAATTCGTTTGGGCTTGGGTGTAGGCGGAGAGGTGGCGGACTCGTAACGGGAGAAGCAAGAGAGACGGCGAGGAAAAAGTTGAAGAGAAAACAAGAGCAAAGGTCGTGTGGATGGGTCTCAGACTCTTCAGGCTCCTCGATCATATATTTGAGGAAGAGGGTATCGAAGGGTCCTGAAGAAGAACTGAAGTGAAGAAAGCGAATGAAGCGAGCCAGACGGCACGTCGGCCAAGTGAGACGATGTCGGCGTGAGCGATGATTAAAACAAATCTGAGCTACTCCCCTAAAAGAACCTCGATCCGAACTAGGTAGCAAATTTTAAACTGCAAGAAAGAGGCAAGTTAGAAGGGGAAGCGCAGAAAACGATGCTTTTGCTGGTGGCGGCGAGAAGCTGCCAGTCCACCAGGCGTGGAGCACCAGAGGAGGGTGTTGTAGTTATTTTAGCCGGACGACTGGAGTGTCTTCAGGTCGTCTCCCTTGACAAAATAGCCTTGCGCGAAACTCGAATGGGAAAAGAAGGGAAAAAAAGAAAAAAAGAAGGAAATAAATCAATGGATAGATAGGATGCTAGCAGGGATGTGATGAGGGTGGGCAACCAACTTTGACCACCCATCGCCAGCTTCCCCCCCCCTGCAAGGTCTTACGACCCAGGCCATTTGAGGAAGCTGGCAAAAACTTGGGTACGGCGAATGGTGCTTATTTACTTTCAGGAGAGGGCCAGCCAGGCGAGCGCCAAGGGCGTGGTAGATAGCATAGCGTAGAGAGTGAGATGAATATGATGAATGGACCGCTAGGAGATTTCGCTGTTGTCAACGTGCGATCGTTTGGGCATCATTATTATTAGGTGCAATGGGAACAGAGAAACGAAGAAAGGACGAAGCAACACATAGGTAGGTATTCACGTCTTCTAGACCTGCATGGTGATTACAGCGGTACATGTTAGGCAAAAGCAGGAAAAAGAAAAAAAAAACAAAGAACGGCTCGCTCGGCACAGCAGTGTGTCGACGCCTTGTGTGGGAGGAAGGAGCGCCTCTGACATCTTACTTTGGCACTGGTACGCGGACACAGCAGAGACCTACCAGTAGGTTGCCAGGCACACCAGGGTGCATAAATGTTACTGATATGCATCGGACTAGCTGGGGAGGGGACGGGAGGAAAGACAAGTAATACAGTAGGGCGAGCCAACTGTCGAAGGTCTGATTGGTTGGGACAAGGGAATGAGGTAGACAGAGGGGATTCCCTGAGCAGGCCCGGGAGGTCCAGCCGAGGAGGGGAGCACGAGCAAGGTGATGATGATGATGGCTGGGGGGTGGTGGTGAGGTGAGACACGGGCTAGGTTCAATCAAATCGGGGCTACTTTACCGAGAGAGAACCTGGCAAATTGCAGCGCCAAATCCATCATGTGGAATCTGGCAAGAGTTTCCCCAACCGCGAACAAGCAATACAAGATGCGTAGAAACTGCGGTGCTGTGCAGAGCATTATTCGGTGCTGACGGCTGTGTATCAGTTGGGTATTTGCAAAAAGATTGGGATATGGTGCCCGCAACTGGGGGCTTGTAAGCTCTTCGAGTGGAGATGGGAGCCAAGCTGATTACCAAGGCTAGTCCCGCGCGGAGACACGTCCACAACCAGTCATTGTCTACCGTTTCATTTGCCACCACTGTATTACGTGCCACGCTGGCAGAAAAAAAAAAGTTGACGAGAAAGAAGTCACCGAGGAAAGGGAGAATCTTGGGATATGAAGTTCACCCGTTGATTGGTGCAAAAAATAAGAGGGAATAGAAAAAAGGGAAAGAAAGACATCTTCCGTCATCTGTAGACATGACAGCCTTGTCCCAGCCATCTTATGTCTCGTTTCACTCACCCTCACCTCATCGAGGTCTGTGCTGAAGAAACGGCACACCATTCACAAATCTGGTTAAATACACCCGACCTGCTGGGAACTTGCGAGGTTAGTTTGCCCTGTGCTAGTACATGGATAGGCTGCTAAACTGGCTGGAGTAGGTATTACGCAATGGCTTGGGGGCCAGTTATCCCGATTGATTTTCGCCTGCCGCTACCGTCTGTGCTCATTTACGATTCTCATCCCATCTCCTAGCATTTACTCCGTGTATGCCAACTAGTTACTATGATCCGTTCCCTTTTCTCCTGAGTAGGAAGGACCTCGTGGTCTTGTATGACACGGACTTTTCGATGCGCTAACAAGACCCCGAACGGCACACACACACACACACACACACACACACACACACACACACACACACACACACACACACACACACACACACACACACACACACACACACACAC